CCAAAGTGATATTATCGCTGTACTGGGAAAGCCGCATACGTTTGAGCTTGCACACACGCAAACCCCCGTCTGCGGCCTCTTAAATTTGCAAAAGGCTTGAAAGCGTCTTTCAGTGACATGTTGCCTTTAAGCGGCTCTGTTGCACAACATGTGATCACCATATAGAAAGTCAGCCTCCGTCACCGTATTCTACACGTGATCCTGCTCGGTTCCCCAAGTTCCTACAGGAGACATAAATGTGCTCGCTGCAGGAATCATTACCATACTCGTGCCAGGCGGGGCACCGCCTGTTGCTCAACTAACCTTGGCTTGTCACTTTGTTGGGCATGGGAAATTGTCAAGAATGGTTTTGTGCGACATTGTTTGCCTGAGGATGTGGGATTGGGCCGCGTCCTCACATATGCTCAGTGTCTGGCAGCAAGAAGCATGTCATCTGTGTGATTAAGTCATTATTTGCGGTGTTGCTTAGTTTCACCTTGAGCACGTGCGTTCAGGTTCAAGTAAGCACTTGCCTGATTGTGACTGCTGCATACATCCAGGAGAACTGCAAGAGCTGCTGCAACAAGCCCTGCAGATCTGGCGGTTTCTACAGTCACCATGGCTGCATATTGACTGATTGCCACCATTAACCCTAAACCGAATCAAGCCACCACGCCTGAAAACTCCTACTGAATCGAAGAACCACTGTCCTCCCCCCCCTTGCCCTCCCTTGGGGTGCCAAACAGCAGGCAGCAGGCCTGTCATTGGTGGTGTAGACCGTAACGCAGGAGCTCGCGACGATCCGCTGCAGAGCCTCTACACCTTGTGCCGGGAACGAGAATGCTCGCCTTCAAAAAGCAATGCGCTAAAACCTGGCCACGGACATATTATAGCACACCCCGATGACAAACACAAAGTGGCCGGCAAGCACCCAGAGGTGCAAGCGCCCTGATCCAAGCCGTGTGAGACAGTTTGTCCGTCTGTTCGCAAGGCTCAAACAACGCTTGCAACGCTCAACCTTCATTGATTCCTTTGTTGGGCTTCGTCTGCATTGCCCAGTACCTCCACAAAGACCTCTCCATGACCAAACAGAGCAAATGACGGACATACAAGTACATACGTGGGCAAAGACCCAACAAAAACGAATATCTGTTTTGACATCGACCAAGGTGAAGGGCTCTCGAAAAAGGCGCCAAAGGGAGGCCACAGGTCTCCATTATTCAAATGGATTTGCAGCACACCCTTTAAAGGCACCATCACCCAGCACAGGGCACTTGCCATCATTCAAATTTCAAGGAGACAAATAATGACATCAAAAGACACTCTGACGTATCCCAACGCTAAATGAAGGCTGCCGGTCACTACCGGTCGACCGGAATCAGGCGTAGTGGGCGTGGACACCTTGGGATAGTTTCTCTTCAGCTTGCCCCAAGCAACTCTGTTCGGGGCAGAATAGGACATCGGAGTGAGTTGGAATTCTGCAGCATGTGCACATGGCCTTGTACAAAAACGTGCCCGGTCTGTAGGCATGCCAGAAATACTTGGCCAGTACAGAAAGTTCAAGTTTATGTGAGTGATAATATATATATATATAAACCCGGCCTGGCTAGCTGGCTAGGCACGCCAGGGTGCGATGAGTGTGCTCAAAAATTGGTGATGCATCGACTGCCAGCGTAACCGAACTCGCAACACTCTAGCCCTTCTCACCTCCTCTTTTATCCAATGGTCAATGGGTCTGTGCTGCCATGCCACCACAGCGCACGCCTCTCAGCCCTGATTTGACCTCAGTCAAATGGGGCCATGGACACATTTTTGAGATTCAGCCAACCTTTGACAAAACTGCATCCTTCCCGTGCAGGGATCAGGATGTGGATTCCTCACACTCACATGCCAGTGCAATGTCCAGCGCTTGTCCAAAAAGTTGCGTCGCCACACATGCAGTCAGCCCTTGCATTGAGCGTACCGGCAGTCAAAAACAGGAAAAACACGCAAAGACTCACAAACACACATGCAGGCACAAAGCACATACACGCTTACACGAATAACACAATTCACACACACACACACGCCACACACACACACACTCACAAGCGCACCCACACCACACCACAACACACCACAACACACCACACACACACACCACACACCACACCACACACCGCACCGCACCGCACCACGCCACACCACGCCACACCACACCACACCGCACCGCACCACACCACACCGCGCCAACACACCAACACATCAACACACCAACAAACCAACACACCACCACACCAACACACTCTCTTACACCCTCTTCCTTCCAGCCATGCGTCCCTGAACACCTGCTTGCATCGGTTCAACATCGTCAGCATGCCCCATTAGCCTGCTTCATAACCCTGAACTAGCAAATGCCCAAGCAAGGGACCTGGATCATGGGTGAGCCCTCGTTATACCGCTCGGTGGAGTTGTACGGACCATGTCCATATCTGTGATTTTTGATGTGTGTTAGTAGTCTGAATTATGCACAAGGGTTGATGGCAGTCTCTACCAATTGTCAACGGCAGCGGCGCTGAAGTTCTTCCAAGTTGCATCGGGTGGCGCGGTCATGTGCTTCTTCCAGGCTTCCTGCAGGAGAATTTGCTGGTGAATCAAACATGTGAAGACCATCGCAACAGTCTTGCCCTTGCTTGCTTGGTAGGCCAAGACACGTGCAAGGGATCTAATATGTCATTTTTTCTGGATATCGTTGGGACAGGCTTGTCACCATTAAGACCAGTGGGGTGAGTCATATTGACCTAGCAGCACGAAACCTTCACCAAAAGCTGCATGAATGCCACTGCTGCAAATGAACATGCAGCGCTTGAAGCGCTCATGACCTTCCCATAGGTTTTTGCAGGGCCCACGACTGGGTTAGGCCGGCGGTGTCCCAAAGCCTTTGGAGAGCCAAGGCAAGGCCATGGCGTTTGCCTTGAATGCCCTGCGTCTGGGATTCTGCAATGGGGTGAAACCAAAACTAGAAAACGATTGTGGCTCAAAGCCCCCAAAACACCCTACTTCCAGCCCAAAGTTACCCATGGGTTTATCTTTTCCACGGTCTGTTGCTTCCTCAAAGGGACCCCTCCAAAGGGGTTCTACACCAGGGCTCTGTTTGGTCGAAACAATGCGCCCTGCAGTCAAGCTCCTCTTCCGGTGTCCGTTTGGACAAACGGATCCTGTGAATGATGGGTACCAAACTGAAACCAGCGAACGCCCTCTATCGACCAAACCACTCTTCTGCACCTATGCTCACCCTCCCGAAACTCGCCAAAACCCACCAAAACCCGCCAAACCCGCCAAAACCCGCAACCTGAAATCCCAATGGCCTCGTAGTCCGTGAGCTGCCCCAGCTTCAGGGAGGCGATGAAGTCCGCCGCACGCCCGCTGTTGTTGCCTGTCACCAAGGGTTGAATGGTCGAATGGTCGAAATTCCATGGGTTTTACCAGAGTCGTGGTGGATGAGCGTAAAAATTGCCGACCCAAACTCGGGCCTCCATATGTGGGTGCCGTTTTTGAGGGACCCTTGAGAGATTGGGGAACTCGCCAGTTTTAAGGGCCCTCTACTTTGAGACGCACCTGATAGCCCGTTGTGAGGTTGATCAACGGAAGACAAGCCATGATTGCTGGGGAGTTCAATGTGGGGGTTGGTCAAAGGAAATGCATGCTTTCTGAGGCACCTATCAGAGATAAGAGACTACTGCAAAAATGTGACACAATGTTCAAAAGAGGTCCAAATGTGTCCTTGTTTGCGGCTCTCTCATCAGGGTAAACTCATCACCTCACACATACTCAGCCGCGGCTTGTCGTAACATTGCAAGCAGCCTTTGTTTGGCAATGCTTGATCGATACTAGGCACACGCAGCCTACGCGAGCGTGCCTGCACAGGGTCAATTGAAACAGCCTATACGCAATACGCCTATGCAATCCTACCCCCAACCTCCGTAGCATACAAAGAGTTCTTATCGAATATCTGCAAAATCTATTTATGGCAAAACAAATCTGCTCTCTGATTCTAAGCTGCTGAGCCGAGGGACAAACCACGACCGGGCATCCATTCTGAATCGCTTTGTCCATCAGAGTAAAGGACACTGGGCCGCCATTCACCACAATCATCACCTCGGCCGAGGCGATGGATAGATGCATACAAAAGACACTGGATAAACATCGGGAAGCGCAACACTTGACTTTGAAATAAGGAGGGTGGTGGAGCCTCCTGGAGAAAGGAAAAAACAAGTTCCACGTGCCGAAATGCTATCACACTGGTGTTGAGAATCACAAACAAAGGCACCACTTGTGCAAGTTCAAATTCGCAGTTCAACTGCTGCAATTGTCACTTTGACTTGGGTCGCTCGATGTTGAACTGCCAGCCCTACTGGCCATCAAGATCTATGTTTGTCATGTTCAGAAACTTGCAGTTTTTGTTTGTAATTGCTCAGAAAGGGCAGGGCACGGTTGGATGAAGATCGACGTGGAAGCATCTAATGGAACGCCCTGGGAATCTTTATCATCAGGGGAAGGGGCGGTATTGTGTGGATGTAATTAGTTATCATCTCGGCAAGGCCCCATTATGGAAGTGTGTGTGTGTGCGCTGTGCGTGCCAAAGTTTCTGCAAGCTCGGTAATATGCTTGTGCGCATGTTCAGAGAACCCTGTGACAAGCCAGAATGCAAGCAGGTGCACCATCCATAGCTCTGGCCTATTTCACGGGAAGCAATTATGTTTTCGTTTTTGCAGCCCGCTGTAAAGACCTTAACCTTGTGCCAGCGACTTCGGAAGTTTGGATGATCCATTCAATCAAACACAAGAGGTGCAAGAATACAAACCGGCGGGGCGCAAGGCCAGTCCAGCCGTCGTATCAGGTTCCAGATTTCACCGGCGGGAGGCATCCTGACCTATCCCTGAACAGGCCACTTCTCGGTGGATTTTTGGAACCAAAACGTCACTGTCCGCCCCTCAACTCCCTTTCTTGCTGCTGAATGGCGCGAAGAACCCGCTCGCGATGCACAAAACTTGGACTGGTGGGAATATCCGCTGCATCGAGGCCTGCGCAGCTGCAAGCATCAAGAAATCAACCAAAAGGCAAGACACGGTGGCCACTCAGCTGGAGTTGTTCCTGTTGTTACTTGCAACTCGGTCAAACCTGCTTGAGGGCTCCTGGCATGTAAACAATCTTCCTTTCTGGAGGGACCCTCTTTCAAGTTGCATGATGTTTGCGTATGTGGGTCATGGATGCAACTTCCAATCCAAACAAACTGACGGCCTGTCGGGCCTATCCAGAGGCAAGCATAGTATAGCTATCGGCCACCAAAATTATGGCGTTGTCAGCCGCAATGAGGCAATGATCATGCACGTGGTGCAGGGCTGCGAATCATAGTTGCTACGCCTTGCTCATGGATTGACCCCAAATGCCAGATTTGTTCCCCAACATGCCAAATCTTTCGGGGCCCGTCTTGAGGCCCCAATCGCATTTCGCGTTGTATGTTAAACCATGTCTATGATTCAATTCTCACCCATGTTGCGAAGGCCATGACAGGAATGGGCCCTTTCACTCGCAACCCCAGCTGCCTCCGGAGCCAGTCCCTCTGGAGAGACCTCGATCTTTTGTTCGACCCAGAAATTTGACTGGGATGCCGCAATGAAGCCCACCAGCTTGGTGAATTGGACAGAATTATCAAAGTCATTTGGATTGGTTTCAGCAATTCCGACGTGCATTTGCAGTAGGTGAGGGAGTCCAGCATTGAGGGGGCATGGGCGATGCCATTTGACTGCTCGGAACCACTGGACTCTGGACCATTCAGGGGCAAGAGACAGCTCGCGCCCTGCTTGCAGCATTTCAGACTTCAGAAGCACCTCTTGCTCCAATGTCACATCACAAGGCGAAATGCTCAGCTGTCGTACTTGATAAGCACGTGGAGTAGCTGTGATCGAGCCCAGGGCCACACACAAGGCAAAGTCATACATGCACCAACAAGGTCAAATGTCCCAATTTGCGGTTGCAAGTGGTTCGAACAGCACGCACCTTTGTCTGATTTTTGCCGACATGACTTCTGTGCCAGATTTCAAAATAGACTGTGTCGGTTCCCTCCGCGAATGTCTTATTGATGCTGACCCAAAGTTCAGCAGCATGCTTCGTGAGTATTGGACCGCCAAGCATCGTGGAGCATCACTAGGAATTCACGAAGCCTGGACAACATGCCTTCTGGTTACTGATGAATTTGCAAGGATGGGACAGTGGGTGGAACCCAAACTTGAAGGCGCACGCTTGCCTTGAGGGCGCCTGCATCCTGGTCAATCGACCGGTTCATGGCTGAGGTTGGGTCCGAGTCTTTGGCTTTGTTGAAAGGCCCATCGTCAGGACTTCACCCGATGCTTGCCCCAAGCAAGCACCCCCGCTTCCTCAAACAAGTGGTAGGGGGAGATAAACAAGGCAAAAATGAATAAAGCGTTCGGGTGAACTAGGAAATTGTGTGGCCTCAAGCATTGCCGAGGCACAACAGCTCCGGCTGCGCTTCCGAAACATGGTCGAGGTAGCAACCTTCGTGCGGACATGTTTATAGCATGTCATGCAGAACTTGGGCTTGGACATGTCAAACGTCTTTACTCAAGGTACCGCGGAGTGGGCAGGAGTGTGCCTCAGAATCTGTGTTGAAGCGTCAGCCCTAACTAAGCCGCGAGCTTTGTGCAAGTCAAACGGGGTTTGCCATTCCGTAAAAGTTACAAACCTTGAAACAAAAAGGGTCTTTGATCTGGACCTTCAGTCCAAGCTGAGAGCCCCACGTACCGTTCCAGCGCCTCCCGCATGTCCACCTGTGCATTGAATTGAAGCCCTAGAGCTCACGCCCATTCAAACGGGAGGACAACCATCTCCAGGTTTGACCCCCTAACATCAAAAATCAAAGCCACAGTCAGATGCTCAGTGGCCATGGGAAAAAGGGCAGCCTTTTTTGGTTGGTTGACTTTAGGCACTCCACGAACCAAATCGATCTCCGGCCGCGCTGGCTCGCGCGAGCCCTGCCTCCGTGCCGAAGGCCTCCTGGCGCCGCTTCCCCGCGTCCACGAGTACGACGTGGGTGTGATGCTCCTCGCGGGGCGGGCTGCGCTGCCACGGGACTCGACCAACGGCACCGCCCCTCGTTTCGGCTTGCCGTCGTTTTTTTTTTTTGTGTTTTTTTCCCTTTTTTTTTTCCCGGTGCTCCTTTGAAATTCCCCGCCATCCCAAGTCAAGAGGGCCTGAGGCCGCCTGAGGCCAGGTGTTGAAAACTGTTGTAACCACGGCGTCCACGCAATGCGCAATGGCTGTCCTGCAGTGACGGCATCCTAAGCTCAAGCATGTCTGTTTGGCCGAGCTGATTCATGCCCAAGCCTTCACATCCACGTGTGCGCACACATCAATGCTCCAAAGGGAGTACCAGCTTTGCCACTCTTTGGAAAGGACAACTTTTGCAAATGCGCAGCAAGCTTGACAAGTGCATCTGAGTTGCTCGTCCGAATCCTGACGGTGCGTGATAAGGGCAGGGTAACCGAAGCAAACGCCTGCTTGGACAACGCTGAACATGTCAAACTCAACAAATTACCAATGTGGAGTCTTTGCTCAGGACATCCAAAAAACCAACTTGTAGAGTCCCCGCCACTTGCCTGTTTGACCATTTTGGAAAGGGTTACGCCTGTTGATGTCCTTTTTGGTGAGGTCTTGGAATCACGTGGTCGGCTGGGGGGCAGGTTGTGAACCACTCTGCTTGCGGGCTGCATTCTTGGTGAGCGGGGCTTCGACCACGCCGCAATCCGGGCCAGCCTGGCATGAGGCTGCGCCCAAATGAGAACCGGAGCCAAGGGAACCGGCGGTCCAAGCCGTGGGGTGACTAAGTAACGAACAGGAGACTTCCCTTCAAACTCCAATGTGGGTTCGAATGAGCCTTTCCGGTGCCCTTTCTTTGGCGTGGCTCCTGGTTTCAGGTGGCTCCAGTGGGATCGCAACTATTCTGCAAAACGCACGGGATAGCTGGATTCAAGCAATTCTAAGTCAAGCGTGCTTCAAGCAGGCTTCTAGCATGCCAGAGCTGCCCTTTTGCAGCCTACCAGGCTAACGAGCATGGGAAAGCAGCCGAAGTGTTTGCAGCACAGCAATGATGACCGAAGCAGGCAGACTGTGCGGAGCTCATCGCTTGGCGACTGGCTTGCTTGCCCTTAAACTGGATGCAAAAAGACAGTCGGCTGATGGTTCAAATGAGAAAAGGGGCAAGGCCGTGCTCCGATTGTCAGCTACTGCAAACTTGACCAATCATAAAGACTCATCATTTGATCGCGCGTGAGCTCGGTTTCCCGCGCAACGAGCTTGCTGTACATTGGGCAGTTGCCAAGTCAACCTTAATTTCGTAAGTTGATGTCAAAAAAGGTCCTGCTCCGTGCTTGGTCAAACTGATTAGTCATTCGATTTCGAAATGTCAATGTTGGTCCATAGTCAAAAACAAACATATTGGATTCCGTTGGTGAACAAATTGAGGCTGCCCCGTTCTTGTGGCCTTTTTCCGGGAAACCAAGAACGAACCCCCCGCCATTTTCGGTGGGGTCCAACCGTACAGAGGTCTCACAGGGGGTCTCTCTGCGCCTCGGGCGAGTCCAGCGAGCTGCGCCAGCAGTCCTTCAGCGCCCCGAAGGGCGTGATGCCGATGCAGGGCACCGTGCGCCGGGCGTCGTGCCCTCGATCGAACGTCGACACCCCAGGCGAAACCGGAGGCGAAATCGCGCGCGGGGAAGCGCGCCCGGAACGAGAAGTCGAGACCACCAGGGGAAGCTACCAGCGGAGCTTCGACACCTGTGACTTGGAGGGCCTTCCACCGGCATCACACAGAAGTCGGCCATTCTTGTCACGATATGTGTTGCCTCTCGAAAGAACCCATTTTCATTGTTCGTGGGATTGTCTGGCACAAGTTCATAAACCAGCTGGTTTCTGCTGCTTTTCCGCACGTTGCTTGATGCACCAGGTAAGAGGGCCTACCAGCTTCCAGAGATTTCCTTCCACCCGCGATCGCAGCACAAACGACAGGGAAGCCAAAGTGTTTTCAGTAGACAAACATACGGATGGATGATTGCACGGCTAACCACCTGACATCCCCACAATAACATCACCAAAATGTTTGACAATAGCACATGAGTCATGACATGGGTTTAGGGCTGACATGGGCTGGCTTCCCAAGGTCTCCTGGACCCTCTAGCCAGCCTCATCAAAACAGCGGTGCCAGGTCAACTGCAAGATCCGCATCTGGAGTCGATCACTAGCAAGGTGGGCATGAGATTCAGTCTTTTCCACGCAACAAATCCCCTAATTTCCAATAGCTTCTGCGGGCAAACAAATCCAACATGTCGGTGACTTCATGCTGAAGCTGTATGCTATGGACAGCCATGCAAATGGAGCCTCCGAATTTTAACTCAAACCAAGTGTTCAGTCTTAGCCATCCGGGGCTTTCAGCAACAAAGAATTACGGGCTAACCACTCCCTGGGCTGTCCGTCTTGATAAGGACACACTGTTGAATTGACCACTTCACTCAGTCAACCTGCCTCCTGACGAAGTCCCCGTGCCGGGGTCTTGAAACCGGCAACTGCTAGTCAGATGGGTTTATGCCACCAAAGACTGCATGCAACGCCTTCCGTTGGGCTCAATGCCCAATCGCTAGTGAAAACCGCCTCAAACAGACTGACGATTCGCTCTGCCGGGTCGCTATGCATCGCGCGGCCAACCAAGTCCATGACACCGCTATTGGTGCCGCCTGGAGGGACGTCTTAGGTTCAATGCAGGGTGGCTGGGTGGGTCAACAGCGGAAAGGAAAGCAACAGGCACAAGTTCGCTGGAAAGCAATCATCAGGTCGTTCAATGAGTCGAATTGACCAAGGCACCAGGATCAAACTCATTAATACGGGGGTCCTGATTCCTTCAGGAAGTTGATGTATTTATTTGCAACAAAGGGATAGTTGTTTTTTCCCGTGAGGCCCAAGCAACCAGCGAAGCAGTCTTACGCAAGGCTCAAGTTTCGATACGAGACAGTGCTCAAAGAACTCCTATATTCTGAACCCAAGCCCAATGCTGAACGGGGCACTGACAACAGTTGCTCGCTCCTTGTGTTCATCTCCACTACTATCCGCTGGTTTGCCTGGCTAAGATTTAAGCATTTGTTTGCAAGTCTTCTTTTCCACCAAGGATCTGGAGGACAAAGACGGACATTAAAGGCATGTGCAGATCGGAACGCCCCCAATGTCGGTTTCAGTCTCCGCTAGTGTTCAAAGGGATACACCAAGCGGTCACGAGTTTCCTTCGTTTCTGTTCCAACGCCTCCATAACAGTGACGCCAACACTGCCTCGCATTGCAGTGGCAGTGGCGTGCCAATAGACCAGTCCAATCACAAAAGCGTGCTGTTGTGCAGCCAACGCAGGAGAGCAAATTTCATTCCGGAAAAACTATTTCATCCGTCTTGTGTTTCGCCATTCAACGGATTAATATAGAATGAGTGGACCTGGAGGCAGTGTGTACAATCTGCCCAACAAAGCCAATCATCAGCTGCTTGCCAGGTTGGTTGGTTGGTTGGGGGGTCTCCGGACAAAATGCCCAAACAAGAACTTCAATTCTCTCATCGGCTTTCTCAAAGGACCTTGACAAATGAGAGTGCATTGACACACTAAACCCACGGCCACTGCATACAGCAATACTCTGATGGATAGGCCCATTTTGACCATCGCCCTTGCGAACCTTTGACTCGTGGCCCTGCCTGTGATGACCCAGCCGTGCGTCTGCTTCGCTGCACCCACCAAGCCCTCGCAGAAGTGCGCTTCAACCTCAGTTGAACTGAGGTTGCTCATTTGCTCATGCTAAAATGCCATCCCCTCTCCCAAAAATCGGGCTGGGGCAAATGCAAGGCAAGTCTGGATCATTTCGCCGATCTCTTTTCCAAAAGAGAGTGTCCCCTTCCCCAGCCCCTTCCGCTCTTGTCCCCCCTCACCCGTGTCTGCCGGCCCAAGATCCTGTCTTTCGGGCCTTGAAATTTTCGGGGTTCGTCGGCGTCCAACTCCATGGGCCCATTTTTGAGTGAGAATGACGAGACTCAACAAAAAGTAATCTTCCGAAAATCTGGTCTTCAGCGCACCAGCAACCCAGCCCAGTCTGAGCCTAGCCTCTCAATTTCAGGCCGCCAGCAACACCAGCCCGTTCTGAGCAAGGCCAAGACTAGCCTCAAACCCAGCCCAAGCAGCCGCTCTGAAAACAAATCAGCAACAAGGCCAGCAGCCCGGCCCATCTGACACAGGCCCCTACCTGTTTTTACGTGCCAGACCACCTGCTGGCCAGGCTTACAACCCACCCAAGCAACCCCCAGCCCGGCTCAGCCCACCCAGCAACTCAGGCAAGCCGGCTTGTCTGACGTGTCTGAAGCTACCAGCGCCCGTGCAAGCACAAGTAGCCGGCCCAGCCGGCCTCCCTAGCCCGACCGGTCCACGCTTGAAAAACACCCGTTCCAACACAGTCGATCAAGACTGCCGTGCGCATTGATCACCACAGCTCTGCTTGCGTTCTGCGTGCCACTGACGCTCCGCCACTCACTTCTCTAGCCTAGGGGATTCCTGCGCAACTTCGGCCCATGACACCATTCCTGAATCGCCACTTGACCAGCTCTGCTGCTTGCAGTGGAACCACAGACGCTGCGCGCTCGGCTGGGCCGAGGCGGGCAGCGCACAGCGTTTATACAAACAACTCTGGGCCACTGAGCATGTACCTCCGGGTACAACCCCTGGATGTAGAAGCCGCGTCCTTTCCTGTGTCCATTGAGTACCAGCTGTGGTGCCAATGTAGCTTTGCAACATCGTCCCATTTTAATAGCACCACCCTTGAACTGAAGCCTAGCCTTGAACAATCAAACCAAATCCAAAGGTTGGATGGCACTAGTGCAAATCAGGCATTTCTTTCAGCTCCCTCACACTGATTCAACATGGCCTAAACTGGCTGCCAAGATTGAGCAACGTCATTCAACTTGCCAGGCACGCACCATAGGAACATTGCCATGATGGCGGCATGACCAAAGCAGTCCATCATCTTTCACCCTTTGCTGATGCAGTAGCTGGGAATCTCAGCCCTTTCTTTCATCTCCTTTTTCCCCCTCGCGCTAGGTCCACAGTCGGACTTGTTTGAGGAAGAGCGCATCCAGGATGACTGAATAGACACGTTTCAGAAGACCGCGCTCAGTTTGAGTATGTATGGCAAGCCTAGCAATGCTGGTGTTGTTGACCACTTTAAGCGCCATGTCTTTTACTGCTTGCAGCCCGCCGAACATCCCGGCGCCTTTGACAGACACATTGCACGCGTACAGAGAGACATTCTGAAAGCATCTACATGTGAACGAACTCAACAATACTCAACGCAAACCTGGATTCAACCATCTACATCAATCTGCAGCCAGGGCAAATAGAATGTGAAAGCAGCAACCTATAATATCTCTATCGCCCCAAGACAATAGTTAGCACCCGGTTGCCGTCCGAGACAACTGACCGGTGTCTGCCCTCCCTCCCACAAACAACAGGCGCTCGGGCAAACCCCATCAGCAGCCTTGACCAACCAGAAAGAGGACCACCTTTGCCAGATCCAGACTGGTCCTTTTTTTGGCAGGGCCCCACAGATCGAACAAAACTCCCAACACACACCGCTTTGAGCACGTTGGACACCTCCCAATCCGCATCGAAGCGAGGGGCCGCGGGGTCCAAGTTCATCTCCCCGGCGCCGCCCACGATGGAGAGCAGCAGCCTGGGGGCCTCGAGGTCCCAAACCTCGGGTGCCGACACCGGAGACCGGGGGGCCGGGGGGTGGGGGGGTGGGGGGAATTCAACTCGAGTTGCCGTGGCCGAAACCAATCAACCCCCAATTGCCATTCTCTACTTGGGTTGCCCAAGACTGCGGTTCCTTTTGGTCTGCGGAGTTCAGATTGGCTCAACGTGCTGATCTCAAATGACAGCTGCATTGGTTGAAGCAGCAGTATAAGAGAAGAACGCGCTGCAGGACAACAGTGCTTCAAAGGAGCGCACAAATCCATCTACATCCAAGTCACACCAGCGCTGCGGATGATCAAATCCACAAACTTCCTGAGCCCGGTCAAGTGTTTACCACGCGTTCAGAAGCGCATTCTGCTCAAGCAGCATACACAAAAACACTGCGGATACATTTGAAAGCAAGAGGAGTGCATTGATCATCACCACTGCATGTAATATAGCCAACAATCCCCGATCTACAAGGGTACGTCTCTCCCTGTCTATGAAGTGACTCGTCTCCAACGCAGAACCCACATTCTCATGCGGCCTGCTCCTATTTCGGTGCCTACTTCAGCTGACCCCTACAGAACCAACAGCATTCTGTCTGCCAGCAGGTGTGCAAGCATGTACTCATGTAAACAAACAGGTGAATGGCTTTGTACCTTGTACTAAAATCCTGAAGCTGCCACACGTTCTTGTTGCATGAGTAATTCATGCTGGTGCTAGCCGCTTAAAACAGCCAAAGGAAGTCAAAGGGTCGAATTGAGGCTTTTTGGCTACCTCTTGATCTGGCAATAAAATGTCGGCTCTTCCTCGAAGAGTATCTTGAAGTATCCATCCGGGTGTGGTTGTCCAAACGCTGTCAGCACTGGTCATGTAGGCATGACGAAGGTTGTTGTGTCTCCACCAAGGGGCTGAGGCTGGGTGTCAGGGCCCACGATGCAGTACCGCGTCATCAGCCCGCTCTGGAACCTGGCGTCCGACTCTAATTTCGGTCCAAGCAAACTGGCAACTCCGATTGGCTTCGACATTCAAACTGGAATTTCAGGGCATTGTGCAAATTGTCAAGCTCAGCCAACAAGAAGGGACACATTTCCACAGGGAGCTTACCCAATCCAACATGTTCAGGCGAATTAATAACATCAAAGGAAGACCACCTCTAAATCCTCCAACGCCCCTTCCCTTGGTCAACACAAAACATGCATTACAGTGTCAAATGTTATATGTATTATATATAATAATATATATATATATATATTATTGTACTTTGCTGTCTACATCAAGTATCCATTCCAATTGCGCGTCCGGGCCACTGGATCTCCCCGAACTTGGGCAAGCTCTTCCGGAGGCGCGCCGCCAAGGTGCACACCGAGCTCTTCGACACGGTGCGGTGGAAGCTCAGCTCCATCTGCGCCACGTCCAGCGGGCCCGCCTGGACGTCCGGTCCCGTGCCAGTGACGGCGCTGGGGACCCCTTTGGCCCCAGCCGTTCCGCAGTGTGTCTTGGTTGTGTCGTTTTTGTTGAAGCAACAAAAGAACGCATCCAAAGCGAATCAGCAAGACAATTGTGTGTGTGTGTGTGTGTGTGTGTGTGTGTGTGTGTGTGTGTGTGTGTGTGTGAGTGTGTGTGTGTGTGTGTGTGTGTGTGTGTGTGTGTGTGTGTGTGTGTGTGTGTGTGTGTGTGTGTGTGTGTGTGTGTGTGTGTGTGTGTGTGTGTGTGTGTGTGTGTGTGTGTGTGTGTGTGTGTGTGTGTGTGTGTGTGTGTGTGTGTGTGTGTGTGTGTGTGTGTGTGTGTGTGTGTGTGTGTGTGTGTGTGTGTGTGTGTGTGTGTGTGTGTGTGTGTGTGTGTGTGTGTGTGTGGTGTGTGTGTGTGTGTGTGTGTGTGTGTGTGTGTGTGTGTGTGTGTGTGTGTGTGTGTGTGTGTGTGTGTGTGTGTGTGTGTGTGTGTGTGTGTGTGTGTGTGTGTGTGTGTGTGTGTGTGTGTGTGTGTGTGTGTGTGTGTGTGTGTGTGTGTGTGTGTGTGTGTGTGTGTGTGTGTGTGTGTGTGTGTGTGTGTGTGTGTGTGTGTGTGTGTGTGTGTGTGTGTGTGTGTGTGTGTGTGTGTGTGTGTGTGTGTGTGTGTGTGTGTGTGTGTGTGTGTGTGTGTGTGTGTGTGTGTGTGTGTGTGTGTGTGTGTGTGTGTGTGTGTGTGTGTGTGTGTGTGTGTGTGTGTGTGTGTGTGTGTGTGTGTGTGTGTGTGTGTGTGTGTGTGTGTGTGTGTGTGTGTGTGTGTGTGTGTGTGTGTGTGTGTGTGTGTGTGTGTGTGTGTGTGTGTGTGTGTGTGTGTGTGTGTGTGTGTGTGTGTGTGTGTGTGTGTGTGTGTGTGTGTGTGTGTGTGTGTGTGTGTGTGTGTGTGTGTGTGTGTGTGTGTGTGTGTGTGTGTGTGTGTGTGTGTGTGTGTGTGTGTGTGTGTGTGTGTGTGTGTGTGTGTGTGTGTGTGTGTGTGTGTGTGTGTGTGTGTGTGTGTGTGTGTGTGTGTGTGTGTGTGTGTGTGTGTGTGTGTGTGTGTGTGTGTGTGTGTGTGTGTGTGTGTGTGTGTGTGTGTGTGTGTGTGTGTGTGTGTGTGTGTGTGTGTGTGTGTGTGTGTGTGTGTGTGTGTGTGTGTGTGTGTGTGTGTGTGTGTGTGTGTGTGTGTGTGTGTGGTGTGTGTGTGTGTGTGTGTGTCTGTGTTGCGCTACATCAACGTGCAGTGGCTGCGCAGGAAAAGCAAGCGCCTTCAACACATTGCAGCACACTGACATGTCTCAGCAAGAGACATGTGAGGGGGCATGCTGCATGCTACTCACTACACCAAGACTCTCCCTTGCATCAGGGATTCAAGAGTGGCAGCGCGTACCAAGGAACTCCAGTCGCGAGCATATCCAGACTGTCATTGTGGACATGTGGGTTGGCTGGTGCGATGGGGCTCGGCTTAGCAGTTTGATTGAAACGTTCTCAGCTGAATGCCGCCCCAAACCGAAAATAGGAATTATATATGATGGCTCAAACGAGAAATAGCAACTAAACATGGCACAAAAACATGGGAAAAAAGAAGGACTGGTCAAACGATGGCACATGCAAACAGTAGCTGATGCATTGGCCGTACCTTGCAGTCTGCAGTGCGTGTGCACATCAGGACAACTCAGTCTGTGAGGCATCTCACGTATGCAAAAAATCCATCACATCCAGCGCTGTTGCATTCTCTGCCTCGCCTGTGACCAAAACTCGTGGGCTCAAAATAATGCTCCAGACAAAGCAGGAACGCGACGCCATGCAGGAATGCGACGCCATGCAGGAATGATCTCTGGTGCCTGTTCTCACAGTGTCTTCAAGAGCTCACTTTTGCGTGAGACGGCACTTAGGGGACTCATGACAATGCAGCGCGAAGGCTTTCGATGCCGCAAAAACGCCCCGCACGAGTTGCCGACCGGCCTTTTTCTGCTTCTTGAACTTCACATTGCCACAGACTGCAGTTGCGACCTTGCCGTCACACCAGCACAGGACCAGTTGATCCAAATCAGCTAGTCAGGGAGGACCGCCAAAACAGGAAGACTTGACCATGCCAAACCACCTCACTGCAGAAGACTTGCTTTGTGAACGTGCCACCCTTCCTGAACAAGTAGAGTCTACGCGTCTACAAAGCAGTTCAATCTCCCAGCGAGCCGCACCTCTCGAAATGCTCACAAGGGCGCAACTTGACCAGCTGGTATGGCAGTATATTCGAACGGTACAGCATGTTCGGATTAAGTTCCATGAAGGAGACCAGTCACAAACCTCCTTGGTTTGGTGCCTCATGCTTCATGTTGTATATTTATGGTTGCTTATGTTGACATTGCCTTGCGACCAGCACAGCAACAGAAACAGAACAACAAAAACAGATGTTTCAAGCACAAGCGAAAAGGACCACTGCTTTCTTGATGGAGTTGACTTGCCTTGATGTGCCGCCACTTGACGGCGGAGTAGATCTAGCTATTCATCTATCTTTTTGTTTGTCCCTGTCCCTGTGACTGTCTGTGTCTCTACCTGAATTTGCCCTTTCCTTCGTTCGTTGTCTGCGGTTTGAAGAAAACATGAGCAAACGGCCTCCAAGTGACAGGACTGCAACTTCTCTGCTTGTTCTGGAAAGCAATGAGGCACAACAAAACAATCGTCACATTGGCCCTCTGTTTTCAGAGCCTTTGGGGACACACATCCCAACTTTCCTTTCTTTGCTGCCCGGTCGGGAAAATCACACAACACGAAACAAGTACCGCACCCAGTTGGACTGACATGGAAGCTTCCCACTTTGAGTGTGCGGCCTGCCGGAAGGTGGGCCGCTTCCTGGGCTGCGGCTCCTCACGAATGGCATCTTCGCTCTCCGCCGCCGTTGGGGACTTGATCACCGGCCCGCCTCGCTTCGCCCGATCAAAGGCGGCCGAACCAAAACCGAGTCGCCCTGCGGCCCTGCATCCACACTGACCTCCTGAATCAGTTGGACCCCGAGCACGCTGCAGCTAAGCAAGCGATTAAGATTGCCAGCTATTGGGCCCTCCCAACAAGCACAAGCATCCTGCAACAACAAACCCTGGCGCGGTCACGAATGGCTGCTATTTTCGGGAAGTGCCGGCTTTTAGCGCAGAGATTCACCCCAACCCCTTCGAAGCAGGCTCACTGTGAACGAACTATGGAAACATCAAGGGCATGCGAGTCGTTATCTTCTTTACCTGACACGCAAGTCCTCATTGAGCTAATTGATTTCCCAGGGTTCGGGCATGCCAGCTACGCCAATTGATCCGGACTGAGGATGTTGGCGAAGTTTCAGTTTTGCCAAGCGTTGTCACTGTTTACCACATTCTGACAAGGAGTCCCAGAATTCGTGAGTGTTTTCAGGATAGCACCGGGAAAGGTCTTGGATATGTCGCAAGTGGTTTCAAAGAGGTTCTGCCTGATTCTGTCCTGAGAGCCGTGCTCTTTGCCTCATGGTGATCGCTTGTCTGTAAGGCATCTCACGCGGCAACCCCGTGATCGCAGGCTGGCCATACTGCGTCTGTAGCCAAGCTGCCATCGGTATACTTCACCGTCAGGTGGTTTTTGTTGCTGCGCTTCCTGGCACGGCCAGCGGCGGCTGCCTTGAAGCCTCTTGTCCAAATCTTGAAGAAATTAGCAGACACCATCAAGAGCAGTTCACGAACGGGAACACTCACCCAACAATTTGGCTGCAGGCCGTTTTACTGGCATATGTGCATGTATATAGAAATACATACATTACTTTGCATTGCACTGAATTGCGTTGCGCAGAATTACATACGTTACATTGCGTTCACGTTACATGGACATAGACAAATACACATACATATACATATACACAAACGTAAACATACGTACATACATGTATGTAACATACATACATACATACATTACATTACATTACATTACATTGCATTACGTTACATTACATTACATTACATACATAACATACATACATTACATTACATTACATTACATTACATTGCATTACATTACTTTACATTGCATTGCATTACATTACATTACATTACATTACATACATTGCACACATTACATACATACATACATACATACATACATGCATAAATACATACATACTACATACATACATACATACATTACATACATACATAACATACATACATACATAACATAACATAACATAACATAACATAACATACATACATGCATACATAACATACATACATACATACATACATACATACATACATACAGACATACATTACATGCATACATACATACATACATACATACATACATACATACATACATTACATTACATTACATTACATTACATTACATTACATTACATACATACATACATACATTAAATACATACACTACATACATACATACAGACATACATACATACATACATTACATAGATACACACATACATACATACATACATACATTACATTACATTACATTAAATTACATACATACATACATACATACAGTACATTACATACATAATTACATTACATTAAATACAGACATACATACATTACATTACATAACATACATTACATACATTACATACATTGCACACTTTACATACATTACATACATTACATTACACTACACTACATTACATTACATCACATTACATACATACATTACATACATACATTACATTACATTACATTGCATTGCACTACATTGCATTACATTACATTACATGACATACATACATACATACATACATTACATTACACTAAGTTACATTACATTACATTACATTACATTGCATTACATTACTTTACATTGCATTGCATTACATACATACATACATACATACATACATACATACATACATACATACATACATACATACATACATACATACATACATACATACATACATTACATACATACATACATACATACATACATACATACATACATACATACATACATACATACATACATACATACATACATTACATACAATACATACTTACATACATACAAACATACATACAAACATACATACATACATACATACATACATTACATACATTGCATACAAAACATTACATAACATAACATAACATAGAATTACATTACACTACATTACATTACAGCGCAAGCAGTGTAGAAGAAATCATTTTTTAAGAAATTGGGGCTGAGATTCCCACATAAAGCAGGTTGCAACTGCATTTGCTGCTAAGAGATTGAGCCGCCCTGGATTTTTCGTCCGATTTCTTAGCCAACTTGTAGCTTGCGCGAGGAAGAGACCACCTTCGCACGCCAAGAATTGAACCAATGATTTCTGGTTTTGAAGGCGCGTGTGTAGTACCTCTATACCAGCTCACCTTGCTATGGGGTGGGCCTTGGATTTCTAATCGGCCTTTCGGGCGATGAAGGGCCTAACAATTTCAGGGGCTGGATTTCTTAGCGGCCTTTTCGGGCAGTGAAGCACACCTTTGCTAAGAACTTCAGGAACTCACTCTCTGAAAAGACGACAAGGTGAAGATTTCGCAAAGAAATCCAGCCCCCCTGGCTCCAGAGGGGTAGAAACCAGCAAGACGAAATCGGCGCTAAGAAATTTTAGCCTTCCAGGCCACACTGTACATTACATTACATTACATTACACCACATCACATCACATCACATCACATCACATCACGTACATACATACATACATACATACACATATACCGTATACTCATTACGTTACACTACATTACATTGCATTGCGTTGCATTGCGTTGCATTGCATTGCATCGCATTACTTTTTACATTGCATTGCATTATATACAACAACATACAGTGCATTGCATCGCATTACAGACACATGCACATACACATACACATACACAAACACAAACACATACACATACAAACACATACATACATTACATACATAATTACATTACATTAAATACAGACATACATTACATTACATTACATTACATTACATTACATTACATTACATTACATTACATTACATTGCATTACATTACATTACATTACATTACATTACATTACATTACATTACATTACATTACATTACATTACATTACATTACACATTACATACATACATACATACATACATACATACATACATACATACATACATACATACATACATACATACATACATACATACATACATACATACACATACATACATACATACATACATACATACATACATACATACATACATACATACATACATACATACATACATACATACATACATACATACATACATACATACATTACATACATACATAACATACATACATACATAACATAACATATCATAACATAACATAACATAACATACATACATGCATACATAACATACATACATACATACCCACATACATACATTACATACATACATACATACATTGCATAAATACATTACATACATACATACATACATACATACATACATACATTACATTCTACGAAAGGGGTCCAACCAAACTGCAAGGCAAACCTTTTTGTCGGTGCTCTCTGAGCTCCAATCTGTGTGAAACGTAAATCACTGATGCGTCATGGCTACGGATGCGTCCCAACCTCAAGGCTATGTCATGCGCACACCTTGACGAAGTCGGGGCTCAGGACTTCACCACCTGTGGCAAAGGGGGCTGCTGGAGCTGAAGGCGACCACACAAGATTGCAGCTGATGCTGCCTTTCGCTAGCGCGTCTGCAACCATACTCCTGGTGTCTACCCACCAAAGCCCACTTAACACTTTCTTGACAAGTAACTGTCGAACCCAACACACGCGCAAATGCAGCGAAGGTTCAGCTGGCACTTTCACAACTGCTGCAGTTGCGGCAGCAGTGACTGATCGTGCATCGACGAACGCATGCGCTTCAACACTGCGCCCCAATCCTGTCTCACAAAAGGCCTTCGCCTGATCAAGAGTAACAGGACCACTCTTGAGCTCATGAAGGGCGGCAGCCTGCAACAAACCAGTGTCAATTGCATCAGTGCATGCGAACAGCTCTGATGAAAAGGTGGACCTGGCCACATGTCTCTGGGATCGACTGCACCAGTCACTCTGCCCGATATGCCCGGCACTCATGCGTACACTCGCAAGTCCGCGCACTGACAGGCCGGCTTCGGCCTTTGCGCAGTAAGAGGAGTCCGAGATTTGAGCAGAACGTTGAGGCGCTTCATATGCTTGTAGCATGCGCGGCCACATTCACGCTGAAGTGCTGTTACGTACACTGCAGCATCTGGTCTTGTGAGCAGTGCGTATGCGACTGTCATCAGAAGGCTAAGGAACTGGCGTCGCTCAGCTTCTGAGAGCTCCACATCTGGGCCCCGCACACAGGGCACTTCCATGCTTTTGCAACCTGACAAGAACTTGGTTTGATCCATGGTGATCGTCCCATCTGTTGCGCACCGCAAAACACGAAAGTGTCCAAAAGTTTCTGCTCGGGGCGTCACGGCACCCTGTTCCAGGCTTAAGGCAATGAAGGACTTCGGAAATTGGGTCAAAGTCGCTATAGCCCTTTAGCGTTCGCAAGCACTGCACAGCTTGACCACTGATCTCAAATGAGACATCTCGAAGAGGCTTGCCGATTAACTCGGCCAACTCTTCGTACGTCACACCTTGAAGGAATGCCTTGGGCACGTCACTGGACGCTATGCACCAGCCCCTCACAGCGGCTTCACTGGCGATTACACGCTGTGACCACCTACTTGCTGCGGCAGCAAAGTTTGAGCTGTCATCTGCTCCAAACTCCTTGAAACCGCGTAGCGTGAGGCGAGCTCGTATGATTCTCTTGCCACCCTTAAGTTTCCATTTAAATACCCAACGGGTGTCAATCACACAAGCTGATTTGCGTCTGGGCCGGCGTTCAAAACATTTGTAGAGTTCCAAACTTTCCACTCATCTATGATGGCTTGAGCCACAAGGTCAGCATGCTCAAGCAGCTCGGCATCAGTGAGGAGGTCATCAGACCGTTCTATCACAGCTTTCCTTGCATGCTGCTCATAGAAGCGAAGCTCGACATGCTCATGCGGCGTCGGCAGTCTGGGCAAATCTGCTATCAGTCTTGAGGCGTCCCCATGAACTTCAAGGGCAACGTACGCTCCTATGTCATCAGCATCTAGGAGATCTGCAGCTTGCTCATCATCGGCAGCTGCAACTGCATGCTGAAACAAATTCTGCGGGAGCAGATTTCCTTCTCCACCGTGGGCAACCTGCACATCTGACCACTCCGGGATGTGACAGTCACCTTCACTCTTTTGCAGGCTGCTGGTGTCCGCCTCACAAGGGAAGACTTCACGCAATTTCTTTGTGCTGAGAAGAGCTAACACCTCATCATCTGACGCATTGTCAGCCTCATGACTGCCTTCGGGAATGGTGCTGAGGCGATTTGCGTCTGAGCTGGATGCACCAGCTGATGCTGGTCGAGAGGGTGCACTGGACACGGGTGTGTCCCACTTCTGCTCTGTCACCCACTCCTCTTCCTGAGGCACAGACAGAAACTGCACAAATTAAACACGCTTCCATGCTTGACCAAGCAACGAGTGGAAATACACACGGCTGGACGCACAGACTTAACACCTGGACCTATCCTAACCGCAGACCTACAATTAAGGCTGCTTGCATCAAGGCACTGTGCTGGTTGCTCAGCTTGGTCAATGCCCACCCCTGGTTGTTCAGGCGCACATAACCAAGAGTGAGGACCGTACCAGGCGTAAGCTGAGCAATACCATTGAACAGAGTGCCCTTGGCAAGGCCGCTGCTGAAGGCATCAGGCATGCTTGCATAGGCAAGGTACGCCAATGCAGGGCGTACATCCTGACCTGATCCGTGCTTGTGCAAATGCCTATTCGACCATGCTCAAGCCTACTGAGATCAACGACCTGGGCTGGGCCTTTCCAGCATGGTTAGAGCAGAAGGCACAGCACGTGACCGCCTGAACTGTGCACTGAAAACGCACACTCAGGCAAGTACGATGTCAAGCTTGGGGATAGCGTTGAGTACTACCGTGAACAGACCTTGCGTGAAGCACCAGCTATTTCCCTCAACCGGTGAACATGCTTGGCTGAGGAGCCCTCGACTGTGTCGTCAGGGACAGCCATGGCATCTGGCAGAATAGGAGGTATCCTGCCAAACACTGCTGTATACGGCGAGGCGCCATGCGTATTGGTCAACGCAGTGGATGCAAACACTGCTTCACTAAAAAATGCGGGGCAAGGTCACAGCAATCCCTTCCTCGGTGAGTTGGGTGAGTTGGGAGGAGATCTTATGCGTTGTATCACGCAACACCTGAGTCCGCCTGTCTACATTGCGATGAACCCCATCTGTCACAGTGTCCAACCTGCTGATACCATATTGGTTGTGCGCAGTGAGGTCAACTTTGAAAGTTCTACGGGGCAATCAGTCACATCTGCCGGCGAGAACAGCGACCTACGGGGAACACCGTGGATGCGACTGAGAATGTTTCCTTGCTCACGCCAAAAGTCCTTGCATGTGGGATTGCAGGATCATCTGAGAACAAATGGCGTGTGGCGGACGCACGTTCGGTTGCAGCTGCTGCCAAAGCAGTATAGTTGCTGAATGGCAGCTGCAAATGCCCGGGTGGCGACTGCTCCAAAGCATATGTGGCGCTGCCTGCTGGCAGTGCAATGCTGATCTCACCCTGGCCTGCAAGGTGCAGTTGATTGGTGGTGAGATCAAGGATGGCACGGTGATCCTTCAGGCTTTGCAAGCCTAGCAAGGCTGGGCAACCTGACTCTTGCACGACGGGCGATGTGAATGTACCAGGGTGGTATGACCCATCACTGCGTCGCAAGGCCAATGGCAAGTTGACATCATGCCTGCACGCCTGGCTGGCTTTGCCAACACCTCCTACCTGCAGCGGATTTGCACGTCTCTGCAGTTGACTGACCTTGGGATTCGGCGGCTGCCTGTGCTTCCCTCAGCCACTGCTCTCCTACAAGGTTACCATGAGAACCTGGGCCAATTAGCAAACCCCACTTGTTGCCTCGCAATCTCGTAGCTGCGGGGGTAGGCAGTGGACACTCTCGGATCTGGGTGCGCATGGCTCGCAACGGGCGACCACGGGAACAGATCAAAGTCTGGCTGCTCACTCTGTGGTGTCATGAACACTTCAGGGCTTTGCGACAGAGCCTGATGTGGGGTGGCTGGCGCTGATGTCTGCGGCTTCAGGCGCTGGCTCCTGCTGAGGCTCATGCGCTGGGGACCTGGGAGGTGAGTGATCATCTGACTCCCAGTCATCCTCACACAGTGGCACAGGAATCTCAGCTTGGAAATGAGACACTGTATCTGCATGTTGGCTTAATGCAGCACTCAGACGATCAGAGTGCAACTGCGATGCATCAACGGCTGGTGCAGTGCTGGCACGTGCTGCAGTTGTTGCTTGTGACATCTGCCGATATGCATGCAACTGGGCAAACATGCTGGCGGTTTGCAACTCCTGCAGCACCTGCTGTTGACCTGAACCTGAGGGCACCTGGCCTAGCGGCATCTGCGCACCACTACCTGTCGCATGCTGTGATGGCACTTGGGCGCTTGCCTGGATTGAGGGCTGCATACAGAGCTTGCCCGGTCATGCATGGCTGTGCATGAGGCTTGAGGCACACCTGCAGCGCGCATTGCCGGGAATCGTCATGTGTTCACGGTGCGTTGCCTGGCAGAGGCGCGCCTCCATGTGTTGATCTGGGGTCAGTGGGATTGGCTCAACTGGCTCAGAGCCTACGGCTTGGGAGACCGCGGCCGTGGCAACACACCTGACGCACTTGCCCTATGCTGGCTGCCTGCAACACTTGCGGCTCGGCTGCTGGCGGGAAATGACACAGGCAGGAATGAGGATCAGCCTCATGGGCCACATAGGAATGGCCGGCGCCGCCTGCGCCTCTAGAGTCGAGGCCACATTGTTGGGGCAGCGCTCGATGATGTGCCCAAGACGCCTCAAGTGGTGCGACAGCTGGCCAAACTCCTGCTCGGCTTGGGGCAACCTGAATCCAAAAGGCTGGGTCAAGACCTGATACTGTTCCGGGGTACAACCACACGCTCGGAGGAGTAGCAAGGCTGCAGTTTCCATTGAAACTTGTGCTCCTCCACCTTCCACTCGGGCTTTGGCCCTCACGATCTCAAACCTACTCAGTAAAGTGTCGATCGTCTCGTGTGGCTTCTTGTGGAACGTCAGCAGATCTTGAGCTGCTTTCAGTCGGCCCTCCTTGTCCAATGGGGCAAACCTTGCACTAAACCCGTGTAGCAAAAAGCTTACAGGATCGAGCTGCACGCCGTTCACTCGACCCCCATGAAAGACTTCAGCTGGGGTCAGAGTACGTGCAATCTCGCGTGTTGCGCCGCCCAACTGCGTGATGATCGCTGCGCATTGCTGATGCGGTTGGAGTTCACTGCAAATGCTCCAAAGCATCAAATCCTGGACCCATGTTCTGAAGGGAACGTTCACCTCCATCTGATCCCAGCGCGGCGGCAACCGGTGATTGTAATGGCCTGGGAAGCCTGCTGGCACCATGTAGCATAACACAGCTAATAAAGCTACTGTAGGCATGATCAGCATTGCATGATGCGCGCTTGCCACATTCAGCACTGAGCTGACTTTGCTCACTGATACTGTGATGCCCACTTGGCTGTGCGTATCAGTGTCAGATCTGGCGTTGCGTGCCGATGATGCAATGCCAGCCTGGCTGAGCATTGCATCACCTGCACTCATCTTCTGTGACCACACCGCAGTCCACAGAAGGGCTACCATTAACCCTTGGAACCATGCTGACCCAGTCAGCATGGTTCCGCCCTGGGCGGATGCCAGGGCTCCGCTAGCAACAAGAAATAAACAAGGAAAAGAGCTAGGGGCTCTATGAAAGGGGTCCAACCAAACTGCAAGGCGAACCTTTTTGTCGGTGCTCTCTGAGCTCCAATCTGTGTAAAACGTAAATCACTGATGCATCATGGCTACGGATGCGTCCCAACCTCAAGGCTATGTCATGTGCACACCGAGTACATTACATTACATTACATTACATTACATTACATTACATTACATACACACATACATACATGCATACATACATACATACATACATACATACATACATACATACATACATACATACATACATACATACATACATACATACATACATACATACATACATACATACATACATACATACATACATACATACATACATACATACATACATACATACATACATACATACATACATACATACATTACATACATACATACATACATACATACATACATACATACATACATACATACATACATACATACATACATACATACATACATACATACATACATACATACATACATACATACATACATTACATACATACATACATACATACATACATACATACATACATACATACATACATACATACATACATACATACATACATTACATTACATACATACATACATACATACATACATACATACATACATACATACATACATACATACATACATACATACATACATACCTGCACACACACATGTTCATGTGTATAGTGTATGTATATAGAATATGTACATAATGCTATTGATGCCTCTGTCTATATGCATGTGTACAAATAAATGTCGACATACATGGACATGACTTGTTTGAGGGTATGTAATGCGCGACTTGGCCCGAATCTTGTTGCAAAGGTATGCATCACGGGTCCTTGTCACGCAAGCGCGTAACGGGAAAACGCGGCTTGACACTTCGGCTCCAGACCGAAAGCGGCAACTCTTCGGTACAAGCGTAGCACGCAAAGCGCAGCTCCACATCAAAGGTTGCGGAGAGGAAGGGTCGCTGGACCCGGGCTGGGGATAGTTGTGTAGCGAGGTATAACACAGAAGGAGAACTCTTGGGGCCCCACTCCTGCTACCTGTTCCAACTGTGCTTCTTCTGAAGGGCACGCTGACAAAGTATGCCCAGCAAAAGCATGCTCTGCAAGCACCCACGGGGAATCGCTGCAAGTTTGGGAACGCATCCCGCTATGCGACGAGAGGGCATACGATCAGCAAAACATCTTTCTGAATGCAAGCTAAGGTATGTCAGCAAGGAAGGTATGTTGCGAAGGTATGTAAGGATGACATATGTTGTTTTCTCTCTACGTATATATATATATCATATATATATAATATTAAACATATTTCAATTATTCCAATGCTGCCAATGAATCGAATTCATCTATGCAAGCCAATCATCCTTCAATCAACAAAACCAATATCGCGTGACAAGCCAACCTTGTGCGCGGCATGAGGCTGCAATCCTGCCATAACCGCATATCGAGTGTACATTTATGGGAGCAATCCAAAAATCTGCGGAGGTGCTTCGCCCCTGTAGCTTTTGATCGAGGTTGGCAGTACCACTGATTCCATGTGATGCCCTGCCTGATGACGCTGGCCTCACCGAGGCCACCAGGCGCCATCTCCCGCCATGCGCCAGAACTTCCCGCCTGGGACGTTGCTCGACCCAGGCTACAGCATGGACAAATGCTACAGCTGGGCAAGGGCTCTTTGTCTACAGTGCGCTGTGCTAATGCCGCATGCTTCCGATGGCACTTTGTGCGTATACATGTCCACACGGTGCTTTGTGTGTCAGTGACTTGTCGCTTCTGTTTGCAGTGTGCGTGTGTTGAGCGTTCGCTGCGCTCATGCTGTCCGCAAAATACGCAGCGTGCCACGGAGAAGGCGTCAAAGTCCGTTGCTCACCGTAGAATCGCATGCTCATGCTGGATCAAATGCTTTGCCTCACTTGGTCTGTTACTCTGGCCCGCGCTCTTGCTCTCCAAGCTGGACAGGTGCCCGCATAGAATGTTGCCGAGCGATTGTCGCACAGCTTGATCCGACAGCAACATGCATTGGACGCTTTTGTCAACATCCGCTGGCTTCACAAATGAATCACTGGGAACTCGATCCCTGTGCACGTCTGCGTGTGAGCGCATTGATTCCTCGGCACATTCGGCGCTTTTTTCTGCCAGCTTCTGACACGCGGTCCGGAGCTCAAAGCAAAGGGTTCTGTACACTGTACAGAGTTGTAAGGCTTTGCCGCAACAATGGGCCCGATTGAATCAAGCGGTGAGAGACAGCTGCCTCCAAAAGTGACTACAATAACTACCAACAAGGGTCACTTTAATGGACCCAGCAACACCCGCTCTCGCAAAGGACCAGGAAGCTGGTCTCCGGTCTGCGTTCAGCCACGTTCAGTCAGTCTTTCTAGCGATCACCATCCGCGTGCCGCCGACCGCCCGGTGCTCTGGACATCGCAGGCAGCCCAGGAAATCCTCGTCGGTCAGCCTCATGTCCAGATCTGATCCATAGCCATAAACAAGATGCCTTGTTCCCTCAAGGGATATATAGGCAGCTGGGAAAGAGTTAGGCCAAATATGTGGCCTCTCAATTTTGCTGGGAATTTATTGAGGGCCAATCGATGGTTCGGCTTTTTTGGGGACCCCGGTTGAAGGCGACACATGTCAGAGTCTGGAACAACGAAGCTTGTCAATTGAATCTTGTGACAGCGAAGCTGGCAAAACCTGCCGCGAGACTTAGCGATCCAAAGACATCGTTGCTGCAAAGGCTGGAGACAAGGGGACACACAATAGGACGCCGTTCACCTTTTGTACCTGCGACTCGGTGATATGTAGGACTAGGGCCGCTCATTCGAGTGTGTTTCAGTGACGCTTACAAATTAAAGGCCAGCAATTTCTGGGAGGGCCCTATGATAATGCCAACCTCGAACCTAAAAATTATTGGCCCAACTTCTTAGTTGTTCGCCAAGCAGAAAGCTCCATAGCATTTGACGCTAGGTTTGCCTACATCAAGACTCTTAGCCAAGTTCCGGGTGTTTGCACGCTCCCTGCTCTCGCGCAGTCGAAACAAATCAATGAACATGGTCCCACAAAGGCTAAAGTTCAGTTGCATTTTAACGCAAACACCCATGGATTGGAAATGCTTCAACACTTGAGATTTGGGGATGCCAGCTTTAGCTATTTCTTTCGGACGCCGTGGGCAACAGTGTTGGAGCAAGGCCCCTACTTTCGGCAACAGTGGATCGGTTCCAAGGAAGTCACAAAGAACGCCCTTTGGAAGGATCTTGAAGGCCTTCCCAGTCGGACAGGTTCTCAATGGACCACCAACACATAGAGAACAACCTGCGTTTCCCTTGGGCCACCCGACGCATTTTGGGAAAGAAGACCTCTTGAATTGATTGGTTTCATATTGACAATTGAAAAATGGAAAAGGCTGAAACTCAAACTGCAAGCATTCACCAACCGGACAAGAAAGGACAGTTCATCACGGATACCTTTGTCCCAAACCATCCGAGGTCACTATAATTTGCCCAGACCTCACCCACTTGTCCAACCTAAGGGCACGACTCATTTCGACAACTTGCTTCCTGAGAGTCCGACTAAGTCCCATCGCAACCAAATTCATCTTAGCTCGAGGTCCATTGGGGAAGTGCGACCCTCCACTTGGGTGTAGGTCAAAATCAAACCACCAGGGGACCGCAGGTTTTAGCCTTTGTTTTCCATGAACCAGGGTTCCAGGTCGGGTTCCTATTTTTGACCCTCAACTTGCCTGCTCGATTAGCCCCCTTTGGGTCCCTGCCCGCAGCTCGCCAGCAGCTTCTGGATCTGCGGGCGCCGCAGGCGCCGCGTCCAGGCGGCCAACTGCGCCTCCGTGGCCGCCCCGTCGAAGTAGAGCTCCTCGTCCCGCCAGCAGCGCCTCGGCGAACAACGGGAGCGATTCTCTTTGCGGAAACTGTGAGGTTCAAATTTGTGGCTTTCTCGTGCTGTCAAAGTTTCTCCGGGACAAATGTGGTCTCTCGCATTCTGTTCTTCTCTTTTTAGCTCCAGATCCTTGTGTGGGGGTGGCGGTTTGTGTTAACTTCTGAAGTTGCTTGTTCTTCGTTTCTACTTGTGGCCTTCTTTTTGCTCACAGTGATCACAGTCTGGACTTTTGAGTGCGCAGAACTCTCTTTGCGTTCCCAGGTGTATCCCTTCTTTTACATCTTGTGCTGGCAGTGCTGCCTTACTTCACCCAGCCTGGTACACACATGGGCTGAACTCCAAAAGTCCGGCTTAGGGCACTGGCGGACACCCAAGAAAGCGCGGCTTGCTCACTCTGACCATGACCCAAGCAGGAGCTTTCGGTGGCCGGCTTTCAGCTGAAACCAAGCCACACAGGCTGCAAGACTTTGCGCCACGAGAGGCCTTTCACTTGGGAATGCGCCAACAAAAACTGTGTTATTTCCAATCGGTCGGTATCTTTTTTCTTCTTCTACACTTAGTCCCACAAAATCTCAGATCTTGCAGATGAGCGGTCACAACATGCTGCACCTGTATGACCATGGGACTTGCGAACCGCCGGATTTCTGGAAACTTGGTGAGCCCCGCGTCCCCCGTCCCAAATTGACCATGCATTTTCACTCGAGCCTCGGACCCCGTGCCCTCGAGAGCTCACCGTCTGACTCCGAGGCACTCGTCCAGGACCTCGAGGCCGGCTTCCTCGCAGCAAGCTCTGAGCCGGCGCCCGGCGAAGCAGTCGTAGCCCAGCGCCCGGAGACCATCGTCCAGGCCCTGGAACTGCATGCCGTGGGCGGAGAAGAGCCCATCGATCTCCTCGGACCGGGTTCAACGCAAAGACCCCCCCAAAAAAAGGAAATCCTTGTAACAGTGGCCCTCAAGGTGATGTCTCAGCCACCTATACAAAAATAAGGAATCCTGTCAGAGCAAAGGTCCGGACTTAGCCCTGAAAAAAGTCTTGGCCTTGCTCAGTGACTACAAGGAACCCCTACATCGCTGATTCTCCCTTCCGCGAAAAAGGGGAGGGTCAAAATGGCAAACCGTGGTCACGCCGAGTCTCCACCAGGCAAAGCCACGCGTTGGGCGCCAGTTCCTTTGCCCAGCGCTGCACCTGATCAGGCGCCAGGTAGGCCAACACGAAGGAGCACCAGCCGCCGCTCGCCTCTGCCAAATCCACGACCTCCAAAGGATTTGGAGCAAAACCTGGAGCTCTAGGCAACGAACGGCTCTGCCCAAAGGACTTGCGGTTCTCTTTTAGGCAACTGGACAACAACTGGAAAAGACGCGCCGCAAAGCAACCTGAGAGAACCTGAGACCAGGCAGCCCTTAGTCAGGCCTTCACCTCAAATCACGCCTGTCAACATCACATGTTGGAGTCGTCCTCGCTTTACAGGAAAGTGCCCTGAATCAACGCAGAGGGTCATTTGAAACAGGGGCCATGACCGAACATGTTACCTGCCAGGGGTTCCACATTTAGCACCTTCATGCATCCTCAGTATTTTGAGCCGAATCAACGAACCGGTTGGGCCACTCATGCATTTCACTTCGGTTTCCCTCTCAAACCCCCGAAAACGAGCCTAGGCACCCTCAAACCTTTCACACCCGTCGCCAGAAACGCCTCACGCCTCCAAGGGCCTCACCTCGAAGCGGCCCGACGGGCAGCTCACTGCTGCTGTGGCCACCATCTCCGCGTCCAGGTCAAAGCCCCTGAGGCCAGAGGCCGTTAAACGGGACCTGCCCAAATCTGTGGGCGACTTCACCAATCTGTGGGCGACCGACCCACTACCAACATCATGGCTACAACTCAACGTCCCCTCACCAAACCACTGGTGGCAAACCTCACGCACCCAAGGCCGTGTCCACAGCACTCAAGCATGCAGGTCGCCCCTAGCACTGCAGCACTGGCAGCAGTCACCAACGTGCTCCGAATCTGCATGCTGAAGTAGTGGACACAATGCCTGCCCCTTGCCCTGTCAACCCTCAGCGCCTGAGGTGTACACCTGGCATCGAGGCCAGCCGCTTGGACATCGCCCCCGCACCACAGCCCAAGTCATAGACTGTGCCCTTGATGGATACGTGCTGCTGGAGATGAGCCAGCATGTCGTCCCAGGGTCGCAGCACCTCTTGCCTCAGGTACTCCTCGGCCTAACACAACATAGAGCCACCAGTCATACTAGGCCACTCGCTTGAATCTCCCTTTGCATGGTTTGTACCTGCATCTTTCGACGGTCTTTGGTGCCTATCTGCAACGAGATCAGACTATTTCGCTGGCCTTGGCAGAGGTGTGGAGGTATGTAAGCTGGAAGGTGGAGCCGTCACAGGCCCACGGGCCCTCCGGCGGATGTTCGCTGTCTCCAGCTGTCAGCGGCTCGAACAGCTCGGATCCACTGCGGCACACCCATCTGTCAGCCTCTTTGGACATGGCGCACGCCTGGTCGGTGCGTTGCCAGCCCGGCCGTACGAAGACGTGTGTCAAGCCATCAGCACGCTCAAGCTTCAAGCTATGAGGCTGCATAAAAGCCAGCGGAAAGCCGCAAAGCGCAGGCCAAGCTCGGGATGCTCGGCCAGGCCTGGGGCAACCCATTGAGCAAGACACCCTGCAGCGCCATGAACATGCCTAGATGAAAAGCAAACATGCCGCGTGATTGCATGCCCCTGTACATGCCCATTGGCACGTTTTGCACAGCCAGCCAACTCTTTTGCTATGTACAGTGCCCAAGGCCCGTGGTCAGGCTCCACCTCTTTCACCAGAGAAACAACAACATCTAACATCTCTAGATTCTTCCTACATAGAAACATCAATCAGTCTACAGAGACAGTCTACAAGGACAAAGAGCAAGGCGTTGTATACTCCACCCAAATGGGACGGGTTGCCAACCTGTTTTGTGGTGCTTCGACTCGGCTGCCTCCATCCCCCCGACCGAAGTGGCCCTGGGCCTCTTGGTTTCTGGGGGATGTGCCGTTGATTCGCCGTTGGGAGCTAGGTGCAGTGGAACGGGTGTCAGAATCCGGAGCCCCTTCCAATCCTGAACTTCCTAGTTGAACCAAAAAGGGGAGGCATCCTTACATTCATCAAATTCCCATGTCTCTTTCACAACATCAAGGCAACTCATGCAACGAGTGTGTGTGGTCTCGTTCTCTGAGCCTTGTAGTTTGGCCACGGGGGATCGGGCGCGCAGAGGTGGATTGGGCAACTCATCTGCTTCACGCCGCGTGGCGTAGAGAGCAAGCGCTCGCCCTCTTCGCCGGGTGCTGTGAGACGTGGTGGCTGTCAACTTCACTCATCCTCGTCTTCCTCATCCTGACACATTGCGGTCACGTGCCGAGTTGAAGGAGAAACGGGCCACGGGGCATCAACCGACAATCAATGCGAAGGCCAAGCGCCTGGCAAAAGCCGAAGCATGCCGTGAGTTGGTGGGGCTCTTCAATCACACTCAGAGGGTCCGGAGTGCCCTTCTACGGGGTGCCTTCCAGTCACCTGAGGCCATCCAACTCTCATGGGAACCACCCAGTGGCACTTCCCTTGCCACGCCTCGCTGTCGCTGCCATACGCACCCAGCAAGCCAGCAGGTGCCTAGTTGCAGAAAGCCCCAGTAGGTGCATGCACCTCCCAAATCTGGGGCAATGCTCAATAAATGCTCTCAAAACTAGGGGTACTTCTAGGTGGCTTCTTTTGATTTGTTTTCCAACCAACCCAAAAAATGGCCTTGGGCTACCAGGAAAGGGCAAACCCATCTCAAGTGGCACTAAGATGGCAGAGCAATCCTGCAGCCAATGTGGGATCGATTGAGGAAGTCACGATTTAGGAAGTCACTATTCAAGCAAGCTTCCAAGCTGAATCCCAGATCCAACATCAATTTGCTGCTGCGTCTATTCGGAAATGTACTGCACAAAGCAGTCCCTATGGCGACCCGTGACCCCGGCCTCCGACGCCTCCGGCTCCGGCGCCAGCCTTTCAGGCGCCTGAACGGGGCCCTTGGCCTCAGCGAAGCGGCCGGCGGCTGATGGTTGCGTGCGTCTGCATGGAATTTTAGAAGCATGGGCGTCCTTTTCGGGCAAATAGATGGCCCTGGTAGATGATTAAACCACCAAAACAACCAAAACAACCAAAAAGGACACCTATGCTTAGAAGCTTACCCACCTTACGACCTTGTCCTCTTTTACTTCTTGATGTGGAGGCTACGGTGAAAACTCGCTTTCACACTTTGGAGCGGCATGGCATTGCAAACAGTTTGGTGTTTGTCGTCGTGGATGGATCTCAAATGACTCAGAGCATCCCTTGCCCCCTTCCCGGGCTGCCATTAAGCGGGATTGCTGGCCGGAACGCATCGGCATCAGTGCCCTCTTCAACTCGTTGCTTCTTGACAACCTTAGCTGCAAAGAGAGCGCACGCTGGCTCCAAATGTATCGTCGGGGAAAGGCTCGGCATGCAACAACTCTTGGTTCTCTCTGACAGGCCAAGGTGCCACATGCATGCCCTTACTCTGAATGACAGAGTCATGACATGCTCTGCTTGGCAAAACATCATGCCTTTAGGACTGCACAAGGCTCAAGAATGTGGCTGCGACCACATGCGCTTCTGTTCCAGTCGGCCCCCTCAACCTCTACCCTGGCTCAACCCCCAACTGATGCTGCATGTGAAGCCTCACCAGGGGTTGAGCAGTCTGACCTAAACCCCGTCCGCACTGCTTGGCAGCCTGGGAGCCACCAAAGGCATCTTCTTGCCCGCCTTGGTATCCTTGGCTGCCTGGCGTGCTGCCCATGCAGGAAGTGGTACGTCCAAAGGCAGCCAGCGACAACGCTCCCCCAACCCCGCCAGTGCCTGGCGAGCAAACAGTGGCTTGGAGGGCGCTGACGGTGTTGCCTCGGGCGGGCTCCGGGCATTGCCATCCCCAAGGGGTACACCCAACAATACATCATTAGTTGCAGGGACATCAAAACAACTGGTGGACCAAGGACAAGTGCAATATGCATGCAGCTGTCTTCGGATGAATATTCCTGTCGCTTTTTCGTGCATTCAAAGCCGAGCTACGATTGAGGACACATGAGCCTGTGGAGTCTAGGAGAAGTGTGGGGTAATTTGGGTGGACATGTTCGAGGCTAGCCCATTTGGGGGGCTGTTTTCAACGGAATCCAACGTGAAACCAGCATTGTTTTAGTGGGTCCATATCCCATTTGGAGACCAATCCATTGGCCGACGGGCTGCTTCCTCGGCGCGCGCCATCTCTGCCACAAGCTCGCTGAGCTCGCCCTCTCTCTGCCGCTTCCTTCGCTGACTCCCAAAGCCAACGGAACCTGAAGACCCCTCTTTCCAGCGACATGCTTCTTCGTGCGGGGAAAACAAATGTCCCGTTGAAACGTCGGATCACCGCACCGAAAGGACACCTCATGGGCCTAGATACTCAAACCGCCCAAAAAGGGACAAATATAGGGACCGTTGGCCCTGCTAAAGGGACGACCGGCGGGTGATGGTGGGTGTGTGTGTGAGAGAGAGAGAGAAAGCCCATTTCACACCCTTTGTCAGAACTTGACAACTGCGTGTCGAGTCACTGCGACTTCTCTGCTTCCTCTCCTCAGCATCGAGCGACTTTCACGTGGGCCAAGCCACCCTTTTCATGGGGCACTCTACGCGCACAGGTGGGGCATCTTGCGCAACGACGCCTTCACCACTGCAAAACAAATCAATCGTAGTGGGCTGGCTCAATACATCTGCCATGGCGAACACCACCGCTGTCAACCTTGCAAACGCTAAACAACCTAGATAACTAGCGTTGAAGCCAACAAAACACGAAACTGACTTTTCAAGCAGGTCACGCACCACGCACACACACACACACACACACACACACACACACACACACACACACACACACACACACACACACACACACACACACACATGCACACATGCACACATGCACACATGCACACATGCACACATGCACACCAGATGGCCAGTCCGTCCCCATCCCGAAACCTCAGCGAGCAGCTCTCGGCCAACTCCTCTGCGTTGACCATGAGCCCCGAAAGGGTCCGCGCCGTGATGGCGGCGCCTTGCCTTAAGAACTTGTGATCTAGCAAGGCTGGGGTGATTCTGAGAGATGCCCAGAGCTCACTGTGGCCCTGTGGGGCGTGAAGTTGAACCACATGTTCCTCATCTTCGGCCAAACTTCGACATGGCAGGGGCGTGGCAGGAGCCCCCTGCGGGATTTTGTGAGTACATTGCCGCCAGGAATGCAGCAAAATAATGATTGGACATTTGTGGCACTATGCTTGGCAGGTCACAATAGGTATGTTGAATTCCTGCCTCTTTCGCGTGCACGGCCAGTCCAGTTTGTTAGTATGTGGAATTGGGTGGGCTCCCACATCACCATTCAATCGTCGCTTCTCTTGTACCAATCATAGTGTTAGTTGCTCACATCCCAAAAGCAACAGACTGTTCAATCTGACATGTTTCACGGAGACGCAGGTGCTGTAAGCCCCTCTGGATCTAAATGCCAAGCCGCCTGGCATGCTTTTCCACCAGGTACTTCAGACCTTACATGTGGGTCACTCCGCAACACTCATTGCCTTGCAGCCTGCGGCCCCTTCGCTCTCACATGCACAAAACACAGTTAAGTTTCAGTGATCTTCCGCTGGGAGAAAAACGCTGTGGTGCATATCCACAAAGCCCAAGCTGCTCCGAGGTCATCTCCGTTGAGTACATCTGACTGGACCACCAGGGGAACAGTATTTCGTTGCACGAAGTTTGCTGTGGCACGCCCAGTCCTGTCTAGGTGGACCTGTTCAGCATCCCTCCCCCCGTCACAGCATCTTCCAGTGGGATAGTAGCAGGCGCGCCTGCTTCCCGCTGGTCTTTGGTCACCCAAACTGAGGATTGAGTGTCCTGGAGCGCCAGTGAAAGATGATGCCCGCCCAAGGCCAAATTGAGGATGTGGTGTTGATGCCCGCCCAAGGCCAAATTGAGGATGTGGTGTAGACAACTTAGCATAATCTCGTAAGATAAGCAGCCCCCACATGGCTGTGGGTCAATAATTTTGACCCATACCCACATGATATGGCGAAGTCACTGCGCTGGTGTGCTGGTCTGCTTGCCCCTACCGCAGAACTGCCGGTCCAGGTTCTTGATGCGCTCGGTGGCAGTCACCATTGTCCTAGGCAGCGTCTGGGGCGGTTGGGGATGCCTCAAACCCATGGACCTCTTGGGCTGCAAGGTGACACATGACCGTTCAGTCACGACAGCGCATGCAACGAATGGAATTGCGGCGCCAAACCTTTGGCCAAGGTGCACAGCAATGAAACTTTGGCGGGCTGTGCTACATAGTTTCTGAGCCAAACAATGGGCTGCGCAGCACAATGCCAAATTGACAGATGGGGGATCACTCGGCGCTTCTGGGAACTATGTCAAGGGAAGAGGACGCTTTGCAAGCTGTTGATTGTGATTCTTTATTCAAGGTGCGAGTGAAAGTTAGCTCACTCAGAAAGCTGGGCAGGGCAGGTGCTGCTGAAACCTTGCCAAAGCATAGCTCAAGACTAGGTCGGAAGCTACAGTAGCTGACAGAGATCTCTTGACAAATGCCAAAAAAAAGCTCAACACTAGCTGAAATTAGTCGAAAACTAGGTCAACACAAGATCAGCCTATAGCAAAAACGGTCAGTTTGGCACTCGGCTGCTTTTCACCCGCGCGCCCAGGACATCAATCCGAGGCCTTGCAGGGGACGATGTCAGGGATCCCAGAGGCCAAGTTGCTTTCGAAAAGCGGGGCTCCCCGTCTTGAGCTACAAACATCCGCGACTTTACCTGACATTCATATACACAATAAAACAAAGCAGTACTACGTCCCCTCACAACAACCACCGGAAAAGCAGTTTTCGCAGCTCATGATCGAGCACTCAGCGACTAGGGCACAATCCTGTTACTAAGCTGAGTGTCAAAAAGGCAAGCAAGTCTATGACATGGGAATGGGCTAATAGGCCCTTGCACTGTCACAGTTTGTGTTGGTGCATTGACACCTCCACCGCAAGAAGGACGGAAGAAAGGCGAAACACCGGATACTCCCCAAGCCAGTGCCTCCGACCAGCAAGCCTCCAAAGAAGACCACGGCACACAGGAGCCTGGCATTTCTGAAGCCGGTCTATTACATTGCTGAAGGACAAATCGTGACAATTGGGCGCTCCTTGTGCAAGACATTCATTGATAGTATGCACCATATCGGCATGATGCTTGCGGAGAACTTCACCTCACATCTGTCATATTTTGTGCCAGCACTGCCCCATCTTGGTCTTGGACGCCATGCTGGCATGCTTAGAGGCAACTCCTGCGATTTCACCCAGGTGCCGAATGCCTCCCTTGAACGCCTGCACATCTGTGCGCTAACTCCCCACCTGGAGCATGATTAGCTTACAGTCCCAACATGCGAGGGAACATTATAAAGGCATTTTGATAGCCAGATTGAGTTTCCTTCACAATGCCCAGCTTAGAGCAAAACTGAGGCCCAGCGTTCAAGCCTGCCAGTTTGCGACAGTTATTGCTCCTAGTCGTTTTACTTGTGTTACCTCTTTTACTCATTTTACTTGTTGTTCTCCCGTTACTGCCGTCCCTGCTCTCACTGTTGCTGCTGCTACTCGAGAGAACCATTAACTTGCACAGGTCTAGAGACACCTGGTGAAAGGTGCTCTGTTATCGTGACCGAATGTGCAGGAGGTTCAAACATTTGCGGCATAAAGAATTGACAAAGAGTGGACCACTAGTCTCCTTATAGAACTCTCCCTTGGCGGCCTCCTGATGCTTTAGTTGCCGCTTCATCACCGTATATTATTCCCAAAAGAGAAAAACGGTTCAACTTTGACCCGCAAGTCCTCAACACTGCCCGCAATCTGCCCTGCAATGCCTTAAGGCGTTAAGAGCTTGAAAGCAGCCACCACAAAGCACCACACAAAGTCCGGCAACAGGCACTGGTAAATGTTTCGAAGGAAACTGGACCTAGTGTGGATGGACGAAATACTGCACCAAAAAACCCAGAAATGCTGCTTCCCCTGCAAATACCACCAAACAAAATGGCTTGTACGGATCTCAAGTTGGTGCAGGATTTCGTCCATCTAGCGCATGGCGCCCCCATGCCCCGGCTGCTTGGCCCGGCGCCACTGCAGCGCCCACTCCGCGTCGCTCTTCGGCAGCCGCACGGCCCCCGGCGCCGGCTCGATCGGCACCCACGGCAGCAGGGGCTCCTCAAGGTCCCTGGCGCGCGGGACATACTGCGGATGGACAAAATCCTGAACCACCCAAGACACCATGGGAAACCATTGTTTGTTGGTATTTGCAGGGGATCATATCATTCTACTTCTTAGGTGGTGCAGGACTTCGTCCATCCGTACGATGCCCATTGTGCGTTTCACAGGGGTCCTCATGAGACCGCCGGACGAATGGCGGTTCATTGAGCGTGGCATGCTTTGCATAACAGTGTTCAACAAGCCGCTTTGGTGTTGCTGAGAATGCTGGGCACAGGGCACTGTGACGACACTCTCAGGGTCAGCGCCGCTGCCATGCGCAAACCAAAGAATCGCAAACAATTACTTGGGCGTCTAATCAAAAGGCTTTTGGGGCACATATAAGTCGTATTTGCCTCCATCTACCCAGGAATGAAAGCAAACCTATAGCCACTGCACAAGGCTCTGACACCTTCGTCCGAAGTTATCTTAAAACTCTCGCCCAAACGCTGCTTGCTCATGCAGTCCTCGCGTTAAAACCCGATCACAGCAATCGGCATGTGTTAATGTGCGTTTGTGATGGTCCTGGCAACACTATCACTTTCCGCACGATGTCTGATTCTCGCGTGTGATGCGGCAAATAAACCCTCACGGCATGAAATGACTGCCCCGGTTTCTTGTAGCATGGCTCCGCTCCCCTGCCTCTTTAACTGCCGTCGCTGCTCAGCAGAAACACGCCTCAACCTTGGCAAGCCGTCCGAGATTCTCTTTTGAAAAAAAAAAGACAGTCCACCATGCAAAGTTGTCCTATGGCACCTTTGTTACCATTTGCAAAGTGGATCTCTTCAGATCTGCATGCCGGCGCTTCCTCTCTTCCTATGTCTGGTTAACAGCTCAGGTGCTGAGCCAACAGGCCCGGCAGAATGCATGCCGTGATGCTTGGAACAACACCTCACTTCCGAACTTTGCCGAACAAATAGCCATCCTTTTAGAGGAACCCATCCCCCTTACAATGAATATGAGGAGCATGCGGTTTAACGACCATGCTCCAGAAAAACAACGCCACAACCCGCAAGTGTTCTGCTTCGCAACCTTCAAGCATTGCCATGCAGGCTGTTGCGTTCTCCTTGGGCTCTGTGCGTTTCTGCCCGGCGCAAACTGCCGTTGCTTGGGAACCTCTTTGCTTGGCTCAAGTGATGGGGACATTTGAAAATGTGGTTTGCTGTTGCTTTCCCTTTAACTACCAGCCCAAAAAGACATCCATTTCCAGAAACCCACAGCGTATTTGATTTCTCCAAGCCCCGGAGTGACCTCCGGGCCCCCAGGCAGCACGGCATACAGCGCCGCAGGGAGGCAAAGGCCTCGGCACGATGCTTCGGGGCTGCTGGGCTGAAAGCCAACTGGGAATGCCGCAATAGTGCATATGGCAATAAGCAACACCGGGGCCTTGTTAGGATGCCGGTCGTGGTTGGCAGACCTTCGAGACGGCCCTATTGGGTGTTCATTCATCAAGGTTGGCTTAACGTTGGACTCGTTTGGGGTGGGTGTCGGGAGCGTGGAGGCTTGCTTTGCAGCGGGCCCGCTGGTGGTTGCCTGAACAACGTGGGAAGAAGTGGAAAACCATGGCGGCAAAAATTGCTCACCGCGGCTTAGTGCAGGCCAGCGGCTGAAAAGCACACCTAAGGTGCATCCTAAGAGCGACAGGACCTTGGCCAGTGAAGGAATTGCCTCGGATGGATGCAATGCCAGACACATTTGCTGAAGAGTTGACATGTGCGTGGGTGGTGGTGCTTAACACGAGTGACTCATAGTGACGCCTTGTGTCCTAGACTTTGCATTTGCTGCTGTCGTACCTGAACATCTTGTCCCTGAAAAGCCACTTTGCAATGGCACTGCAACTTGCAAATGACAAGCCGAGAAAGCAATGCGCACGTCAACCTTTGGAGCTTCCGTGCTGTCATTACACTGCGGAATAACATCACATTTGATCATGAGGCCTCAATGAGCAACACTAGCAACGACTTGACCTCTCAGGCCAAAAGCGCTACAATGGAGCATTGAGGCATTCAGTCTCAATCCCAAAGCAATAGATGGCATTAAACTGTCTCCCGTAGCGTGTTGCCACGAACACTCAAACTGCGATTGGCACCATCCAACTGTCTGTGTGCAAGCTTGCTTTACAATGTCAATGTCATGCCGAATATATTAATACCGCAGCCGAGTATAGCCAAGTTCACTTCAAGTGGGGCTTTCAACACGTTCAAAAAGAGTGAAACATCACTGTGAGAACAGCCGGTGGGCTTGATTGTTCCAAATCTGGTCTCTCCCCAAGGCGCGCCAGAGCGAATTGCAGGTGGCCGAGTGTTATTTTGACCTCCCATGAGTGGGATGCCTTGGGATTTTGGCCATCCCGGTCGGCATGCGAGAGAACACTGGCCCAGGATTGCTTCAGGTTTGCTGGCTGCCTTCACTTGCTTGCTTGGATTTGCGATCAAACTGGGCTCCCCTGTCAACTAAGTTCACCCTCTCTCCTTGCCTTCCCCGCCCATGGCTCCCCACCCAAGAAAAGACACACCGCATCCACGGCTCCGTCCTCCCGTTTTCTCCCGCCGAAACGCGTAGGCGCCGCAGGCGCCGAGGCCCAGGGCCGCCACGCTGCTGGCGACGCGGCCCCAGAAGCTCCGCAGGGCGCGGCGCTTGGCGGAGGTGCCCAGGGAGACCACCAGCGCCTCACGGCTCGATGGCGATGGCGCGCGGGAGGCGCGGAATAAGGGGGGAGACGAGGCACTGCATACAGGGGAAGCTCAAAGAAACAAAGTAGGAGGTGGGATTCCCTTGGGTTGATGGCAGATGATCTGTAACCAAGCCATGTTGTCTTGGGTTGCCACCCGCGGTTGATGTCTGTTTGAATGCGTATGGTTTGCTGGTGTGGCAACTCAACTGTCAAAAGGGAGCATCGAACCTCCAATGAGAGCTCTGTTTGACCGAGACTCAATAGCTAGCATGGCTAGCTGAGTTTTCCCTTGCCCCGCCTCCCGCAGGGTGATGACAGCAGAGGCGAGTTTCGCCACGTTCCTCAGCGTGCAGCACAAGTCCGTCGCAGAAATTTCGTGTCACACATGGTCCTCCTCAGATTGTTCATTGGCAAACCCTGCAAAATGCACGCAGCTGAAGTTGTGATCTGCAAAGATACATATTTACCCGTTACAAACATTGTGTTGTTGTTTTTGTTTTGCTTTTTTGCGGGCATCCAAACGTTTCCTAGCTTCATTCTTGACAAATCGTGCATTTCATGCTGGGTAGGCAACAAGCCCACACCCTCCCCCAATGCGCAGCCGGCAAAAGAATTCCACCCCTGGAAAGGCCATCTTGTGAAGAAGTTGCCCCCAACACCTGGCAATGCAATGCCTTGCCTTGGCTTCGTGGTGTACAAGGTCGTCTCAACACGGTGCGGCCAGGGGTCATCAGCCCAAGGGTCAAGCGCGCCGCGGCCATCCACGGATCGCCCGGAAAGTCCTGGCGAAGGATAACCCGGTGTCTGTGAATTGCGCCGAGCGAAAAATGCCCAACATTGCCAGTCATGCCTGGATAACCCTGCCTTGGAATGCGGCCACATGCAGGAGGACGCAAGTGGGGCTTTGCTATGTGAGTCGGAACCAAGCTTCTGCTTAGCGAATGAACAAACCGCATGGTAAAGGCCATGCCGCTGTTCCTGCAAAAAGGGACTCCACTAGCTGCGTCACGAATCTGCTGCAAACCACCATGAATCAATTGCATCAATATATGACTCCCCCTCCCACTCGCCTCCAGGATGTTGGCAGAGACCTTGCTCCCATGGAGCCAGAAGCCACCGGCGCCCACTGCCGTGTACACCGGCAGCACCTCCCCCAAAATCACCGTCCGCACCACCGCCCCCACCTGCGTGCGGAGCGAGAGAGGCTGAGGCTCCGGAGAAAAAAAAGGGGGAAAAACGGGCGCGAGGGTTCGGAAGAACCCAGGGAGTTGCGATGAGTTGGGGAAGTTGTCAGGCTTCAAATGTGTAGAACAAGTCCAACCTCCAGCAAGTATTTCAGGGGACCCCAGCACGTGAGCTTTATTCTGCTCAAAGCTCTTCAGACAACAGGTATCATAACTGCAGTCGAACACATCTCGGAAATCCCCAGGCGGCCCGAAGAAGCCCGCTGCGGAACTTCCCCTCACCGTCAGCAAGCTCAGACTCGCGCTACAAGCACTTCACAACTTTACAAAAAGCAAAACACGGTAAGGCAGAGTCGAAGGGAAAGCAACGGCTTGGCCAAGCCAGGCCAAGCTTGACAGGGCCAAGCAAAGAAGCAACCCATGAAAAACGACGAAAGAAAACAGCAAGCTGGCATGCAAGCCAGCAAGTGAGCAAGCAAGCAAGACAGCAGGCAGGCAGGCAGGCAGGCAAGCAAATGCAAGGGACTCACGGGCAACGCCACTGCCCAGCTCCACTGCTCCACCCCCCACCCCCCCGGCCTTGGGCTTGGCCGCAGGCTGGAGCTCAGCATCCAACTGTCAGAGTCGGAATTCCATGTGCTTACAGAACGGTTTGGAGGCAAACAGGCGCTCAGCTGACAGACTGCTTTTTTGTTTTTGAGGACTTGCCACGGAACAGAAAGAAACGTGAGGCTGCAATGTTCAACAAAACCAACATGGGTTGGTTCTGCTCCCTCAAATAGTTGCATAGGCATTCTCAAAGGACCCAATCTACCAAAAGCGCCCTGGGTTCCATGTCAGATTCCGGTAGACTCTTGGACCCTGGAAAAGCCAACAGCCCGTTCAAGCGCAAACTTCTTGCGAGCTTGGGGTATTTAGCCGTGAGCTTGCTGCCACTCTCCCTTTCCCTGGAATCGCCTGCAGTATGGTGGTATGGCACAGCAGCGACATCAGCAGCACCGGGGGCCCTTGCCAGAATTGCGGCACGGCGACCTGCGAGTGGATCCGTTTGAACTCAGCGAAGTCCAGGCGCACGTTGACATGTTTGATTCAAGCCCTCGTCCGCCCCGAACATCCTGTCCATCTTGAGTCCAGTCAGGCGATTTGGACAAACATCCTCTAACTTGTTGTGCGCGACTGTCACAGTCTCGTAAAAACCTGCTGTCAGCTACGCAATCCTCAGCTCGCAGTTTGGATGATTTAACTTTGCTGCGCCAGTGTCCCTATGTTCACGAAGTTTTGCTTGGCGCAAAAACTGCAGCTGCCTTTCTCTTTGTCAATGGGACGAAGCCCACACCCGACAAAAGCCTCGGCAAAGAGAGAGAGAGAGAGATAGAGAGAGAGAGAGCGAGAACTTTGGATTGGCTTGTCATGCGAGTATATTGTAGGACAGGTAAGCATCCTACAATATTGGCACACACAAGAGGTGGACGAAACATACAGGGCTGCCTATCAATCAACCCCCAGAAAGCCTGTGGCTCCTTAGCACAGGAAGCCGAAAAGACGCTCTGGAGTGCACACTGTCCGAGCTTGTGTCCCTTCCAAATGCCCAAACCCAAGCCAGTGCCGGACACCCGCACCTCATCCAGCGCGAAACTGAAAGTCACCGCTTCGGGGCTTAGCGCCTCATGAGAAAGTAGGAAAGAACAACGCTTGCCGCTACAATGCTAAAACCCTGACCCCAAAGATGTGGTGGCCCTCCCGCGCATAAAAGAAAAGGTATGGATGGGGTTTGGAGGCTCACCTGCGCAGCCGAGCAAACATCCCCAGGCTGTCGGCTCGAACGTCAGTTCTTGCTTTGCCACACCTCCTGCTTCCTTTGTGAAGTTAACGAAACGATCAGACTTTGCCAAGCGAGCGACAAGTGCCGGTCGAAATCATGCAGCAACAAAGGGCGTGTCAGCCAACGCTTCAGGTGCTTCAGACGTTGCTAGGCCAAGAAACTTTGCCAGCCAGCCGCACCAAGAGCACGACGAAGAAGTATGCCAGGCAAGCGAAGCTGAGCATGGAGACGAAGGTCAAAGAGTGAAGGCCTGAGCTGGAAACGTGTCCAGATTGGGGCATATGAGTGGCAGGGAGCGGGCAGGCAGGTAGCAGGCAGGCATGCAGGCAGAGCTGGAATTTGGACATGTTCACAGGATGGCCCCGTTTGACGGGTTACTGCAACTTCCAAGTTTGAAAGGAGGCAAGCAGCTCTGTCCCTTGCACACGGACCAGGCAATGGAGTCCCCCCACCTACATGTGCTGGCTATTCATCAATCGTGTGCAGGTTTACTTGAAGACAAGCCGGCTGCGGGCGGTCTTGAGCTGTGCTGTCCTCCGCACATTGTTTTGACACGTACTGGCCCAAGGCTGAGCGCAGCAGGACAAACCCTGATCTTTCCAGCGGGGTCGATTCTGTCTGTGTCGGATGCCCTTTTTGCACTGGGTGGCCCGCCTGGAAATGTGTTGCATCTTTATGAGAACGATTAAACATACATAACTACAAACAACACAGAAGCACAACCGCAAACACAAATACCAAAACAAACACCAACACAAACACCAACCAACCAACCAACCAACCAACCAACCAACCAACCAACCAACCAGCCAGCCAGCCAGCCAGCCAGCCAGCCAGCCAGCCAGCCAGCCACCCACCCAACCAACCAACCCAACCCAACCCAACCCAACCCAACCCAACCCAACCCAACCGACCAGACACACAGAGAGGCAGACAGGCAGGCAAACAGACAAACACAGTCACACAAAAAACAAACAAACAAACAAACAAACAAACAAACAACCAATGCTTGGGGGAAGGAGTTTGACACAATTAGTCAAGCAGCTCTTCTGGCACGCCAAAGGCAGCACCGCTAGGGAGATCAACAGAAGGACGCGCTCCAGCGGCATGCCTGCAAGAACAGCAAAGGGCCGAGGCCATAGAAATCGCAAGCCTGATAAACCAAAAAAACCAACGGGCGTTGGCAGGACCGAATTTACTACATCTAAACCGCGGCAAACATGAAAGTGGGCAACCATGATATTGGATATTGGAGGTAGTCAGTCACTGCTCGCATCATGCCTAGTAACTACACGTCATTCTGGAAAGCGACAGGTGTGGTCGGTTGGCACCTAGCCATGGTCTCAGCTCGACCAAGGTGCACGGCGCTGGATGCGCTTGGCAAAGTTTCACCAGAGGTTGCCTCTGGGGCTCCTCAGGGACAGCGGAGAGGGCGACCCTTCTCAAGCAACTCGGCGGAGCTCGCGCTTGTTCCAAGGCTGACGCCTGCAATCTGTGTGTGTGTGTGTGCGTGTGAGTCCAGTATTTGCTCAACTCCTCCCTTGCCTCGCCGCTTTTTTCAAGTTTCCCTCTTTGCCCCCGCCTCAGTGCAAAGGCTTGCAAGCATCTCACGGGCACTGCAGCCTGTCGCCAGACATCCCCCCACGTTGCACGTGCAGGGATGGGGCAAGAGTCCAGGAGGCTGGGTCCGAAAGGACTTGATGCAAGGCTTGGAGGGTCCAAAAAACGGAGATAGGTGCAACCTGTTGTTCTTCTATGTTCCTTGATGAAGACTTGATGTTTGATGGGTTGAAGTTGAAATGGCTTCTGTTTTTTGGGATTAAACGAGTTTGGAAAAATGGACGGCCATTGAGCGGGAATAGCTAGACGCATAGGCTAGGAGTCGTGTTGTGCGAGTAGCGTGCCAGCTCACATATCTGGCAAATCTCTGAATGAAATGGGCTCATGCGCAAGCAGTAAGTGTCCGCCTCCCCCAAATGTGGCACGGAGTGCAACCTGCCTAAGAGGCTGCTTGCCGTCACAAAGATCATGACAATGCCGCCACAAAGCAGCAAAACCTGCAGGCACTGCAAGCACCTTGACTCATTCTCTGCACGGATCCGCTGTGACAAATGGCCGCTGGTTCCTTTCCATAACCGAGACAATAGTTTGGCAAAAACCAAGTCGCCCTGTGTTGTGTGTGCGAGTTGTCAAAAGCATGCACTCTCCCAGGAGAGAGGACACCATGAAGAAACGAGCTGCTCGCCGGTGAGATACCCCCTTGGTGCCGGCTTCATTGTTCCGTGGTGTTGCTCTGAACCAAGCTGCTGATTGTCCAAGCAGAGGCGGATCATGTCTAGCTCAGAAGGAAACGCTTGTGGACTTGTGGACCCCAGCAGGAGGACCCTGCACCAAAGGGGCAACACGCCTCAGGTCACTGCTGGCCGACCCTGGGAGAGCACTTACCAAAACTCCGCACGGCAGCCTCTTCCCACCAGCCTGACAGATTTGCACCGCCCTCCCTGCATCCGCGCCGAGAAAATACTGGGCATTCTCCTGCGAAGAGGCCGGGGGTCGGTGCAGACTCCAACCCTTTCTGCTACTCATGTAAAGACAACATAACCTCTCCTAACATGGCACCAGTAAGCGACCCAGAACCAATTGTCCATCAAGAACTGGCTGCAGTTCCAAGCTTGGGCTCAACAAGTTGCCTCCACTCTGAGCTCTGGCGGCTGTTAAATTCGTGGGTGCGAATGGTGGGACTGAGCTGAAAGCCATGTCTGCAGGTTTGATCAGGTCTTGGAAGCGCAGGGGAAAAGAATGAAGGCGGTACTTCCCCTGGGAACGAAAAAGAACATCTGTTGGAAGCGCTTCACCATGTCCATCCCAGCATGTCCCTGGGAATGGCTGCGCCAGCTCTTTCCATGTGGCCTCCCTGTCGCTCGACCCCCGAAGCTCCCGGAAGCCGCGGCGGCCGCTGTACCGACCACAGGCCACCAACCAGCGAAGGGACAACTCTACCCACCTCGAGGGCAGCTGGGGCCCCATCCAGTGCGATTTGGCGACTCACCAAGGAGGACTTCAAAGCAAGCCTATGCAAATGGCTTGCCAATCACGCAATTGATTGTCTCTCGATTTTTCAGAAGAACGTCCATTAAACAACAACTCAGATGGTTGAGGCGATATTTACCCCTCTTCTCTCCCAGCTTGTCAAAGGCTGGCGATTGGCCCCGGAGCTGAAGCTGATGCCCTTTGGGCGCAAAATGGCACTGCTAGCAGTGAGTTCCCCGCATGCAAACCTACCAAAAGTCGTGCACACAAGTTGGACTTCCGCTGCACCAAGCAATTTTGGGCAATCCAAAGGTGTCCTTGGAACAAAAAGGATTTGTGAATGCGCAGCGCAAGCTGGAGGTCATTGCTTGGTTGGATTCTCTACGACTCTACAAATGGTGGCTTGACGAAATAGGAATCCGGAACCTTTGTGGGGCCCACTGCAACAGTGGTGCAATATCACACCAGCGAGGGCCATTAGCACGACAACGTCCCAGCAAAGGTCAACATCTTTGGACCCAATGCAAGCAGAAAGACAATTTGTCATCTGAAAAGGCAATCGTCTATACGAGTGTGGCTCAATTGTTTTAAAAAGAATGCTAGGGCTTCGCAGGTCTTTGGTTGCACTTACCAAGGTGCAATTATGGTACATTTTTTCTGAGCCACGACCCTATGCATCCCTATGCCAAAGCTGGCCCAAAAGCCGAGGGGCAAGGCAAAGACCACCAGAAAGGCCATGCTCCACCTCCTGGGCGGTAAGCCGAACCCATCGGCAGCAAGAGCGACACCCAAACTTAGGATTTGGTGTTCGCTTCGGTGCAAAGCAAATTGGATGGTTACCACTGTGACACCGGCGAACCGCGAACTCCCAAGAGGGCAATCCCCACAACCCTGCGGCCTACCGGATAGCACGGTTCCACAGGCTTTTCACGGTCATAGTTATTGGTTTGTTTATGTACTTGCAAGATTCAGGGCATGAACAGTGGCAACATTTACCAGTTTCAACACACTCCGGCAGCCCAGAAGGGGACCACCATGCAACACATTGCGTGTGCCGGAAAACAACCGAACTGCAAAAACTCGAAGCATCTCAGCCAACTTGGCATACATCCGCAGCATAAAAGCAGCATCAACGTCAGGACCGACCTCGCCAGTGTCCTCCAATGGCTAAGGGGAATGATGGCGACCATCTATTCAATCTACCCACTGCCTCCTTCCTCTTTCGGGAAACAAACCGAAAACCGAGTCCAGGCGTGCAACCCGACGTCCAGGCCAGGCGTCATGCCACACACCGCGAAGACCCGCGGCAGCGCGAGGATGCTGCAGCCCATGGCTGCAGCGCTCAGCGTGATAACCTGGGGCAAGCGCACGCGAGTCACTGTGTGCCAGCTCATTGGGAAGGAGGCAGGGAATACTTAACTTGGCCACTGGTTTCAGGACACCTCTTCGCTCAACTGAAGGACACCAACATGAAACGAATCGATTGGAGGGGCTCCTATTCAATTTTGATAGAGCCACCCCAGCGCCTTTCAGCCGTGATCACGTCAGGGAGTAAAAAGAAGGCCCCTGGTAAAAGGACAAATGTTGTGTGCGTGTGTGTCTGCTTCTGAATTTTCTTCACGGACTGGCCCATGCGAACATCAACCTCATTCTTGACCAAAGGGCCAGGCTCGGCAAAACGAAACAGGGGTCAGTGAGTGATAGCAGCCTGCCAAACTGCAGAAGCCAATGTCCGCCTCTGTCTCAGCTTCTCACCAAATCTTCCATGTCTTCGCAACGCGTCTCATTTAAAAAGTTGATGTTGCCTTCAAGAACTGTGCTGGACAGTGAAGAAAAACACTAGCACACCGTCAAGCAAAGAGGGACAACAGCTTCTTGAGCAAAAGTCGCTTGAAGGTCCTACCGTGGGCCTGAAGCTGTCGTTTAGATCTGGCTGGACATTTGACCTGTTATGCAAAAATTGGAATCGGTTTTCTATCCCTGCAAATTCTGGCCGCCCAGACTGTGCTCTTGCTGTCTCTGCTGGTTCCGTCTTCAGTCCAACCTTAAATTGTGACAAGCCCTTTGTCAACCGTAGTATGCAGGACCACAAACGTCAAGCAAAAAACATAGAAAGCAAGAGAGACAGAGAGAGAGAGAGAGAGAGATAAAGAGACCGCAAAGGTCAAAAACATGGCTCCTGGATAAGAACCCATGTATGAAGGTGTTGAATCAGCCTGTACAAATTATCGACGCTTATCCCGTACCAATAATTGTTGTGCTGTGCTGATGGCTGATATGCGAGAATGAAGACAGTCAATGGCCGTGAAATTCGCTCGCAGCAAAGGAATTATCTCGTTCACTAGCAACAGGTTACGTCTGTCATCATCTGCCGCGTACCTCTGAATATGGAGCAGAAGGAGTAACACTTCACGACCTGCCGAGCAAAGCAGGGCCGACATCAATTTAGTTCTCCTCGCATTGTTCCTTACCCTAGTTGCTTTCCAGCATCTCCGTCGGAATTAAGGCGATGCAAAGCACACCAACAGGCTTTGGCGCAGCTGGCGCATCTTTTAGTCTCCCTGCTGTGAACGATGTGGGAAATCATATGCAAGTCCCAAGTTGGTGGTGACAATGAACATCGTGGAATCTGATGTTGTCTTTCCAGCTGAGGTGTGCAAACCCATTTCACATCATACCCAACAGGAAGCAATAGCAGATAGACGTGAATTTGTATGGCTATGTCTGAAATATGGAGCGCAAGCTTTAAAGGGCATTGCCCACCAAACCCGTCCGTAGAACTCGCCGTTCCCCAGCCAAGGTGCTGAGCTAACGAAAGTGCCCTGGCCCTGCGCATGCGCAAAGATTGAAGCCTTCCTCATTGGGAGGAGATCAAACATTTTCATCTCAAAGACAGCTGCTAGCCAGCACAAACCAAATAGCAGGCAATGGGTCAGTTGAAGAGGTCTATGCAGGTATCAGACGTACAGCAAAACAAGTTGAAATTTGTCCGGCATGCCCGGTCTGCTTGGTGTTTGGCCATTGCAAGCAAGTCATCTCCCACAACCCACTGCTGAGCACCACTGGAACGATAGCTTCACTGCACCACAAAGAGCGGCACAAAGACGGAGACAAGGGCTGAGCCGTGAGCAAAGCTCCAGCAATTGATCCCAGATCCAAACATCACAGATCGAGCATATTTGAAACAAATTGAAATGCCGTTGGCTTTGAATTGCCCACAACGTCCCACAACATATCCTGCGCCGACTCGACAAAGGTATGTTCAAACTGATTGAAGCGTAGAGTTTGATTGCAGCTCCTGAAAGGAGGCGCTTGGATCTCGTTCAGAGCCAGATCTTCTACAACCCTGGAATGGCCTCGACGCATATTTCCGTCATCGGTGATCCAAATTCAAAGGGGACAATGGAAAACGCAGCTTGTATCTTGGGATGGGACACACTCCAAGCAAGTGCCGTCACCGCCAGGCCCTGCGAAACATCATGCAAACACAAAGCTCACACTAACCCCCCCCTCCCCCTCCCCGAGCCCCCAAGCTACAAGACTCGGCCCGTCCATTTCATGCCAGTTTGCTCCCAGGTTCCATGTTTTGAGGCGATGCTTGGGGCGCACAACGGGACGGTGGCATCCTTGGTCGACAAGCCAACAGTTTACTTTGCATACTCATCATCCTTTATACATATATATATAATATTTCTATATATAGAATCCAAGTGCGGAAAAAACAAAACAAAAGGGAGCAGGGTTGGTGAACCAGAACTGGCCTCCCTAACCCTCCCTCACCCTGCCTCGCCGGGGTCTGAGCAGCTTCTCAGCCGCGGCATGTTGGAAGGGCTGAGCGCCATCGATTGAAAAGCGGCGCGCGCTGCTTGGCGCGCCGAAAACTGAGGCAGGGCAGCTGGCGCCGCTTAAAAGGGCGCAGGGAACTGGAACAGGGCCCAGCGGCGGAATGCTGCGGAATGCTGGGTGGGCGTGCTGGTATTCTTACGGAGTACGGTTGCAATCCGCAAATTTTGTAGGGCGCCAGCCTAATTGCTTCACACGGTGAAGCGAGGTCGGTATTCCAAGGATCAGCACTTCTTGAACAACGGCACAACTTGTTCGCTTTGCAAGTGACTATATAAATACCCTTTGATGTCTGCGCTTTGCGGCAGAAAGGCCAAAACCGGAGGCCTGCGCCAGCGCGAAAAGTCCTACTGGCTCGAGCCCAACAACTGTCTGGCGGACGTAGTCTGTAAGCAGGTGGTGCAATGGGTTGGTGGCGCGTGTATACAAGGATCCCGGGTTTACGCAAATATATGCCTGGTCTGGTTTGGGGTGACCCAGGTTCCGATCCGCTGGCAAATAAACAAAACAGGAAACTCCGGTTCAACGTTCTGATCAGCAAAAACACCAGCTCAAGCAGGTTGCACAAATCGCACTGACTTGTGACTCCTCGCCAGTGATGTTGGGATTCTGTGTGGATGATGAATGATGATCCAATAAGCCTCCAAGAAGCCCAAACGGAATCAGAGGAGGCTGGTTGACCAGCAGACATGAAGGTCCCAGGGTGTTAATGTTGGATGGAAATTGGATGGCACAGCCAATGACAGACCCTGCCCTCGGTGTCGAAAGTTGAGAACACCGCTGGCGCAACGAGGTTGAGTATGCTATGAACTTGCGGCATGATCTGGCAAACTCGTGGGGGAAACACTGCACTCCAGACACACTCCAAACTTGGGGTTCATATCAAAAAGCACCCGCAACTACTGGGAATACAGGGTACCAGTATTCCACCAAGTGAGATCCAGGGAGAAAGCCCTCAAACACCCGACGCAACAGCAGGCGAGCACTATTCGTTCACACCGCCGGTCAAACGTGGCTCAGAGCTTTGAGAAGTTCGGCTTCGTCTTCGTGATGGTAGCCTGAGCAGCTTTCATCACCTCAGCTGATTGTCATGCTGCCAAAGGCTTGAGGCTGTTCAGCTGAGAGAAGCTGACAGGGTCAGGAATGTTCTGCCACCTTATATCTTGCACTGCCGCTTCTTGTCACTTGAACAGGACAAAGTTGCGGCATCACCATTTCAATCGAGTCTGGATGGACATGCGCATAAAGCAAACTTCACTGAACACGTCGGGGCTTGCCTGGCCAAAGCGCCAAAATCCTTCTGATCACGGTGCTGTGTGCGCTGATCATGGCACATATGCGACTAGCAACTTTGAGCAACATATGAATCCCAAGAGCGACACTATGACCATGTCAGCCCCATAGTATAAAGGTCCGGCCGATTGTGTTTGCCATGCTTCCTGCAGGAAAACCAAGCATCACACGGGTTCCTAAGCTTGACATACTGCCAAGCGCAAAATGAAGTTCAAGGAAACGCTCAGGGACCCTAACCTGAACTTGTACAGCTGCATCTTGACGGAGCCAGCATCTGACTGCAAGACTGGGGGCCCTAGCGTCTTCAGATAAAAGATGGAGCGAGTTCCACTGCTTGATGTGGTCCAGGCCCTCCTCGGCAATGTCATAGACAACTATGAGTCAAGAGCAAGCGCTATTCGGTGCCTCTTTCCAGAATGCACACATGCACTATCATACACGCATGTTCCATCGACTCTTGCTCCTTGGGCCACATGAGCATGATCGACACTTGCCCTGCACGTTTGCTTACAACCCCCAACCAAAACACTAGCGTCCAGAGCTGTCTGAACTTTGCTGCAACCTCTTGCTGTTTGAAGCATCATGGTGTGGCCGCAATTGTTAATGTGTATGTATGCATCCACGGCCAAGCGGTCCTGCACGCTGTGATCTCGGCTGTAGTTCAAGCTCACTTTTGTGCCGACCACGGCCACAGGAGACTTTGAGGCGATCTCCTGTTGGCGATTGGCACGGTCCAAAATTGTCAACCAAACACGGCTCTTTGTGGAACCCAGGAAGCTGGCCTGAAGGAGTCCGTCATGGTCGGATCTTCCGGGTTTTCCAAAGTCCCTTAGTCAGTCAGCATCCATGCTCCACCCCGGGCACAAAAGGTGGCCTGCGACTTCTTTCAGACTCAAACAAGTCTTGGTTCCCCGAATCAGCGACCCTGTTGCTTTGCTGTTTCTGAACATGCCGTCCCAAACTTTGGGTGCCTCCAATTTTGGGACAGGAACCAAGCGGCTACGGATCTCCGGCCTTGGCGATCTTCCGTGCCTCTGCTAGGCAGTCATCGCCTGGGTGCGGGCGGCCACTCTGAGCCTTACCGTCCGACTGGTCAGCTTCAGCATTCTTCTTTTGGGGGGCTCCGAGTGTCCGGCAAAGGTGTTACTCCCTCCAACTCAGTGTAAGGAAGACACAAGTGGCCACTACCTTTGTAGTGGCAACCCTTCTGCAACACCAAGCTTCAAAGCTTGATTTACTTTAAAAACGCATAGCACTATGCTACTCTACAAGCACACTTTACAGAGCCGTCGGAGTGCTTGTTCCAGGCCATCTAGGGTCGCCTTGCACAACTGCGCGGGTGCTCATTGCTTCCGTCGAGCTGGATGAAGTCGTAGTGTTCCCAATCCTGTTTGAGCCAGCAACCTCCTCCTTGTGTAGATGTGAAGGCTTTGCAATCCGAGTGCTGCAAGCACAAAGAGGCGCAGGCGTGGTCATCATGCACATCGTAGTTGATCAGTGAACCACCCCCGTAATAAACATCGAGATGACATTCAAAGTGCCCGAAGACGTTCTCATCTTGCGGCTGGCAAACAATATAGTCTGGTGAGTCTGGCGTAAACGATGCACCTGTCTCCTTCAGCCAGCAGCCCGTCCCCGCATCCGAAGGCGGCACTAAGACGAAATGCACGCAGCTTTTGTCTAGGTCACATTGGGCGGCGCAGTCTGCCAGAGTCTGGACGTTGGGAAGGTGTCTCTGTCTCAGAGCGGTATAAGTGTTCTTGCCGTCGATGCAGCTGTAGGCGGCTTGTATGCCAACAGAAACTGGTTGGCGAATAGCCATTGTTGCTCGAAGTTTGAGAAGGTGCGTTCTTTGTACGCGTTTGTGCAATCATCTATGGGTTTGTTCATTTCATCGTAGCCAACGAAATTACAGTCTGCCTCAGGAAGATTGCAATCCTGCACAAACCTCTTGCCAGTCACTGGGTCCACGGTATCAGTGGGCCACCATCCTGTGCATTCACCGCCAGCGAACACACCATCACTGACATACGTGAGCATCTTTGGGCTGGGCATCTTTTCCTTCCACTCGCGAACCAAGAAGCCCACCGTCTGCCTCAGAAGCAGCATATACACTGCACGAAGTCTGTGGGCTTCGTTGATGTATGCGTCAGCGCCGCTGTTGTCAGCTGAAGCACAGCTTCGGAGCACGTTGATGTGGGTCAACGCAAACATGTTCGCTGCCTTGATTCCGCCGCCAAGTACAAACTTTGAGCAACCCTCTGAGACAGGGTAGTCTGCGGCACCATGCCAGCAGTCTCCGAACATGTCTGGCCTGGCATTGTTGTAATTTGGAATCTTGCTGTAGCACTGAAACTTGCGCGCGGCTGGGTCAGCTCTGGCAAGTTGGTCCCACATGTCTTCGTCCTCCTGGAAGTTCCCGAGATTGTCCTCAGCCCTCTGTAGCGTTTGCTTCACGAGGGCATCCTCTATGAGGTCGGGCACCACCGTCTGGACTATGTCCATGATGTACTTATCGGGCCCCTCTTCATAGAATGCGCTGAAGAACGAGGAGAACATGCCAAGAGCAAATCCCAACACAGGGTCCATGATCTTCAGCGACGTCAACGCACTCACGACTCCGCCGGCAATCTCGATGCCCTGGCTGGCCTCTACCTTCCCGCCCCTCGCAACTACGCCCAGCAAATGGGCGGAGCTGCTTGCAGCTTCGCCCCATGCCTCCAGGAAGTTCTCCTGGTTAATCTTGGCATGGATGACGCCTTGAATCTTCTCATAACTGCCTGTTCCACTGTCGCCGCCCGTGCCACCCGTGCCACCCGTGCCACCATAGCCTGAGCCGGCCAGGTTAGCAAGGCTGATTGGACTGGAACTGTTTGCACTGTTTCTAAGGAAGGCCGCCACGGGCGCCTTCGATGGGGCACTTGGGGTTTGCACCAGACCAATTGCTGGCTGCACTGGTTGCACTGGTCCGGCTCCCATTTGCCAGTACCAAACACCAAGCAAAGCAGCCGGCAAAACGCCCGTTGCCATCATAGCCAGTATGAAGACGCGACAGCCCCACGAGGGCGTCTCCGCATCTCCGCAGTCATGCCGCACGTGAAGTTTGCGCCGCACGTCGGCAGCTGGCCCGGAGCCCTGAAGAAGTGGGAGGTACATCGGGCAGCTGAGATGGCCAAAATGTTGCGCTCATCCGGAACTTGTCCAAAACCCAGGCTGCACCAAAATCCGACCCCTCGACCCCAGCGCTCGAAACCGGTCAAACAACACCCAACGATGGAGTTTAGGGTTCCAAACCGACACACACCCATGAAACCTCAAAAACCCCAACCAACCCCTACGCCCTCAACCCTCGACCCTCCACCCCAGAAGCCCAAAACCCCTGAAACCAAAAGCCCCAAGACCAAATGCTACAACTCTAATCTTACTTATCTAACAATTGGAGATCAGAAGGTTGAATCTGTTGCGTCCCTACAAAATGAGAGAGATGAAACATCTGAACAGTGGCTAACCCGAAGCCTCGCCACGCCACTTAAGTTTGGAGACCCCATCTGATGTAGACTCCAAATCCCCCCAATACCAATCGAAATTGGCCAATACTAAAAACAGAAACAGAACTCTTAGATTTCCCGTCGGGCCTAGCTGCAGTTGTAGTAAGGGTCATGTTCAAAACAGCACTACACAGTTACACCATACTAAACCTTCCATGTTTAAGCCAAAGCATTGCAGTGACGGCTGACCCAAGGAATGCGGAGACATCCCCTGGGGCACAAATGGTCCTATTAATAAATCGGTTGGCCTACCGGCAGGTATATTTATAGGGGGCCATGTGTATCATTAGTAGGGGTCGTGTTTACTGTTGACCGTGTTGCACTTAGCGTTACACCTGCGCAGACAAAAATTGGCTCAGGGTACTGAAGAAGCAACAAACGTTGGCGGTTCCCCCTATTTCATTGAAACCTTCACATAAGCAACAGTTCACGGTCCCTGTGAACATTCATGCGTCTCAGGATGTAGAAAGCAGGCGAGTCACAGTTCGATGGCTGTTCCCAGCCACTTGCCTGACATTTGTCAAAACTTGCAGCATGCAGCAAAGCTGTCGCAACCTTCTAGGCTTGGAGTTCGCAGCTTGTGAGGCTGTCACTTGTGCTATCACAAATGGAATTACCAGAGTGTCGGTTGTGGAGACGTCCCCTGCCGGTTCTTCACATCTATCGAGTAGCCAAGTATCCGTGTCGTGGAGACCAGTTTCGTGCACTGTTACATTGCACCCTATGATTCCACTGGGCCCCCCGCGGCTTGGCAGAACTTTGCCCACGAGGCCAAGCTCTTTTGCCTCCTGCGACAGCATCTTGCGTCCTCCGCAGAGAATGCTTTTGCAAGCGTGCGCCCTGCGACTCGTTTCGGGGGATGACTTCTGTTGGCATCTGCACTCTCCCCGAAACAAAGCCATTGCCAGACCGCAAACAGTTGAACGACACGCAGCGACCGTGGGATGCAAAGCCGCCCGATCCTGTCAAAGCCAACTCTCTGACGATGGAGTCATTGCCAACAATTTTAGGCCTTGCATGCGGCGCATAAAGTTAAGGGCGGTTTTGCGAGCATTGGACATCCGAGAGCTCTATGCAGGTTCTGCATGGCTACAACATACCCATGCAATAAAAGGTCAGATCTGAGGGACGCGTTGCGGAAAGCCTTCAGTGAATGTTGGCTTCCTGTGTCCAGTGTGGTCAGTCGCCGCAAACTCCATGATCCGCTCAAGGCAAACACAACTTTGCAATAGCATGCAGCAACTCAGCCAGCGACAATCGCTGCAAGGTGCCAACCTGATAGAAACCCAACCCCACAGAGCTGCCGGTAGGAGAGAGGTCCACCGGTTTTAGTTTTGACACATTCAATCAATCAATTCACCTGACAGGGCCCCGACATCAGCGGCTAGGCCCACGTTCACCTCCGCAACTGAGAACCAAGCGTCCTGGCCAGTGATTCACAAATCGAGAGCGTCGGCAGCATCCCTCTAAGCCACCTCGCATTCAGACATCAGGTGAACACTTAGTTTGTCGGAGGTTGAAGCAACAGCAGCATTATCCGCGGCTTGGAGTGCAAAGTGAAAGGCTGGCTCCTCCACCCCAAAGAAGGAGCTTCCTCTTTGGCCACACCCTCTACGCCTTCCGTCCTCAGTGCAGTACCGGATGTCGCAAGCACTTGCAAGGTCTACTCCTGCGTGCCGGCCACCGCGGCCGTCCCATGGAATGAAATGCACACCCGATCCGCGACCCGATCCCACAAGGGACTAGGTGCAAATGGGCGAACCCGAAAGGAAGCGATGCGGCTCAGCCATTTGCGGTGGATGTATCTGGCTCCCTCTTGTTGCTCTAGTGACTCTGGTTCTCGCTCACACGGATCGGCCACCTAGAATCACCCAATGGCCACCCCAAACGCAACGCCTTGCTTATCAATTGCCTGAGGTTTGGAGTCTCTAAAGGCTCAACACCCCACAAACAGAGCCTGCTGCTATTTTCTGAGCCGTGTCCTTCCAAACCTTAAGAAGGATGACCAAGGCAAAGTTTCTGGCAATGTGGAGCAAGGCTATTGACAAGAATACTGACTACATGGCAATACTGCAGTACCGATACCGACCAACCCGCAACAGCGACAAAGGCCACCCAAAACCGATACCCTAGTAATCTCGCTCATTGCTCATGTCATCCAAAGGTCCGATGGGTGCAACCACCCAAAGGGAGCTTCAGACCACGTACTACTCAAATCCCCAAAATCACCTAAGGTGCAACCAAATGGAATGGGCCTCTCAGCTCCATGAATTGCATTAATTGATGTGTGGAGTGAGCTTGCATGAGGTTTCTGGAGGGTGAGGGAGGTTTCGTTGTGGCCTACCCTGTGCAGACAAGGACTTCGCAACCCTCTCCTGCGCCGATGACGCCGCTGTGCATGGCGCAAACCACCGGCTTGTGGCACCGCTCGATGGCAGAGATGCCCTCCTCTCAAGAAAAAAAGGGTTGGGCGACTTGAACATCTTCAAGCTGCTGTCGCTTGAGCAAACTCTTTTTGGTTTCCCTTGGGAGGGTTGTTTATACAAGCAAAATGTTGAGCAGTCCTGGAATGCAGTGAGCCACTTCTCACAGACCAGAACTGGGAAAGGAAAAGGTCAAGGGATCGGCTTTGGACACAGGGGGGCGTGCGTCTCAAAATAGAGAATCTCTCTTTTGGTGGAATTCTTAGGAGGGCATCAAAAAGGCGTTTGTACATGAACCCCATCAATTGAGACCTCGCGTGGATGGCAACACAAATGCCCTAACATGCTTCAAGAGGGCCTTAATCTTCAACCTCCAGAACCGTCTTGGCTTTGGTACGAGGATGTGCGTACGCATGATTTCATCTTGAAGGAAACACGCATACAAAAACCATTTGAGGGGTCATTGGGCTTTGTCACATTCTCATTCAAATGGCCAGAATATGCCTCTTAAGCCACAACCTCAACGCTTCGTCGCAGCATGCCGAGGCCGCCACCCCGTATTCAGCCTGAACAATTCCACCAATCAAATGGACCAACTGTCTTAGAGTTTCCTGAGGGCATGAGGTGGGCATGGCAATCAATCAGCGTCCAAGCTCCCCAGTCGCCCAGTCGCCCAGTCGCCCGCGCCTGGCACTGGGTGATCACTGGCCCCATACGCAGCGCCCTCCGGCTGAGATCCACCGCGGTGTCTTGCTGGAAGATGGCCCCGCTCTGGCGCGGAAAGGACACGGGTCGGTGCGCAAAGAACCGGAGGCCACTGGGCTGACATGGTAGCCAACTTGCACTAGTATGCTGACCAAGGTCATGAGGGAACCAAAAATGTTTGAGCAGCTTACCAGAAAGAAATGCTCATGTCCATACACCCAGCTGGACTTTTGTGGTGTGGAGTTTCCAATCCAAGTGGAGCTGCTTGACTTGAGAATTCTTCTTCTGCGCCTGAGGGCAAATAATGTTCCAAAGGCTTTCTGGAATAGGGTGGCCCTTATAAGGGGCCCCTCGTTTTGGGAAGCACCTCTTGGGAATCTTCTTCCCGAGGCACTCTGCTGCCAAAGTGTCCTTTTGACGCGCCACTTTCGAGCTCTTGCGGCTTGAGTCGACACAGGAATCAGTTGGGAACATATCCCAAAGGCCTGGGACCTGCTTGGCGTCAAAACCGTCCTTATCAAAAACTCCCCTGCTGCCCCCTGGCTGCCAAGTGGCGCTCTTGAGGTCCAGGCCAGCGGTGAACAGTTTGCAGCTCCCCCCATGGATGACGACACCTCTGCCACAGGATGTCACAACCGTTCAGCCCTCGACTATCCAAGTACAAGAATCACCAAAAGGCAAGGCCTGAATAACAATCTTCGGTTCCTCTCACAAAGCTTATAAATTATGGCAACTGAAGCCATAAACTAGAGGTGAGCGTCAGATTCGGCAGTTTCCCTTTGAGTCGCTTGTCTCAACGGCTTGTGCTGGGTTGTGGCTGACCGCTCAGCAAGCCGTAAGAAAGGAATGGAGCCGTGTTATCGTTATTGTAGCACATCTTCGGAGAGCAGCTACTGGGTGTGACATCAACAGGACTGGCCTGGCCACCGATATCCACATGCTGGTTGCTGTACGAATTCAGACCGGTGTCTAGCGCCCTAGGGGAACGTGTCTGGTACAAGTGGGCATCCTGCCAGACGGCAACACTTTCCGTTGGGCTTATCTACCGAAAGAAACCCCACATGGTGTTGCAAGTGGCGCGCCGGAAGTTTCGCGTACTTCTACACATAGTTTGATCATAGTTTGGTGGTGGATTTGCTTGAATTGCTGCTCAGACACCCTTCCCGGTTGGACACCTCTCCAGGTGTGTCAAGGTCCATGTTTCTTCTCTCCAAATCGCGAGCTCTCTGTCAGCGGGTGTTCTGAAACTTTCAGGTAGACCTCACATTCTGTCTCCAGCAACTTCCACAACAGTATCCACCTACTCCCCTGAACATCGACATGGAACCAGCAATGGGGCTGTCCAAAAAGAGGCTCCTCCGATTTCATTTGCGCGGCTTTTCCTTGTGTTTTGAGCTTGTGCCCTTTTGAGAGCGTTCGCAATTCGGCCACCGTTGAAGCGCCCATCCAACTTCCTGGTGGCCCCCAAGGGAATGGTGCACCACGTGCAACCGCGCGGCAGCGTGTGTCAGGATCACTGGAGGCAGCCTAGCCGGGAGGACCTCTCTGAGCTATGGGTCATTGGAGTTTCACCTTCAAACGTTGCAGTTTGCTGGTGGCTTCCAATGAAACTGCGAAAGGGGATTTGAAAAACCTCCTGTCTGTTGCTGCACTTTCTGAGTTGGCAAGTGGCTGGAGATGGCTGCAGGCATCTTTTTGTAAGGCATTGGCTGGGAAACCTGATCAACCCGGTCAATTTGGGCTCATGACTCGATTCCCCCACCGCCCACTGAGGAGCCCATTGGTAGCTCTTCGCTTTTGGACACCGCTCGCCGTCGGTGCCTCAAAGCAGTTCTTCAGGTCCACCCACATGGCGGGGCTGAACCTCGGAGTGCGAGGGCTGCTTGGCCTCTGGCCTTGAACTGGGCTGGAGCTGGAGAGAGTGGCCAGTGCCAACCTATTTGCCAAAGGCCCATTGAGCTCCGGAGGCTAGTTCCTTGGGAGCTGCCAGCACAAGCACAGAAGCCTGCGCGGCCGAAACATGCGGCCAGGGAATTCGGATTCAACTTGAACATCATCAAAGGATCAGCACGGGCTTTCTCTGCTTTCCTTTCCGATGCCTGACCGAACCGAACGTCTCCTGGCCCACACCAATATAGGCCCACGGCGCATTGAGCTGCGCCGGCCGGTTCAGCGCGACTTCCATCACTCCTGCCATGGCTTCCTTTCCCAGCCCCCCCACCAAAATTTCCCAAACCATGTAAAGAAGATTGATTAAGCCAAAGAAATCACACAGCATCCTGGAAACTGGCTGATATCCCTTGGAACATAGACAGCTGCCCGTACGAAAGGTCCCCCCCAACACCCGCTCCGGAGGCGGTATCCCGCTGGACCGCCAGGGTCTCAAACTGCAATGCCATGGCCAAAAGCTACGAGCGATCGGGGATTCAAAGGAGACCGCTGAAACGAGCCAACTCGGCAGTTGGGACATGAGCTACGTGCCTCAAACGAAAATGGGCTCTCTGTCAAAGAAGAATATGATGAACAACAAGATTTGGGCCTTTGCAGGATTCCTGATGACCAGGTGTATTCGCCGTGGCCAAAACAGACTGGAGGCCCAACCAGCAAATTCTCGTAGCTCGGCCAGGGCTTCAGCAGCACCCACCATCCGCACGCTTTTGGTTTATCCCCATGGTGTAGACACACGCGCGCCAGCGCTCGCGGCCTGCGGGTGAAAATATCATGCAACCTCTGCTGGCCTGTTTGGCATTGTAAGTTGGGACGTGCCAAAAAAAAAAACGCGCTTGGCAAGGGAAAGAGCACTGCAGAATAGATGACGCAAGTCGCAAGACATTTGACAAGCTTTACTCAGTGTCCAAAGTAAGAGACCGATCAGTTCTGCAAGTCCAAGCACATGGATGGAGCACAACTTATCCGTCTGCGAGCCATTTCAGGCCTAGTACACCCGCACCAGGGACTCTTCCTAAGCAGCACGTGACAAAACCAAAGCAGTCGCAGGCGTTCACAGTTGTTGCCGAGTCTTGCAAACAAGCAATTGGCGTCGCAAAGCACAGTGCTCCTGAAACAGAACTGCCTGTATACATTTGCATGGCATGCTCTCATGTCTGCACTTCCTAGCTTCTTGTTGTGCCAGCTTTTGATATCACCCTTCCGAGGCTCCAAATCCTTAGCACGGCCCAGCTGGCTCTTCGCGCCCAAAGCCAGGCGGTTCTCATAACCCTTCACGTCTCCTGGCCAACCCCCAAAAGTTGGAGCGCCAAAAAAGCTGTGCCGCCTGTCAACGGGGGCCCCAAAAAACGTGGGTTGCCTTCTTTGCGGAGGCTCTGCAACAATCGACTCCCAATCATTTTGTCAGCTACGCCTTCTTGGAAATGATAGTTTCCTCCGTAGATATCCAGCGTCCTTCAGCCTCTCAAAGATCCATTTTGAAGCTGTTTGACAAATGAGATGATCATCCAATGGGCCCATGCAACTCAACGAGTGACTATAAGCATGCAACTCCGCGCTGCTACGACCTTGGCCACCTCCGACGTGGAAAGCGACCTTCTGCTCAGGTCATCACCTACATTAAGAAATCCATTGGGGGACAAGGAGTGGGTCAAGAAGATTCAACGACAACACTCGCACAATAATAACCATACAAAAGAGCGGCGCTAAGCCTAAAAAGTTGGTCAAACATTGGAAGGAGCATCGCTGCCCCAATCTTGCGGCTTGAGCACAAATGGGTGCAGCCGAATTCTGGAGCGAAGGAGTGAACATGTGAAAAGCTGTGTCATGCGCGATGGCCATGCCCAAAATTATGATACTGGCTAATTAAGTGAAACCCTTGTGATGGACCTTGACCTAACGTTTAGATACACACCCTAACTGAATGTGTATACATATATATAGTTCACCAGCCTGAAACAATGGATCGAATCTTCACGACGGGTGAGATTCCGGGTTCGCCCACCCCTGTGCTTGCTGATTTATTCATGAGTGGAAAGTGCCGCAACCCCGGCACCGCGGCGTCCTGCTTTAAACTCCACCTTTCGCAGCGCTTTCGTCAGCCACCTGACGCCGCAAAAGAAGCCTGTGCCTGAGGCCTCAAACTCAAACTCCCAAAACTCAATCCGATTCAACCTGATTGTCAATCACTGATTGAGGATTACCATAGCGACTTTCCCCGGATGGACAACAATGAGTTGCAATGGTCAACCAGCCGGCCGTCATTCCAATTGCTGTCAAATGTAGGCGCAATTGCAAGTCTCTGCCCAAAATCCTTGCTCAAAGAAGGGACCACGACCGCATCAGTTCGCCTTACTGAAACGCCGGGGGTCGGGGGCCACTCAGCGCAAACCCTCGCTGAGGCAAACCGCTTGAGCTGCTGCTCCATAAGGCCGGCCTTTCCTTGAGCGGGCCCAATGTGAGCCGCGGGCAATATGGAACGCCTTCAAATTACTTCGCCTCGAGCAATCCCCACCCTCCACACTCACAAGCTTACGACCGTGAACAAGGTTGTGTGAATTCAAGCATGTTTTTCGAGTGGTTTGGGGCCCAAGCTTTGCATTGGGAGCCTTGTCCACCTGTCTGTGTGTCAAACTCCACTTGTCTGCGAGCCGATCTCGAGAACTCAAACATCGGTCCCGTTAACAAAAGCCAAGCCCCTTCCAAAAAGAAACCCGACAGGGTACACTCAAAACACGAAGGCGCCAACATGAAATGTAAACCCAACTGTGCGCCGGGCGGGACATTAAGCAAAACCAGACTGGCGAGCTGCTCTGGTGGGATACTGGCGGGATCCACTGGCGAATGCTGGCGAGCCGCTCCGGCTCGATACTGGCTGGACACTTGGCAAGATCCACCGGCAAGGGACACTCAGCGGGATACTTGGCGCGATTTATTGGTGAGCTACTCTGGGATACTCGGCGGGATCCACTGGCTCTCATGGAACACTCAGCTACTCTGGCAGGATACTCGGCGGGATCCACTCATAAACTGCGGGATACTCGGCGGGATCCACTGGCTCTCATGGAATACTCAGCTCTGGCGGGATACTCGGCAGCTTCCACTCATAGACTGCGGGATACTCGGCGGGATCCACTGGCAGGCCACTGACGAGCTGCTGCCCGGCTCGGCGAGCTACTCAGCTGCTCTGGTGGGATACTCGGCGGGATCCACTGAGCTACTCTGGCAAAATTCCGCGGGATCCACTTTAAGATACTCATCGGGATACTCGGCGGGATCCACTGGCGGGCTGCTCTGGTGGGATACTTGGCGGGATCCACTGGCGAGCCGCTCTGGCGACACTCGGCGGGATCCACTGGCCAGCTGCTTTGGTGGGATACTGGGTGGGGGCATGGTGTAGAAGCGTTGCAACCGCGGATTCCAACATAAAATCTAACAACCCCTTCCTGTCGGGTGGGGAAAAAAGACATTCCCATATGGACGAGAGTCATGGCACCCCCACATGGATACGAGTCGTGGGCTTCCCCCGGCTGTGTCAAAAGTTGGACCCATTTTGGGATGGATTCACGACAAGTGCTTCAAGCACTTCCTCACCAACGGGCCATGGGAAACATCGCCCAAAACACAACTGGGAAGGGGGGGAGAGGGCTGGAGTAGAGGGGAGGGAGGTCGGTAGTTCATGTTGCCAAGTGCTCATGCAGCTGCCAGAGCTGGTCTCCCAACTTTCAAGGGGGAGCGACGCCCCATCGGCGCCCATCACACCGCGTCTACAACGGGGGGGATTCCCTTCAAGCCTAAGACTGGACCGGGAGAATCTGTTGGATTTGCACCCAAACCAGACTCAACCAGCTCAAGGAAGTAGCCCGCACAAAGTCACACAATGGTCGGCGTAAACATGAGTCGCGCAACATCCAAATTGAGGCATCCCCTGGCTCGCCATGCTAGCTCTGCTTGCACCCAATGAGGCAGCAAATCCTGCACTACATGCCCTTCATGCGAAAACTGTGTTTGAAAGGGCTAGCCTATCAATGCCCTTAGCGCATTCTGCAAGATCGGAAACTACCGGTAGATGTTGAGGGAGTGCCATTGTTGGCTGACGTTGTGTGGGGATGGAGCCAAATGCCTGACAAATGATTGGCCCTACTTGTATATTCGGGCCCACCGGCAACATGTTGTCATTGTTTCCTATGTAGCACTAGGCAGCAAACAGGTGACTTTCTTCCATATCATGTGTTTCCAAGAGCCCCATTGATAGATGCTGGCCTTCATGTTTGAAAGCTGCGGTAACGAGGCGGTACTACAGAACATCAACATCGAGTCCTGTACACTTTGGATAAGTTGCGGACCATTCTCCAGCTTCAGCCGTCTCTTCAATCTCTTCGCAAGCCAGCCAGGCCCAATGAGCCTTTGTTTGATCCAACCCGTTTCTCCTGTTGGACGCGTGCTTGTGCGTTCTCAGGGTACGAACTCAATTCCTTCCAATCGACTCATGATCCTGGGCTGAGTGGCTCAGCCCCATGCATCTACCCATTGCATGGCAGTCAAAAAACAGGACGTGCCAGGATTCGATCCCGCTCGCTGGTGCCCATGGTCCTCTTGCTGGCCCACTCCAAGTGGCCCAGCAGATCTTCCTCAGCGATGCAGCCCTTGGCTCCTGCTGTCTGTCGCATGGAGAATCTATTTCTATATGCACATGTTTAAAAACAAAAATGTGCTGTTGAAAAAAATGCTTAAAATACAAACCCCATTTATAAAGACCCAGTGCTGGTAGGGCACAGCACCTCAAATTTGGTACAAGTCACGGTGAGCTCCAGCACAAGGGACAAGTTGTCCTGAGTCACCGCCTTAGATACTCGACAGCCGCGGTACGGAATGCCTCGAATTGGTCTGCTTACGGCAAGCTCATCTGCTTCTCGTCGGTTCCCTTTGGTGGCATCCTTGTCAACGCCAGGCACAAATAGCAGGCTTCGCGGTTTAAGCAGGGTTCTGCGAAACCGCATCGCTCGCCAAGTTACAGGGCTGACATGGCCGGCCCTTATAACTTATATTTGACTGACTCAAAATGACCAATCTCATGTGCAGCGCAAGACGTGCATCTGCTGGGCGCCCGGCGTCCTCCAATTCGCCATGCATGTGGCCTGCAACACAAAAGTCTACCCTCAGGGCCTAACCCAGCAAGCGGCAACTGGTGCTCACGCAAAACTTGCAATACGAGGCATTGACGGCAAAGGCAACACGAAACTGGCATCTGTGCATTTTGGGGCAAAGCTTTCTGCGCCCAGTGATCTGCATTGTTAAAAATAGTTCGAAAACCTGGAACAGGCAGAGCAATGCCCAGGTTCAATTGCAAAGCTGCGGCCTGTTCGGCCGTAGCGATCTGTCTGGCTCTCAAGCGTTCGATCCACTTGCGCTGCCTTAGCTGATGCGAGTCTGACCAGCGCCAGTCTGCATCGCAATCAGAACGAAACAAATCATCACATCAGTCTGCATTTTCTCTGGTTTCAGCAAGGGTTTGCGGGAGGCCAGGTGGCTCTTGGCAGCCTGGCATGATGAACCAGTGAATTGCGGATTCTCCAGAGCGCTTCTTGTGAATAGCGCGTGCGTAAAGCTCATTGAAGATGGGCCACGGCCAACCCCAGCTTTCAGCTAAGTGCGGGGCCATGACCATGGCGCCCAACAAGGCCTCTTGCAGCGATGGGCAAAAAGGAACCTAAGGGAGGGTCCCAAGGCCATGTTGCTTCTTCAAGAGAGGGGTCCTCATAAGACTGCGACGCAAGACAGCAAAGGTCAAGGCCTGCCCAAAAGGGTTCTTCGCTAATCACACCTTTTGCCTGCCATGTTAGTGGGACCTAAGGGAAAGCACGGGTACCCTGTTCCTTACCAGTCTACTGAAGCGGATCAAAAAGCAAGGGGCGTCAGGGTGCCACTGGAGGCCCTCGACTCTCAGCACGCGCCTGGCATTCTTCGGTGCTGCATTCACCGCACGCCTTCACCAGGATCTCTTCCCCTTGGCTTGCAGAGGCTCCCGGACAATGGGACGTTCCTCCTATCCTGGTTCAGAACCATTGGGTCAGAAAGGCAAAGAATGTGGATTTCACCTAGAGGGAGTGCATGGAGAGCAGTCGAGAATGCCTCACCAACCCTAGGGATTTGGCTGCTGTCCCTTCTTTCAGCCCAGGCCACTGCTCGGGTGTTGCTACACCGGAGATTTCAAGCAGCCCCGCAGTGAGGATCCGCTGTAAGAGGTGGAAAATGACCAACGTGGTCGCATGGCAACATCTGCCTTGTTGCTTGGAGACATTCCAGTGAGACCTTGTCTCCACTTCCATGCAACCCTGAAATTTGGGGAGTGACGCCCGTTTCTCTCACGGTCGCATATCCATTGCCGACGAAATCGCCATGACAGGCTCCAAACGAGGTTCAAACATGAACAACCCTGAAAGTCCAAAAAAAAACAAACCAAAAACCACTGCACCGTCTTGCCCCGCTCCCTCAGCCTTGTTCGCCCGAGGCACGGGTCGTGCCATTGCTGGTGCCCATGGCCTCCACCCAATGCAGCGGATGAAGGGGGCAGCCTCAGGCCATGTCACCGAGTGAGGACTAGTGAGGGCCTTGCTTCAGAAAAGATTGACACGGACCTTGTGCTGCTTTTGTTTGATGACGTTTGAACCTGGAAGATTGTAGAAGGCTGTGTCAAACGCGGCCACACACAGCCGGGGAGCAACTCTTCATTTGATTTTTCGGACGAGAGGTACGCAGCCACGATGACGTTTTGCATTGATCTGCCCACGGAAGCCTCCTCTTCGAGTGTAAGGCTATGTTCCCCCAAGTTTGCTTGCCTGGTGTTTTGAAAAACTGCCAAATGGCTGGGTAGCATGTCGAGCTCTTCTTGAATACTGCCACGCTGCTGAAGCTTGCTTTGGGGGCATAACCCTTTCAACCAAAGCTGGGGCCAGACCTCCCCCCCGCCCCCATTTTCGGTTGACATCTGGGTACATTACCAAGTTCGAAGTAGCTAAAACTCCCATTCTGCAAACATGTCCCCATTTTCTTCCTTTCTCAAGCGGTAGTGGGATAGGACCTGCATTCCCTCTGGTTCGGTCTCGGGCCAACCGGGCCCTAATGGACTTCCAGCCCCACGCGGGCCCGCACAGGAGCGCAGGGGGAACGCAGCACTCCACATCCGCTGACAGATTTGGCGCAGTCTCACGATCAGGTGCCAGGTGGAGTCCCAAGAAGGGACAGGGCATTGGCGGCCGGTGTGGGACCAACCTTGGGCTCCAACGACTACGAACGCTGTGCAAGAGAAGTGTGGTGGGATGGCCCAAGCAAGCGGCAAATGCTGTCTCGCCGACACGCTCTACTCCGGAGGCACTGCGCCGTCCAGACCTCCTGGTGGCACTGCGCCGTCATGGGGGATATAAGCTCCTTCCTGTTCCGTCGCAACCGACCATCAGGACCAGAAAAGTCGAAGCCCTTGTGACGCTCGGTGCAAAGAACTTGAAACGGACCGAACTTGGACAACTTGTCCACTTCAAACCGGGCCGCCCAGGCCGCAATCTCCTGGCCTTCGCCTGGGCATCTTGGTCGGTTCCATCGTGGCCTCCGTCTTGGTCGGCTTGCCGGACACGTCCATGGCGTCCTGATCTGCCTTCGACTTCCCGTGATCGTCTTGGTCATGCGTTCCTGGAGCTCGAGCATCATTACTTTCAGGTCTGCCGGCTGACTGGTATTATCGGCAACCATCTCCTCCTCCTTGACGAAGGGGGAGTCTACGCAGTGTGAGTAGGTTACGGGAAACCTAGCAAAGTGTTTGACTACACTCAAAGATGAGATCTTGAGCCAAAATGGCAAACATGCCATTTTGGCTCATCTTGCTAACATATTACTACCGCTACGCTCTTCGCATGTACGTGTTCCCAACCTGCCATCCAGTCCCGCCAGCGCCTGGGGAGCCCAAGAGCTGGCCAAAGATGAGCTGCTTGCCTCAAGCAAGCCAGCGAGGATGGCGTGGCTGGCTACGGAACGCAAAAGGTCTTGGCAAAGGCCCACATTGCCAGCCCCTACGCAAAGCTGAGTCAACTTATTGGCATACGGAAGGTCCCGAGCTCTAGATCTCCACGTGTGCCATGGCAAGGATTCACTGCATTACAAAGTCAATGTTGCATCTGAGTCCCAAAGGCAAACATGATATGACGTTGGTAAGGCGTCCTCATCACACACTCGATGGAACAGTCAGGCATTCCTGTAACCCTGAAAGCCCATGCAACAGTTTCAAGCATGCATCCGAGTGGCCATCCAGCTCTGAAACAGCACCTGCAGGGTGATTCGCATTCAGGCCAACTAGGCATGAAACCACTTGACGTCGTGGCCACTGGTTTGGTCTTGCTTTGGCCGGGGAGGACCCATGTGGTCCATGTGTGACGTGCTTCATTCTGCAATGTGCTGAGTAGGTACAGTCGGGGGATGCAAGCGCATCCTCGTGGGTGTAGAACAAGCTCCAGAAGTACAGTGTGTTTGTCACACATTTGGCCAACCGCTGTCGAGATTGCGGGACATGGTCCCTCCAATCCACGCTGCCCCAGTCCCCACAGACCGAAGCCTCTAAAATGCAAGTACACCAACGACTCATCGGAACCCAGAAAACCGCTCCGGTAAACCCTGGCAAACCCGGCAAACCCGGCAAACCCGGCAAACCCGGCAAACCCTCTGTGCTCTCTGTGAGGAAACAAGCGCAGGGACGTCCACCAGCCTAGCGTGATTTGGAAGCGGGGATCGAAGAAGCTCGCGCTGCCAAAGGGCATCGTTAGCAAGCCCGCCTGGCGGAAGGAGGTTGTTTTTGTGGGTACCCTTTTGACCTTGGTTCTGGCCTTGGTTTCTGGGAAGCCAATATGAAGATCCGCCTTCTTGGGCTTGTCCTATGTTGACCCACGCCCCTATGGCTGAAGCACTGAGCCCTCTCATGGCTCACCGCACTTCTCCTGCCTTGGCGTGAGTCAGGGAACATGACCCCTCCACGCCCTCGAAGGACAAGCTAGCCTCAAACGTGTCACGAGATCTGCACGCAACGGCGCTGATTGGCAAGGGACAGGAACAGATCGGAAAGGAGGACCCGCCAAGCGCAGGAAAACGAGCCTTGGGACTGGTAACACGCTGTGACTGGCATGCCTCCTTTTGCGGGGCATGCCGAGGCGAGTCACATCAATATCCCCTGCCGTGACATAGCGGCCGGCGTACACGAGGTCTAGGCTTGTCCCGGCATAGCTCACGGTCTTGCCATCCTCAGAGCAACATTCGGCCATCCCGCGGACAAACCTGATGCAACATTGTGAGGATGTCACACGTGCGCAAGCGCTCGTGTACAGACACACACAAGCACCCCTAAAGTCCCCAATTACCCTTGTACGCATGAGCTTCTCACCTAATCCCGGCTTAAGCCCATGAGTTTGCCGTCTCAATGCGTTCCATTGAGCTCACAATCCGCGACTATCTTCATGCATCCATCTGGCCATGGGTCAAAACCCAAATCGCACCCCCAGTGAACATCCCAATCCCCACCAAAACAGATTAAAATGCGTGGTGCACCGAATTACCCCAAAAATGGGATCCCATTGGTTTTGACCACCACCGCCTACTTCAGGACTGCGGGCCGCGGCGCGGCCTCAGCGGCGCAGAGCTGGCGGAAGGTGGCCGCGGCCTTGGGCGCCAAGTCCTGGAAGAGCTCGAAGTGCAGCCGGCCCCGGGCCTTCCCCGCCACCTCAGAGGGAGACGGGGGAGTGGGGACCCGAAAGAAGAATCCAGAGACATTCCAGAGACAAGATCCACCGACTTGCGCCCTTCAGGCCCATGGTGGAGGTCGCAGGAATCTGCTCAAATGGTGTTAAAGGCCAGATCGCGAGGAACATTCTAAATTCTAGAATTGAAGCATGATGGCTTTGCGTCATAGTGTATGTGTGTGTGTGTGGTTCGGCGATCACAAAATCCAAATCCATCCGGGTACCACAACGCTTTGACCAATCCCACACAACCCTTCTTGAATGTTACAGGCTCTTAGGGCCCAAAGAGTATGCTTTCAATGAACTTCCTCCGCAGAGCCCCTAACACAATTTGCGCCCAGGCCGCTTCGATCTCCATCCACACCACGGGGTTCGGCGAACCCGTGGTGCCCGCCGAGCTGCTCTCGGCCTGAACGAAGCTGTTGGGACCAGACTCCAAAGGCTCGAAGTCACCAAGAACCCGTCGATGTTCCTTCATGAAGGCTCCAGGTGGGGTCCCCTTTGCCAGCACTTGAGCACGAACCTCTACTACTGTGTATTGTGCGTATAGCCCATCATATGGCTCTTCAGCAATGAGTACGTGTATAAACCAAATGTACTGTATAGTATACGTATAGCCTATCATATGAGCTTGCATCAACCGTGAGATCGGCTCATCCCCGCATCCCTTTCGTGACTCGACTCAAAGCGTCCGCACCTTCGGCGCCGGCGCCGCCGGCTCGTCGTCGCTGTCCGGCAGGGGCCCGTCCAGCACCGGGGGCTCAGCGAGAGAGGGGGCGGGATGGGATATGGGGGGGGAGGCGAGACATGGGCTATTTTCGGGCACGCGGAAAAGTTGTCCCTGTTTTTTTTTGTGTTTGTGTATTTTGCAAAGCGCAAAGGCATCGTAAAGATCGCATAGTGGTAGATGATAGCTGAGTTTGTAGGGTACTATGATTCTTCATGGTTGGAACACCTTCCAAAATGGTTGATGGACATAGATCCAAGTACATTCTGCCCAGCAAAGCATCCTGTGCGAGTTTTTTTCGTGACGTGCGTTAAGCGGATTTTGCAACCGAAAACGCGAAAACCGCGAAAACCGCGAAACCGGCAGAAAGCGCGAAAACCGCGAAAATGGCAAAAAAAAAAAACGCGAAAACCGCGAAAATTGTGAACACGCGATTGTGTTCTGGTGTGTGCTCAAGGTTCGATCACAACCAACAATGGTCGCATGTGCTGACTCCTGCTCTGGGGCGAGCTTTTGGCTGCCCGCTGGAAAGCCCTGAGTTCGGCAAAACAATGGACATGAGTTTTGGGCGTTGCACCGCAGCCGATTTGTTTCCAGATCGTGTCCACATTGTTGTGGAGCATTCGTCAAAAACCGCTATGGCGGTTCCAACAAAAAGGGGTGCTTCCTGAAAGGCCACTCTCCCGCGGCACCTCCTCGTCGTCGGACTCGATCTTCCACTTCTTCTTCTTGGTGGCCGTGGATGCCGCCAAGTTGTTTATGCGTTTCATGGCGTCAAGCTCGCCGTGAAGAGAAGCTACGGAGTATCTCAGAAGCCCGAGGGCTCAAGAGCCGTGATCTATGGCTGAAGCATAGATTCTGAGTTGGGTAAGGCTGAGAGCTACGCTGACTGCAAGTCTCTGCCATGCGATTTGATCTGGGCTGACCTCGTGCTATTGGAACTGGGCCGCGGCCACACCATGTGAAGAACCAGCCGCGTTCGGATCAAGCTGGAGCCAGCGGGCAATGGAATTGATTCTCAGGCCGGAGATGGCAGCAGTCCTGCACAAAATGCGGTTTGGACTTCACTTGGTTTGGGTCCTCTGACTCCGTCAAATCAAGCACATGTTGAGGTCTGTCCGTTCCAGCGACCCTCTGCCGATCATACCTGTTCACGTGGGTTTTCTTGGTCACTGGAATATCTGCAAAAACAGAATCTCTCCGGCAGTGCACCTACATCAGTCAGGACGCCGACAGGCCATGCAACCAACAAGGCAACCCACGTGGCCCAAGGCTTTCAATGAATGAAACTCGAAGCACCCATAGAATATGAAACCATACTTGGGAAAGCCAGCATGACAAACCAAACCACGATGGCCATTCCTGCTGTCAAAGCCCTGCTTGTTGCGAATAGTGCATCTAGCATACTTTGTGGTTGCCTCACAATATCCTCATCCTCAGTATCCCCAGTTGACCCTGCTAAAAACGGCAACCCTTTGTTGGGAAGCAACCATTTTTAGGGGGACCCACTGTTACTACAACGGAGGAAACCCATGGTGGCACAAACCACATGGCTCCGGCGACCGCGCAGAGCCACTTTTCCGCGTCACGCTTCCTCACTGCCGGGCCGCACGATGCTGATGTCGCAGGCCTCGCCTCCTTGGCGAGCTGACGGACTGCTACCATAGTGGGTCGAAACCACCAGGAAACCCACCATATTGCCCTGCTCCCCTTTTAGTAGCTTAGAAGAAGCCACCCTCCTGCCCAAGGCCCGCTGCGCTTCTCACTGACTTCAGGAAAAACGATCGAATCGGAAGCCGAATGCTCTGATGTTCTTTGCAGGGCGGACCATAACCCGAATGGCTGGGTGTTTGACCATTTCTGGACTGCTTACATTTCTGATTTCCGACCTTTCAAGATGTGCAGCCCCACGGTGGTGAGCATTCAAATGTTGGGGGGGGCGAGGGCAAAATCATCCCTGCCTGAACTATGCATGCACTGAGCTTGCGCAGGTGGCCGTACATTTGAGATTGTAGCCGTAGCCTGTTCTGCAAGAATTGATCTCAACATCGCGTGCTTCAAAGAGAATGCCCCTTAAATGCTCATACTAGTGAAGTACTTTGACCTGGCCACGATGCCTTTTTGAGGAACCTCCTCCTTGAAGAATGCGCCTATCATCGCCCATCCCTGCTGGTAGGTGTGCGATCCGTTCCTGCTGTCTTAAGGGCAGACTAGCATGGAAGTAAGCGACGCTACATTTCTCTGTGGATTGCCATGAAAACCACTTTAATCTCAGGCCTGGGCTTAACAGCAGGTACCTCCAAACAGGGAAGGGAGCGCAAACCGACCGCTGTAGAGGTGTGTGTGTGTGTGTCGAAAACAACTCAAACACTGATGTGGCACAGTTGAAGACCCAGAATACAGTGGAAGAGAGAGAGAGAGAGAGAGAAAAAAAAGAAGAAGGAAAACAAGGGGGAAAACAAAACGGCATGCCAAAGATAGAGACAGCAGATGAGTCATAATCAAAACCCGGTATTAAAATGGTCGACCCAGAACCATGTAAAGAATTAAGAAGGCGGCCGCAGCTAATTATGGTTGGGATTGTCCCTTGCTAACCTTACTAAAACCCGGGTTTTTTTTGTAACTCAGATTGGCTTCAGCATGGCTGCAGCCGATTCCACCACGGCGATCCCCGCACCCAAAGCGCGTGGCCGAGCGTCGCTCCAGCGCCTGCCGCAGCTCCGCGGCGCTGCGCACGGCGCACGCGCTGCTGCCGTCGGCCGCGCAGACCCGGTCGTGGCGCCTGGCAGACTTTGGAGCCCAGTGGAGTCGGAAAGGGCGCAAACATATCGGGTGCGCAGGTTGCTGAAGGTATGGCTTTTGGGGCGGTTTGAAAGGGAAAGAAGGGAGACCACTCATTTTGGGGCTCCCCTTTTTGGAGGCAAACCGAGAGGCACTGCCTCATGAAGCTGGAGAGAATGGCGGGTGTATATCAGTGGAGACATCCCAAAAATGTGCTGGCCAGCGTTGTTCGTCCACGGTCACATGATTCGATGTACAGCAACGCGAATCAAAATCGGTCCATCAAAAGGCATCAACACAGATTAAGACTGCTGACTCTTACGCGCACGCTTGCGGCAAGCTCACTCACTTGAGCAAGTCTGCCGGGAATTGCCCTCAGAAGTGAGCGGAACAAATCAGACAACTCATGCCCTCTTGGTTTCCCATTTTGGGAAAGAAACAACTCACCCCCTCTTTCTTTCCATTTTTTGGGGGAAAAAACTCATCCCCTCTTTCTTACACCTACAGCTTAGGCCGGCCGGACCGGAGATCTCCTCGCCTGAGGCCCAGCGACGCCAAGCTGCGGCTGGCGTAAAGGGTCACGCTCTCCGGCAGGGACAGCAGCAAGGAGCTCGCTGCTGCCTGACAACGGCGTTTGCCCGCTCCCCAGGGGATCTTTAAAGACATTCGAACGTAACCAACACAAATAGTAGTTGGAGGTACCATCTAAGCACATGGCAACATGCAGAGCTTTCTATCAAAGAATCGGATGACATTGGTTTGATGGTTTCCGCCTAGTTGGTGGATTCAACCCAGTGCCATCATGCGCACAAACTTCAAGCCATTTTAGGGAAGCGATCAGCCCGGCACTTCACAGCTTTGGCCCTTGGTTCCAAGTCAAGGTATGATGAAAAAAGGTCCCCAAAATAGCCAAGGGTTTGTGGAACCCGAGATGAGAGGTGTCACCCTCCTTTTAGTGAATACCTGAATCATTCATGGGGTGCACCCCTGTCAATCAGTCAGGCGGAACCTTCTCCGGTTTCTAATTTGTCCGAATCCCAAAATATTGGCAAGGGGGCGCACCAAGCGAGGGGTTCGTTTTTGGGAGGCTCGTGATACCTGCCAAGTTTCACGTTCGTGTGCCCTCCCTTGAAGGCAGCATGCCAAGAAAAACGGACACTCTGCTGTGAGCAAGCCGCCTGAACGTTTATCCATGAACACGATCCCTGTAGGGCTTCTGATGGAGAGAGTTCCTCCCAAGTGGAAAACAAACAATCGAGAAAGCACCACGATTGTAAAGTGAGTTTCTACTTCAACAGGAGGGTGAGCTGCCCCTCTCATAAAGACTTCCAACTCACCTGTTTAGAACAAACACAGCCGCTTCTTCGAAAGCAATATCTGGCAGTTTGCCTCACTTGTGAGTGCAGCAAAAGCGGACACTAGACCTCTTAGAGGTCAAGTGGGGCCGGCTTTGGCAAATGTTGCAACAGTTCAGGTTGCGGTGCGGCTTCCTTCAATTTACATTTCAAGCCACCGCATTTGTGTCCCTTATAAATGGCCACTTCGTATTACTTGCTCGCAAGACCCTGGCACATGGGAACAAGGTTGGTTTCTGCCAAGAGAAAATCGACGAGGAAACTGTATGAGCGCCCAACTCAACATGTCTGTGCCCTTGGCAAATTCCAAAAGCTCGGAGCCGCCCTGCGCCCTCCGCACCTGCTCTTTGCCCGCCGGCAGCGACACCCGCCGTCGGGCCGGGCGCTGCAGCGTAAGCGTCAGGCTCCGGCGCTCGGACCTCGCCGATCGAAAACCCGAGGCGAATGGCTGGCTGCCTTGCGGCCAAAATTGTGGGGGCCCCCAAACACGCAGACACGACGACTATAGATGAAAAAGTGGTAGCAGGTGATATGATGTAGAACGGGGATCGCCAAAACCATGGCATGGCATGAGCCCTCACATGCTTCCGGGGCGCTCTATGCCTGGTTGCCTGACAACCAGTAGAGGCGAGATCTTTGCAAAGCCCCCCAAACCGAACCCTGCCGATCCGCAAGGAAAACAGCTATGCCTTTTCATGGCTAGTTGGAGGGTGTTCACCGTATTTGCCCTGAATCGGCGTAAGGCTAGTAGAACCATGTTGGCTCCGCGAAAAGTGACATGGATATGCACCTATGTCGGGATTTGGCAGACCTTCCAAGACACGCTACTAAACGAAACGACTATCCTGAAAGCAAGCATAATATGCAGCAAAGTGTAACAGGCTTTCCCACTGTGAAATTGTCGCTCGATGCGAGTCTCTGTGCATGTCATTCGATGCAAGTTTCTCCAGATATGTCTCTCTATGCAAGTTTCTTCGCGCAAGTCACTCATTGCAAGTTTCTCCGCGCAAGTCCCGAGCTGCAAAGTGCACTTTGCGCACTACTTCCGCGCCTGAAATTTCAGACTTTCAAGCCGGCGCAGCGAAAGCGCACTTCGCGCGCGTAAGGCTGCGCAGCGCTGGGTTGTGCGTTACAAGGCTGCGCGTGGCAAGGCTGCGCAAAGTAGAGCTGTGCATAGCACCATAGCAAGCCTGCGTTGACAGGCGCTGCGCAGGCTGTGCGCGCTGTGCATGCAAGGCTGGATTGATGAGTCAAGCAGCGCCATGCAAGCGGAGCTGTGCCATGCTGCGAGTCTGAAGCTGTGCGAGCAGGGCAACCCATGTTTGCAAAAAAATAGACCACGGTTGGCCCGAAAGCATCACAGCCCCGGCGATCATTCCCGCGCAAGTTTTTTGCTCGTCGATGTGGTCACGAGCAACACGCAGCAACTAACCTTGTTCCTGCTATCTTGCCACCTACCGGACCCCCCTCACACGAGTTTGCCAAGCACGTCAAAGATGACACATATACCGCCCTCGAGCAAAACAGTGACTACAACGCAAGTGACTCTCATGATGACTCTGCAGCAATGACTCTCATGATGATTCTGCGCAATGACTCTCATGATGATTCTGCGCAATGACTCTCACGATGACTCTGCGCAATGACTCTCGTGATGACTCCGTTCAATGACTCTTGTGCGCTGACTCTACGCAATGGCTGTCACGATGACTCTGCGCAATGACTCTTGTGCGATGACTCTACGCAATGGCTGTCATGATGACTCTGTGCATGCAATGACTCGCATGACGACTCTGCGCAATGACTCTCATCATGATTCGGCGCAATGACTCTCATGATCACTCTGTGCAACGACTCTCGCGATGACTCCGTTCAATGACTCGTGTGTGGTGACTCTATGCAATGGCTGTCATGATGACTCTGTGCAACGACTCTTGTGTGATGACTCTACGCAATGGCTGTGATGACTGAGTGCAAACAAATCGTAAAAAGTCCTCAGTTTTTTGACCTCGACCACAGGAATCTCCGCAGAGGGTCGCGCGCGCACCGCAGAAATCGTAAAAGTCCTCGGTTTTTTGACCTCGACCACACGAATCTCCGCAGAGGGCTGATTTTCGTAGAGTGCTGTCGGCCCTACCCCGCCGCCCTAAGAAGAGAACAAAGGAATTTAAAACTCGTCATGAGTGAGAACTCTCATGAGCATTGCTCCTCGCAAGTGTCTCTCACGAGCACTGCTCCTCGCAAGTGACTCTCTGCTATGACTCTGTGCAGTGACTCTCATGATGATGATGGCTCTGTGCAATGACTCTGATGATGATGACTCTTTGCAATGATTCTGATGATGATGACTCTGCGCAATGACTCTGATGATGATAACTCTTTGCAATGACTCTGATGATGATAACTCTTTGCAACGACTCTGATGATGATGACTCTTTGCAATGACTCTGATGATGACTCTGTGCAATGATGATAACTCTTTGCAATGACTCTCATGATGATGATGACTCTGTGCAATGACTCTTATGATTGATAACTCTTTGCAATGACTCTCATGATGATACCTCCCATGAATCCAACGGAAGAACCCTTCGCCATGCTTTCGGGAAAAAAACTGTGCTACACTTTCGGAAAAAAAAAAGGTGTCCTATTGGAATTCCACCTGCGTTTGGATCATTCGGGCTCTGAACCTAACACTAACACTACCTCAGGCACGGGCTGCAGGATGTCAGCGATGGCATCGGCCTGCCGTGCTGATTTGATTTGGCATTTACTCCCACGTATGTGGCCTGACAGGATTGAAAGGTGTCATCATTGCGATCCTGCTTCACATTCATGTCGGGTGACCGCAAATGGCACAATTCCCCCATGTCGCTTTAGTTATCCCCTCTACTTACCCACATACAGGGAAAAATCGCGGTCAGCTGTCGCGGCAGCTCCTTTGGAAAAAAACAAGGCTCTAAGCTGCTTGGGGGTATTCGCTTCGGAGCTTAAAAGAATCCGAGCCTCTAACATGGATCCTAACTCTGTCAGATGGCCGGAGTTGGGGTGTATCAAAAAACGCCCCCAAAATTGAAGGCAAACAATCACCCCTTTTCAAAGCCCTTGAAAGAGACACATCCTCCAATCAGGACCGGAGTCGGCAGTTTGGCATGGATTCACGCCGCCCTGAGCTAGAAATGAGTGGATTGCACTCAAGTAAGTGCTGACTACCATACATCAGCGTCGGAAACCTGCTTGACAAGTGGCCCCCTTAATTGCCCTGCCTCGCCAAACGTGCCGTTAGCTCTGAGGATGAAGTCGCCTACCTCCGGGCACAATGGTCTTCGTGCAACCCTCACCCCCCCTCTCTCCCTGTGCTGCTTGGCATTCTCAGCCTTGCCACTTCTGCGCAAGTCCGGAGGACGAACCAGCACAAACCAGTGCCTTGATCTTGTCCTCCTCTGCGGCGGACTCATTGTGGCGGTCCACCTGCAGAAGCTGGAAGACACCGGCTCAGGCCAGAACTTGTTGCTTTTGTGTTTATGTTTCTTTGCATACACAAATATACCACAAAGGGTTTCCACGTTGCAGGAATTTACCCTTGCGATACCAAAGTGGGCCGTGAGACATGTCGGCCTTGAAAACCAACAGTGCAATTTCGCCATGCTTGCTCTGTTGAAAACATGTCGATGTCTTCGAAAGACTTTGAAAACGCGAGTTCGAAACTGCGACATCTATTTTGGAAGGAACAAGAATCAAGCTACAAACGATTCTGCCTCCTGCACCTTGCCACACATGTGCGTACCTTGAATCGTCAAGCTTTGAAATTTTCTGGATGGAAGATGTCACTCCCAGTCAAAAACAATGTGTCGTTCCGGCTCTCACATCACTAAGGCAAATCCCTTTGAAGCACACCACAGAAAAAGCATCAATGACATTGAGCAGACTCTAAACATCTCTGTAACTTTGTTCCACAAAATAGTTTCTTGATTGCATATGAATTCAACATCGCAAAGAACAAGCAAATCCTCTTCGAACCACCTCAAAGTAGCGATGGCATTGAACTATCGTAGGAGCATGTTAGTGACCTCTTATATGCATGCAAATGATACACCAGTCACTTTCTATGTCCAGCTGCTGCAGGACAGGGAGCACATAGTGCATATACATACACACATGTACATGGTGAAACTTGCCCAGGAGCAATGCGCACGAGAGTATCCCTGGGGCAGAAGTGGCCTTGATTGTCTCGCAGGGACTTATTTACCTTCCAAATCTAGAGGTGCAGCCCTGCCGACAAACCATCCCATCAAAGATTCCCAGGAAGGGGTTTCAGCAAACAACGTCGACGAAAAAGAAGAAGAAGAAATACCATTGGCCACAGAAACATCGAACAGAGACCCGATTCATGAAATTCCCATTGCTCACATGATCTGATCTCACATATCTGACCACATCGGAGAGGATCTTAAGGAAGTCAAGTGCTGAGCCGGGCTGAACACATACACCCATGTTCCAGAACCCCAGGTATGAACCCCCCATTTGCGAGCACCACCCGAAGGGGCCACTGGCCATGGGATCCGAGCTGCGAAGGAGCCCTCGGCGATGCTGCAAATCTGCACCGCCGCGGGGTCCAGCAGATCGAGGCCGAGGCCCAACCTCGGGGCGACGGAGAAAGCCTTGCATGTAAAAAGGTAGATACGTACATATGTGGATATGGTAGATACATGTACATATGCATATATGTAGATATGTATATAGGTGGTTGATTATATCACTTGTCTCCCCCAAAAGACACGTGTTGGTTCCCCTGGTTCCCATCCCTCTCCTATGACTGCAAGCTGGGTGCGATATGAAGTTGCTTCCTTAGACTTTTCTCCTTCAATACCAAACCACATGAGTCCCCCCATTTTTTCAGGCTACTTGTACCCTCCCCCCCCCCCTTTTTGCCAAAAAAAACGACACCAGAAGGAAACAAAATGTTGCGCCACGTTGGGTTGGGTCTTTTTTCTCCCCCCCAAAAGACGCACATCCCCTGGGTGCCGCGACGGCTCCCGGCGCGGCGGCAGCTCCAGGCGCCGGAAGCCCTGGCCCACCCCCAGCAGCTGCCTGGAGAAACTTCGGCGCGGACGTCGCGTGGAGGGACCGCCGGACTCGGACACCCAACGCAGTGCCCAACGGCGTCTGATCCGGACTCGGTCCTAGCGCAACCATGGCTTGACCACAGTACCAACCATGGTTTCAATGGAGTTTCAACCATTTCGGCTTGGTGCAGGAGTGTTTGTCCACGGTATCAACTTAGATACTTTGCTAGAATTGTTGAAAATAGCAAGTCATGTCGAATGGGAAAACCTTGAAATAGCGGAACCCCCGCTAAGTGGTGGAACCATTCTAAGATGGCTTTGAAACAAAATGCCGAAACCTCCTCAAATGGTGGAAATATCCTCTCCAAAATGGAGTTACCTGTTTTGTGTGTCCCTTCAAAACCCCTCAAAAAAAAGTCCTTCCTCGGTGGTCCTTCGGGTTCAATGGGTGGAATCACACCAATTAAGAGACGCCCGTTTTGAATGGCCCACGAAACTGCAATGCTTCCCCTTTCGGATCAGTGGGGAAAGGTCTCAAAAAACTGAGCATCCTACGCCCAATGCCGCAGTCCCAAACCCTAAGCGATGGAAAACATGGATGTGTGTCAAAAATAGATACCCAAAACGAAACCCTGGTAAATGGAACCAAGGACTAAAACCTGCGGTCCCCGGGTTTCATTTTGACCCACACCCACAAAGTCTGCAGTGCCCCAAACAAAGACGTCCAAAAACCGCAGGCGTTCCGCCGCTCCGCCTGCCCTCCTCCGCATGGAGCACCAGGCGCATGCGCACCGTCTCTGCCAGCAAGATCAGCGCACTCCTGGGCTCAGATACTGGAATTGCCCCAAACCCAGGGACACCAAAACCGAACCACAACCGAAAGCGAACTAAACCAAAACCAAGACCAAAACCAACACCAGCAAGGCAAGCAATCCAAGCCAGGACCAAAACAGAAACACACCAAACACCAAAGCCACTACATTCAGGTCCCCAAGCTACAACTACAACAAGCGTACCTTGATCAGTGGGTGCCACTCATATTTCCCTGTGCAACATGCAGGGAATAAACTTTGACAACAGGCAGCCCCAGTGATGCAAGTGTGCCCACTGACGCTACAAATGAACTCACTTTCAGTTGCGAGAGAATCCTGTTGTTTTTTGCTTTTTGTTGACTTTTGGTCTGCACATCTCTGTGTAGTGCTGATGGCATTAGCGGCTTGTCGCTCCACCGCTTTGCAAACACGCCAAAAAGAAAGGTTATTGTGCTCTACGGTATCCCAAATTACTATACGGTTCAGCATACAAAAGCAAATGAATGATGACAGCACCATCCGGCTGCATCTGCGCAGAGAGGGTCGTGAGCAGGGCTCAACTCAATTCACATCGAGGGCTTGAGCTTTGGGTGCTAACCAAGAGGCCTGCGGTTTAGATGCGTTCTAAAGATTCTGTATGAGGCAAAGCGTTTTAAGGTCCTTAACATGTCGACAAAAATGGTGACCCTCATTTAGACCCTCCCTAGCGCCACAAGCACAAGAGGATGTCAAGTGTCCAAAGGCGGCCCAACGTCGTGTCAACTCCCAAGCTGCCCCTCCCTTGAGTTGGGACCAGGGTGCGGCAAAAGGAAGATGCTGGCCTCCGAATCGATGAGACTTGCCCGGGGCGGTGGGCAGTCGGAAGACCAATTTAACATGGCAGGAAAAGCTCTTAATGATGGGGTTCTCTTGGTTCCGGCTTGCAGTCCACCAGCATAAGGGTGACAATGCTGACAAATCCCACACAGCCAAACCACTTTTGTTTGAACAGGCTTCGATTTTCGCTGGGGCAACAATGAAAAACACGAGGGCGCTGTCGAGGCAAACCGCGGGGTGGCCCTGTGTCAACAAATCGTTTCGGCTTGAATTGCTGGTACCCTCATACAAGCTTGACAGAAGCACCCTAGAACCTGACAAAATCACTGTAGCTATGATGCTACCAGACTGCAAGCGGCTATGCGCTCAAAATGAGTTTGCTTCGTTTGCTGCCGCACCCCTCAAAAACACAAGAAGCGTTTCGGCTTGAATTGCTGGTACCCTCATACAAGCTTGACAGAAGCACCCTAGAACCTGACAAAATCACTGTAGCTATGATGCTACCAGAATGCAAGCGGCTATGCGCTCAAAGTGAGTTTTGCTTCGTTTGCTGCCGCACCCCTCAAAAACACAAGAAGCCTGACCCACCTCCCAATCAAGACAATGTCGACTGGGCGAAGATCGTCTGGCATTCTTGGAAGGGCTGCTTGGACATCTAACGGTGTTTGCCAGCTTCTTGTATTGCATTGACAATCCTTGAACTCATTAAGCCTCGATGTTCTTTTCGACAGCCAACCACATCTCACCTTCCTAACTCGCAGTCTCTGCATGGCTATGGTTTCGTGAAGAGGCTATGCTCAAAAGTTGCATTGATTGCACCTTTTGCCTCGTGATCCTCGCTTGAAGACACGAAAACTAGACCCCCTCGAAATTCATCGTGATCGAAAGCCCAAAGAAACAGCTACTCCCCCCCCACCAGACTTCGGCCCATCGAACAGAACCTCTCCCCTGGGGCCGCCGCCGGCGCATCCCCGGAGCGCTGGAAGGCCAGCTTAGACAGCAGCGAGATCACCCCCTGCGAGGCCGTCGGAAGGAAGCAAACCGGGACGGACCTCTTGAGATGGATGGACGTGGCTTTTTTCAAGGGCAGCCCCAAAGTGGCTTGGTCTTCCTTTGGGCTTTACTGCAAAGGGGTACCCTCGAACAGTGACCCCATATGTGTATTAACATGGATAAAATGAGGGGATGCGCAAGACCATTGCACGCAAGAATCCATTGACGCGCTGGGTTCCTGAATTGTTGTTCTAGTGATCAATCTTGCTGCAGATCACATCCTGCACTCTGCTTCCCGGATTGGTTTGAACAGATGGCAAGAGTGAGCCCCGAGATTCGCAGTCATGTTCGTTCTTGCGGCCAATATCAGGGCTCTTACCCTCCGTGCAGCTCAGACTACTCGCACCAAACAGCTGTCAAGGCCATCAGGGCACCCAACAACCATGCAGACTGTGAGGCAGGGAATGGGGGAGCCATGCTCGACCAATAGGTCCTTCGTCGATTTTGGCGGCGTCCAACACGCAAACGCAGCTCTGGCCCCTCGCAGCATCGAAGAGCATGGCCAGCAAGTAGCCGTCATCCTCGGAATTTTGGGGAGCCCGAGGCACAAAGTGTGGCTCATCCGCGAAGGCTCGACTGCCCGCGAACCAGCGCTGGCTTTCTCCGGCAAGGAGATCCACTTTGGCCCAGCCGCAGGGCGGGCTTGAGAGACCAGAATCGTTGCCGATGATCATGTAGATGTAGCGACACTTGGGACTTCCAGCAAATGAAGGGTTGATGGTTGGGTGCTCCATGCAAAGGTCCTGGCTGCCAGCGACCAATGAACGATCCAGAACCTTTTGGGACGCGGCATCGATAACGTGCCGAACCAGCCGTGTTCTGGGTGTTTTGTTCATGTCAGCTGGCGGCACCTTGGCTGGTAATTCAAAGGGCCACATTTGCTCCCCGCTTGTCCATTCACCAAAGAGATGTCCTTCCGGAAACTCATCCCAGCTGCTGGTATACACAGTGACGATCTGATTGGAAGGCACCTCCGACCACCCAGCGGGTGGACCATCATGGCAGTGCGCGATATGAACATCGAAGACTCCACAGCTGCCGTCAATGACCACTGCTTCACAGTTGCCGCTTCGGGAAAGGATGTGAATGCGCTGCGGCAGCGCCGGTTCGCTGACCAGACTCTCCGCAGGACCCTTCACACCCAGCAAGTATCCAGGGAGATCCCCCAGCCGGAATCGGTTCTCCAAAAAGACACAACTCTTCTCCGTAAGCCCAAAGTCATGCGGGCTGGAGTCGCATTTTTCCAAGAAGGTGCTGCATGAACCAGGCTCTGTCACCAGCCGAAATTCTTCATCCCACTCGTGTACCTGAATCTCAATGCCGCCAGATTTGGAGGACCAGCTGAAGCCGACCAAGCGCCGCTGCTTTGGATCTATCTTCGGGTGTGCTGTGAAAGCGTCCCCACCCAAGCCCAGGAACCCGTCAAGTAGCGGAAACCCAGAGGAGGCTGCGACACCGGGAGACAGCAGCCCCTGAAAATCCTCGTCACCCAAATAGGCCAGAGTGGTTGCATCTACTTTCGAAGGATGCGCTGCCTCATACAGCGCAAGCAGCTTTCCACCCCAACTCATCACATTGGTGTTCGCCAAGTTCTTGGACCGCAAATCAAAAATGTTCGCGGGAACGCCACCCGGCTTGGCAGTACCAAAAGCACCACGGTACAACACCGCATCAGCTGCTTCTTCGCATTGGTACTCGGGGGTGCGCACGAAGTCGCCCTTGTATTGCACAGTGCCAGACTGGAAACGGAAGGCGTTTAGGAAGCCATCCCCGTCAAGGAAGTGCTTGTAAACTGTCGAACCACGATAGAAGCGGCCTGGGCCGACATGATAAAGAGTGCCATTCAGACCTTCTGGAATTGTTCCTTCCACCTCCAGGTCTGCCCAGCCATGTGCTTTTGCTGTCTGCAAAAAGCGAAGGAAATCGGATTGCGAGTAAAAACCCTTGCCATAAAGGGCAGGATCGCACAAAATCGGATCTTCGGGCGCAATGCGGCCACCTTGCCTTGCCCTCCGCTCAAGCTTCCGAGTCTTCCTGGAAAATAAACACAGGCAGGTAACCAATCCAGTCCATCCTGTCGAACGCGCAAGCCTGGCAGCCTCTGCATGGAGGAATGTTTGCCTTGTTGGTCTCTGGATTGCTTGCCGCGTCGCACTTGCATGAGTTTCCGCGAATGGCACTTCAGCCAAATGCCATCCGAAGCCTTCGGCATTCATGTTCAGGCCAGGCGTACACAGCTTTGAGCAATTGAGTCGGAAACGCTGAAGCGGCGTGGGGCAAGGGTTTGGAGATTGTTTCCACAAGGAAGCAATGACACTCTGCGTCGCAAGATGGTTCACAAGCGCATGTGAACTTGACAGGACCTTGATATGGAAGCCTTCAGTATATGCATGAAAGCCAGGAGAAATGTGTCATTCGCTCAATCCCTGCAGAATCACGGTGTGACTTTCATGAGCTACTGACAAGCTGAAATCAATTACTGGCCAAGCTACCAGGGCTTTCCACGATCCTGGGAGCTCGACCATGAAAGAAGCCAATGGAAAATCACAAATCGCTCTCTCGGCCAAGGGCCAGGAAGACGTGACATCATTTCCACGCTGCCAAACACTGACCACATGATGCTATGATGTGGCTGGCAGCTGGATATAACCATCCCTTCACGGCTGGCAAGGGGCCTATGCTTCTCAATGCTACTGGTCAACAGTCCAACCTGAACAAGAAATAGCCCCTTAGATAGCTTTACTGTATACAAACGATGATGGCAGGTGTGACGTGTGTGCTGAGGCGTAAAGGCTTAATTCGGGCCCTGGCAAAGTTTGTTCAGAAGCTCTTTCCGGCAACTAACTGCCTTCCCCCGCTGATCATGAATCATCGATTCCATACCAAGGACGCCTGTGCCCGCTTGAACCCATGGTGCAGCTTAGCCCGGATTCAACAACTAAGGGCCTTGTTCGGCTGATCTGAATCCCTTTGAGCAGCCACTTTGAGCCTCTACGGGTTCAGCCATACACGGCCCAGCCCATCCCAGGCACCTCTGAAGCAGCGCGGAGGGTGGCCATCAAGCCGACCACCTCACGGGCTGGCAAAGCTGCCGGGCTGCAGCTGTTTCACTCAATTCGTGGGTGCTCATATCCCATATGGCGTGTTGCAACTCCAAAATGGCGAGTGCATGAACCATGGTGGCCGATGACGCTCTACAAGGCAGGCCTGTTGCTATGCCATTACAAAAGGGCAAGTAGTTTCAGGACACTTGGTGAAACTGCGCCATGCGCAAGGCAGGCGCCAAGCTGCATATGAGTGGTGCTCACTCCTCGCAGGGCGAAGCCCCAAACTTTGTCTCCCTTTCAGAAAGCTTCACCCTGCCTCGCCGCGACCCAGCCCAGCCCTGCAGGCCTGCGACAAACAAAAGGGGCATGCGCCCCATGGAACGAATCCGAAAGCGTGAATTGACTTTCCGACACATCCCCGTGTGCACACAGAAGTCGTCCACTGCGGCCTACCCAGGGCAACTTTTGTGGGAAAGCCTTGCGCTTTGAAAAGGTCCTCGAAGCCACTCCAATCAAAACTCGGGCATGTTTTCTGAACAACTGGGGCTACAGTAGCCCCGGGATTTGTAATGGAGGTCTTCTATTGGCGTACAAGAAATGCGCAAAGTGACAGGTCCACGATAAAAACGAAAGAAGCAGAATACCTCTACATGCACCGGACCATGTCAGTCCAGCAGTTGCTAAAGGTGGGCATCGTGTTACAGTGGTGTTGCCATGTTTATTTAGTGCTATCATCCCCTGCGGGAACCAAAGGCGACTTTGCAATCTGCGTGCAGCACAGTCCGTCTGCTCAGCACTAGCAACATGCTAGGCAAGACACCAAGGCGTGGCATTCCGGGAATTGGAATCAAAAACCAGGGTTGAGCAGGTATGAGAGACCGAAATTGGTACACGAGTATGTCTTTGCATGAGGGCACAGTGCCAAGAAACCTAAACCTTGACAAGGGCGCCCCCATTCTGATTCTTCCGGCGCACGTTTCTTTACACTTCTTGCCTTGCAAAAGGTTCCGGGCCGTATTCCTAGCCAAGCCTGAGGGATATGGCTGTGGGTCGAAAAAAAGGTACCCAACATGGGTTGCCCTGGTAAATAGTACCAAGGACTAAAATCTGCAGTCCACACCCTGGTGGCGAATTATTGACCCGTACCCATCTGGCGCTGTCAGAAGACTTGTCAACCACGTGCCGTGTCAACCCATCGCCTCCTGCAGCAGCCAGGAGGCGGACACCAGGCGTCGCTGGGAGCCCAGCAGTAGAGGCACCAGGCCCCACCAGAGCCACGTCCTCAGCGTCTCTCTTCTCTAAGTTGTTATTGGTCTATGGGCATGAATTTGATAAGAAACACTCTGGTGAACATCAAAATTCGGTGGGGTTTTATGTCCATCAACCACTTTCCAGGGGGGTCCTTATTCAAATTCATGGCCATATGAAGGGCTCACCCTCCTTTCCCGGACATAAACCTCGGAACCGCAACAGTCATTTGCACTGCTTGGACGGATGTAGTGATCACGCCTGACTTGTCAAGCACTTCGCGGGTGGATCATTTTAACGTTTGAGCGGGTGCAGTGCCACTTCTTTGCGGTCCTCTCTTCTCGCAGATCCATGGAACAACCCAAGCCGGCCGTGCTTGGCAACCAGTGGCTGAAACGGACGGAAACGGAAACGGATCTCCGTGCCCAGTCCTCCGCATGCAAAGGAAGCCAAGGCAGGAGCTCACGTGGCACGCCACCAGGAAGCGGTGCTCGCCCCAGCGCCTGGATGTGCTCAGCGAGACCCGAGGGTACCGATGTCTCCAGACGTCTCCAGACGTCTCCATGGCCCTCGTTTTTGCCTGTCTTGCCCCCAAGCTTTTGCCTGCGGACTCCTATCCGTTGTTCGCGCCATTTTTTCCGCTCCCTCGCCAATGTCGTTCTACTCGTCTATTCGCTTCACTGAAATCCAAAGCGTTGTTCACTTTGTCCTTGGGCTCCGAACATTTGCACTCAAACATGTCCCAAACATGAAGACAGACAGCGGGCATAGGAAAACACTGCCCGATCATGCAAAAAGATCAGTGACTGCAAAAGAGACTCTTACTGTTGCCGTGCCAACATGCACAAAAGCCCAGAATGTGTAGCTAAAACTGGGCATTCCTACATGAGGAATGCCAAGTGCAGCCAATGGCAAAGTGGAACGCGAGCCGCGTAATGCAAGTGCGGCCATATAAGGTACACAAGGAATGCGCCCTCACAAGAATTTATTCGGGGTCCAAACTAGCTACGGGTCAGGCAAGCGCTTGTTCATGAATCCTTAAGCCGCCCACAGAGTCTCTCCTCATTACAGCTACCATCAGGTTGATTACATGAGAACTCATTCAGGTACTGTTGGTTTCACCCGGGCCCGCTGTTTTCTTGTTGCCGTGGGTCGCCCCAACCACTACAATTGTCCCGTCACCAGGGCAACTTGGTTGTCCAACTCAAGGGCCTCTCCAAATGGCCAGAAATTCCTTTCGACAATGCTTTGAAACGCACCGAACCAACCAACCAAATCCAAAACAACCCAAACCCAACAACCCAAGGCGAACCAAACCTACTAGAACCCCTGGCCATTTTCAACCAACCCCTCTCCTGGGCAACCCCCCACTCGAATCGGGTCCGCCTTAGCAGTGGCCCGCACCAGCTGCTGGCGGAGAGCGCTAGTCCGTGGGCGGAGGTCCACAGATTGGCGGACCCGCCCTGACCGTCTGACGGGTAGCAACCGACAAAGCCATCCGTTTGAATCTACCGGCACCATCAGGATCCGATGGCAAAGATCCGTGTGTGGTCAGCAGGCCTCATTCCAGTGACATCCTCAAAACTTGGCCAAACACGCGGTTTGAAGGGAACCCACCAAAGACACCAAAAGCAATTTTGAGAAGCCCTTTGAGGGACTTTAGGGCTCCCAAAAGTTGAAAAACAAAAACGTATTGTAAGCTCTCCCGGAGCACCGGAGCAACAGCTCAGGCTACTTGGTATTTGGATCGGACATGGTGCACAGCTGCCAAGCCAAAGCGCCACTGGCGCAGCCTTCATTTGGTTTTCTTGTCACAAAGACCATGATCTGGTTGTTCCAACCAGGTTTCCCCGTCCCTGGTCAAACAAGTTCTATGCCTGCTGTACCCGGCGGAACGGCTGGCAGGGAGTTGGGCAAGGGCAAGGGCAGGGCAGGCTTACACGATCAGAAGCGTTAGGCTACAATATTCATGGCTCCAAACAAGCCCGAAACACCCTGAAGGCAAAATGGGTACTGGGTACAAAAAGCACAGGGACATGTTATCAATCAATGCTTTTACGCGTTGGGTCACTATCACAAGACACCTAGCTTTGCGTTCCAAGCTGGCCAACATCCGTAGCCCTATTCCGGCAACGGAGGGACCTGTACACGAGGGCAACACAAAGGCAATTGACTGGAGTCTCCTTTGATTCTTCCAGAAAGGGGGCTCAATTTCACGCATCCCAAACCTGCGTCTTTAACATCTCCAAATCCGTGGCATCTGGGAATGTTTGCCCTCCACACCTTTGTCAAGTCAACCCTCCAAAAAAGCCCTAGAGCTTGGCAACTTGCACAGCAAAAAAGACGTTAATGGACGCGCTTGGGTTGAATATTTAAGATCCATCCCTGGAGGGTAACACTAAAATCGGCCCTTGCTGAGCATCAGTTGTCGCGGCCCCTTCCCTTTGACATTCTGCTCACCTCCCATCTTCCTCCCGTTGCAATCTCTACACATCCCGCCTTGCCATCACTTCACTGCCATCCTCCGCAGTACTTTCTGCAACGACTGGCCCATGTTTCATCACACCGCCCTGTGCCGTAATCCCAGAAGCTGCTCCTTTGCTGGGGGATGCCCGTCTTGGTTCCAAATGACGCATGAATGGACCAGCAGGAGTGCTACGAAATCAAAGGATATAAAGTGGTCAGCAAACTACCCGCTCGTCCATGGACGCAAACACCGGACATTCCGCGCCAAGCCTGCTCTGCTGGCAAACTGTTGGATGGCCTCCCCCACATGGCCGCCGCGTCACGTGAACAACATCTAGCCCCCAACGGAGCTGGCGCTGTCACGAAGCACCCCGACTTAGTCAGCGTGCCACCTGAGACCAAAGTATCAGGTACCGGAGATGCCGATCCCCGGTGGATTAAACACACCCCCAGCGGGCGCCTTTAGCCCATGTGCCCCGCTGTCATATGCCCGCGCCGAAGGCACGTTGGCCCCAAGGGTGGCTGCACGGCCAATACGCCCCACACCCGGCCAACGGTGTGAAGAAGTCACTGACAACCGGCGCAGCAACCTCTCTGGGTAGGGCCGCACTGGGACCACTTGGCCCCGACTCAAATTAGTATCAGATCACACAAAAACCTGACCTCGTGTGTGTGTGTATCCATGTAGCTTCCCTTCGGACTGATGCCACTTTTTAGCGTGGATCACACCAATCTGCAGCTTGCACACTGGCAGTCTTACCTATGGTCTCCTCCTCGGCACAGACAAATCCATTGCCTTGCGATTCTTGCGTCACAGGCAGTTTGTTGTGGACTCCACTAGCCAATCTCCCAGACTTCCGGAGCCTGGCTAGTTTTTGTTTATATGACTATCCAGCTCTCAGCTTGTTGCAAAGGACTTGCACCAGTCGTCCTATACGCCCTCTCCACGCACATGCAGCGCTCTGAGTTGCAGCCCGTTCTTCCGGGCGCTCCGATCCCCTGATGCATCCCCGAGAGATGCCAAGTGTAGCTCGTGATTAGGTCGGAAAGGCCGGAGCCACCCTGACAAAACCCCGCAAGGTGATTTGTGGATGCTTCTCATCTCCGCGGGGAATGAGCACGAAGCACTGCAATGCTCTTGGGGCAGCATCAATGAGAGCCCGCGCAAGGCGCTCATCGTCAAAGGAGGCCATTTTGTTGTGTGCAAACTGTTGGGGTTGGTGTCCGGACCCACTCAAGCGCAAGCAGGCACATGTTGTTTGTTTTTTTGCTTTCGGAAGGCCAGTTGGAGACGAAGCCAAGTTTAAACATCCGCAAGATTCCAAAAGCCAAGCCCTGCCTGCCAGTTCAGCTTGAGCTGCACCCAGGTCGCTTGCTCTTGGAGGACCTCTTCGCTGGCGAGCGTGTCGCTTTGGCCAAGCCCATGGAAGACTCACTTAGAGAGCACCCGGCCTCCGAAAATGCGCAAGAGACACAAAGCAAAGAGAAACAAAGAAACTCCCGCCTTGGGCCTTGGATTTCTTTGTCCCATTCTAAACCTGCGAAAGCATTCGAAAGGCATGTGCCTGCTCGTTCTCCCCAAACTCTGGCATGCCCAGATCTGCCAAAGTCTGCCAAGGTCGAACAGGGCCGCAGTGCCTTACTCACCTTTTGGTCACGAGATCAAGTCTGGGAATGGGATTGGCTCTGGAATTGCCTTTTGCGTCGAGCTGGTGATGTGGCTTGTGTGAGAGGACGAAGCTCATGTTCTGCCAGCAGTCTATTGATACAACATCGATTTGCTGGTACAACATCTGAAAATCCTTGCCCTGAATCAAACGATCCAGTCACACCCAACGTTCCACTGGGCGTTTGAACGAAGAATGTATGAAGCTTGACCCCACTGAGGTCGCAATCAAACATGGTATGAAAGGGGTGTTCCCAAAATCATCTAGGCTTTAAAAGCATGAACTCAAGCTTGACCTTCATCTACCCAAATCGGCTTGGATTGTAATCTCACCTGAACGCTTCCATGCGGGTATGGCCTTTTTTGTGGGGACCTTTGCGGGGCCTTATTACAGGCGGAAGTACGTCCACCAACAATGTTTCAGGGTGTTCCCAATCAAATCCCATCCCATAGCCACGTGGAGGGGTGGCGCTGATTTTTGTTTGACACCACCGTTATTTTTGACACATGTCCACATGACGCAATTTGTAGTAGCATGCTGCTACGACATGCGGTTCGTAGTTTAAGGTAGTTGTTCTTCATCGCCCTGTGGCTGTTCTTTCCAGCAAGCCAAAAGGAGTATCTTTTGGCTTCCCAATTCTTGGTTTTGATTTGTGCTTTCTGAGGGTAGACTTTTCAGGTTGGTTTGAAGGGAAACCAAACGGAAAATCATCCTCATTTTGACGGTACCCTCCCACTAATTAACATGGAACCTGACAGGTCGGTCCTGCAAGACCATTTTCTTTTTGAAGGGACTTCCTGTCAGGTTCCATGTTTTTGGTGGGAGGGTAACCCAGTGGAACCTCAAACACATCACCCTACCTCGTGCAAAACGTCCCCGGCCTTGCCCTCCACCATGGAGTGCAGCAGGAAGAGGCCCGCACGGTGGCGCAGGGCTGCGCTGCGGGCAAACAGCCCTGCGCGCTGCCGCACCTCTCGCGGCTGGGGAGGTTGGTGAAGGCTGATTGGCTTCGAAATAGGTGGGGGGGGAGTTTGGACACCTGGCATTTGTGTGTGTGTGTGTGCGAATCTGCATTTCAACGCGGTTGGCGAGATGTAATGAGGATGGCAGAATGGCGGTGCCTCTGCCGTGTCAGGACCCGATGGCCAACGCGTCTCCACACAACAAATGGCAAAGGCTCTGCCACCCAGGGCAGTTGCCTGCCTGCTCGTCATCAAATGTTCCCCCCGCCCCCCTTCTGTGCTGTCCGTGCTACCCATGCTACCCATGCTACCCCTGCCAAGTGGCTGCAGCCAGGAGGTCTTTGCCATCCTGACGCGAGTGAATTGCACGAAATTGCATGCGGAAGGGTGGGATTTCTGGGAAGGACTGCCTTCTCAGAACTCCGTTTCGCATCCAATCTCAAACAGTGTCGAGCCGCTACGCGTCTGAGCTTTGAATTTAGCTGCCGCTGCCACCCTTTCCAACATTGACATGGAGTCAACAAGTTGCCGGCCTGCCAGGTCTCAGCAATCGCTGCTCGCCAGCCTGTGCTTCTAACCGCATGGACGAGCTCGCGTGCAACGGTCGGTCAGCTTCATGCCCAAAAAAAAGACCTCAGTCTGGAAACCAAACCTCGTAAAAATGGGTCCGGCAGCCTAAGGTCTGCATGGGGGGGGGGGCCAAGCTCTTTTGAGTGTTGAACAACTTCCTTGAGGCATAACTTCTGGCCCGAGGGCGCACCAGCTTGTTTGTATGCCCCTCTGAGCGTCAGGCCTTTGTTTGCCAGTTTCTCGTTGGTCTCCTGGAGTAGCCGCCAGCAATGGCTTAGGGCACCCAACTCATCTTAGCTTGAGAAGGCACGTCACTTTACAAACACCCCGAGCTCGCAGGTTGTCCCAAACTCAGGTTTACTCACAAGTGGAAGCACTGGGGAAGATACTCTTAGGTGGAAGAGAGGGCGAGTCTGTAGGGGGATGAATGTGGTGACTCTCAGATCTGCAAAACACCAAGTAGTTGCGTGACCCAAACCAAGACAGCCTGCTCAGGGAAGTACAAACTTGTCGGGCCCGGAGCTGATGAAAACTGCTTGCAACTGGAATCCATGTAAGCAGTTTGAAAGTAGGTCAAGAAGTCGCAAAGAAGAAACATATATATATATATATATATATTATTGCACACGAGCGATATAGGAAAACATTCTCACAGACATGGATCCGCTTGTGTGTTTGGGTTCTGCGCAAATTCTAGCGCTGTGACTAGGGGGATGTCACCCGTGAAAAGGTTGGCCCGCAATATTGGTTTCTCTCCAAGCGGGGATCCCAAAACGAGAGGTCTCCAAATTGCGGGCTCCTTTCAAACCCCGGAAAGCTGCCCATGGCCCAAAGGCTTGCCTTCGGAACACATTGTGACATGGGTCAAAATTAAACCAGGGTCTTGTCCATGTTTCCACTTACCAGGGTTCCATTTTGGGTGCACTTTTTTGACCCAGAGCCGCATGTTGGACCCAAAGTCAGGGCTTGATCCCGTGAGACTTCAGGCGCTCTCCTCCAGGAGCCGCCAGCCCAGCACCAGGTGCAGCGCTGCCACCAGCGCCGCCGCCCAGAAGCACAGCCGCGGGCGCTGGCCCCGGGGCCCCATCAGGGCTGCGGCCTTTCCGTACCACGGTGCCCATCCGGTGGGCGAGCGGGGAGGTCGCAGCTCGGAGGTGAAAGGTCGGAGGTCCAAGGTCAAAGGTCGGAAGTCAAAGGTTGGAGGTCAAAGGTCAGAGGTCGGAGGATGCAATTGATCCTTGTTGTAGATGGCTTGTGGTCGGAGATGTTGAGGGTTCTCTAATCACAAGGCTTGTCAACATGCAGCGCCACGGAATAAGGATCATTGAGCACTAGTCATTTCGGCCTACAAGCCCAAAAAGGGTACTCTGAACAAAAACGCATGTGTCCAGATAGTGACCCCAAAACTGCCAAAAATTGGAGGCTTCCCTTTGGTTGCCCTCATTTCAAATGGGTGCGTCTCCTTTAGGGGACCCCAGAAATGGATTTCAGCGTGCCTCTTTGTTTCCGTTTAAAACCACCACAAGACGGGCACCGCGCCTCAAAAAAAGTCTTTCAAAAATAAAAGAAGAAGAGGAAGAAAAAAAAAAAAAAAACACGTGTGGCTCGAAACACAGAAAAAGAAGCACGCAAGAAAAAAAGAACAAAGAAAAAAACAAAAAACGTTTGGCTCAGACCGAGGTTTCCCTTTCCGGGCAGCGAGCTGAGGGCGGCGCCAGCATGGGGCCCAGCGCCAGGCCCAGGCCTCGGAAAGCTGAGGGAAGCCGCCTGCCGGGGGTGGGAAAGGGCAAAAAAGTGGGGGGGGTTTGGTGTTGGGGGGGGCGGGGTGTGAATCGTTTTGGATGTTGTTGGCAAGTTTCTTCATACCGAAGAACCCAACAAATTCGACCTCCCCAAGACGGAAAAAAATTACGTGGCAGAACAAACTGGATTCATCGGAGGGAATGAAGAAGCAATCGCCAATGAGGAAGGCTAGCAATTTGGACATCGTTAGTTCTTGTGTCCCAAACGTGTTCAGCCAAACCCACACCCCTTCCTTCGTCCACACCCCACGGGAGGAATTTCGGTCCGGTGTGCCTGTGGCTGTCTGCAGGTAGCCAAGGGCAGCTGCATACCTTTGTCCTGCGGGGCCAGCAGGACTGCTGGTGCGGCATGCGAATGCAGCAAAGCCGGTTGAAAGTTGCAAGGATCGCGCAGCGTGCAGCCCCTAGAATACAGTTGCCTCCGGACAACCAAGCTGACGGGTGCCCAATAGAATCAAGGTGCTCTTGCTATGGCGGTCCCTGGGGATGGGTTGGCAGCAGTGCGATTCCACAGTCCGTGGTAGAGATCGGCCAAGCAGGTCATGGTCATCGTGGTCCCGCAAAGAGTCCGAAGTGAATCCCCCAATACCTCAGCTGTCCGCACTGGCGCAACCATTGCTTATGCCTCTCCTTCTGGCGGCAAAACCAAGTGGTGTCTCCGTTTTGCAGACATACCCAACACTCACGTGCTTTTCAGATGTGAGGATCAAGCCTTTCATCGCCCCTAGACCCCCAAACATCTAATCTGAGTCTCCCCAAAACCAAAGCCCTCCCGCTTCCTCATCTCTCCCTACAGTTTCCCAGCACTCAGCCAAAGGGAATGGTGCCACCTACTTTCACTGAAGAAACTCACCGAATCGATCCCTTGGGCTCCGATCCAGTCCGAGCAGCGCGGTCCAGCTGCAGCAGAGCGGGTCTGGGCCAACACGCTGCCAACAGCTTTGTTGGCAAACCCACCTCGGCTCTAAAGGTCAGGGATTCGCATAGTCCACAGCGCTGCATTTGACGGACTGATAGAGGTTTGGACGGACATATCTGTCGCACAGTGAATATTGATGATTGGATGACGATCAACACGAAGAGAGGCTGAACGGAAACAGGCATGCAGGCTCAAAGCAACATTGTTTAGCAAAACACTGCTAAAATTCTCACCTCGCACCCTGACCCTGGGTGTAGGCTCTGTTTGGGGGTAGACTGAGCTTTGCAAAGCATGAGAGAGATCGTCTTGAGAAATGCAGATCAGCTGGAAACCTGTGCCGTGCCCAGTGGCAGCTGGCAGCAAGAGCATCAGCGGCCTGCAAGGCAGCTCGCCCGTCACCCGAATTTGCAGGACACGTTTATCAGTGTTGAACACCTCCCTAAGTAGTGAAGCCATCATGTTGCAGATGCAATCAAACCTGAATTTGGCTAAGGCTCGGAGACGCTGGTATGCCTTCCTTGAATACTTGCTCGCGTTGACTTTGACTTGTGGGGCGCGCCAAACAACATTTGGCCAAATCCTACCCTGCTTGCTGGGTACAGGAATTCTTCCCAGGACATCGCATGTAAGTACATCAGGTGCGGGCTCCCGTACAATGTTTCTGGGCAAGAGCTGGCCATACTTAGAACTGTACTTGTCAAATCCACAAGCTGTCAGCTCATGCTCCCTGCCAACAAGCATGGAAAAGCACAGCCGATCCAGATCCGCCTGCGGCCCACCAGGTCAGACACGCGGCCGATCACCGGGCTGAGCGCCAAGTCGCTGAGAGCCACCAGGAAGGCGCCAGTGCCTTGGCTCCAGCAGGGAGCCACCACGGAAAGCTGGAACACTGCCGGGGCTTCAACCCTGATATGTGCTGAAATATGGCAAAATAGCAACATGCCTAATACTTGCTCGATAGCTGCTTTAGGAGGAGTTGGGCTTGTCCCTGCCTACTTGTATTAGGTCTGTCATCAATGTCACATGCTTGTCCTGGGACAGCACGTTGCAAGCAAGCCTTCATCGATTCTTGAATCAATGACAGTCGTGAACTCCCAGAACATCTTCAGTTGATACACGATTGGGATCAATGAGCCGGGATTGCTCCAATGACGTGCTCCATAGTTTCAACTGGAGAAGTACTCTTTGAACAACTCAGTGAGCGGCGGGCGAATTATTTTACAAAGTGTTGCTTCAATATTCATTCGCGCTAGCCTTCGCGTTTGCTCTATCAAGCCTTCTCCATGGCAGCTTCAGTCAGGGCGAGCAGCAAAGGCTGCAATTTGTCGTCAGCCAATGAATTTTGAGGCCTATTTTGAATCCGTCACGTGGGCAAGGCGGCAAGCCCCTTGCGGGCAATCACAGGGGACAAATCTCCCCCCTCCAAGAACGACAAGAGGTTCCGCGGCATGCGAAAAGTTCCGATCTGCGGGGATCGCCCCGTCAGGCGCGGTGCCCCCAACGTCCGCCACGCGGTCAGGGCCCAGCGCGCGAAGCAGCAGCTGGGAGCGAGCGTGCAGGGTCAGCACGCCTCAGATCCGCAAGGCCCTCGGCCTGCATTAACCTCATTGGACACCCTCAAAATGGGCAGGTTCCCTTTCAATTCCCATGAAACCGAACGCGAACAGAGGTTGTTGTGAGGTTCCTATGACGTTCAATTGGAAGGGGGAGGTCTGGCGCAAGTCACTTCCCCCGGTATTTCTGCAGCTTTTTGACACTACCATGGAATCCAATGGCCCAACTCACATGGACAAGGCATTGTTGTGCATGTGTAGTTTCTACGTTTTTCTGAGGGAAACTGGCCAGCAAACCTGCAATTTCACAAGGGCAACTGAGCTCCTTCAAGACGGAGAAATGGCAATCCCAAGTGCTAAAGCATCCATTAGCTGTGACAAACTCAACGGATGATGAAGATACTACATGCGAATGGTACGCGGGCATCATGGGCGTGTCACTAAATTGGTAGCAAGAATTAGTTGGTTCCCCGGTGGAGTGTTGTTAACCAGTGAAAAGGAGTCTCCAAGCAAGCAAGCAAGCAAGCAAGCAAGCAAGCAAGCAAGCAAGCAAGCAAGCAAGCAAGCAAGCAAGCAAGCAAGCAAGCAAGCAAGCAAGCAAATAGGCAAGCAAGCAAATAGGCAAGCAAGCAAATAGGCAAGCAAGCAAATAGGCAAGCAAGCAAATAGGCAAGCAAGCAAATAGGCAAGCAAGCAAGCAAGCAAGCAAGCAAGCAAGCAAGCAAACAAACAAACAGCAAGTGGTGAGACTCAGAGGCAGCACGTCGAATGCAAGGAACTGATGCTGGAACCAAACTGGTTGTGATTGAACACAAACCATATATATATATATACATGCACACGACACGTCCCACTAGTGCTTGTGTAGATCCGCTGAAAATCCATAGGAATCAGCCATCTATTGAACATGGAACCATCAGTTTAAGGCATGTCCAGTTCTGGTCGCTGACCTCATCAGTTGATCTTGTTGAATCGATCAATGCCCTTGGGATAGTGATTGACTTCACAAGGGAACCGGCCTACATATTTCATCAGCCACCTCCACGTGCGTGGGCATGATGCTGTGTCCACCAGCCGAATCACTAGCCGTAACTAGACCAATGTTGCCCCCCCCACACACGGTATCCTCTCAGCCAAGCATCTCACGCTGATGGCCGCCAGCTGGTGTGCCAGAATCTGCCGCAATCGCCGGCGCCTTGCATGGAGCCGCGTTTGGCCGCTGGCCACCAAGGCCGCGCAAGAAACACTTGGTTGAGCACTAGCTGGATTTAGATCGATGCAACGGTCAGGCCGAGGGAATGATTGAGGTCCGTGTCTTTTTGTCACACATCGGAACAGCTGATCACACCTTTGGTTGTTTCAATCGACACGCACCCACTCCCTCGATCTCACTACTAGCCCTCATGCAGGTTTAAATTGCCCTTCGTGTTTGCTGGTTTTGCACAATCATCCCCTCAACATACAAACTGGTCGGCCGGACTTCCCTGCCCGTGTCCTCGCGGCATCCACATCCGGCAGCCCGGGCTCTCCCTCTCGAAGAGCCAGCGACGAGTGCGCGCTGAAGAACCGCCTCGTTTGGCTGATTCTTGGCTTGTCTCAAAGAGCAAGTTCGGAATCCCCCAATGAAAATCTGGCTGGGTTTGGCTTTCCAAACAAGCAGGGACTCCTCAAAGACAGGCTGATGCTTTGTTGCATGAAACGGGTTTGCACCTCCACAAGCGCCGAAGCCCGGCACAGGAAGGCGGCCCGTTGGGGGCAAGATTGGGCCATCTAAAAGCGTCAGCAGGAAGGATTGCTCAGCCCTACCAAAAGAAAACAGCACGACGGCACAATCGCCCCACAAATGAACAAGTTCTGATTCGAAGGCGGCAGAATGTCCAGCGCACGTTCGGGGCTATAGGCTACAGCCCTTGTTCTTTCCTCGGATGCTTTGATTGGGCGCCAAAGCTTGCGCTTCATTTGGAGACAGTTTGAAACAGGATCTAACATGGATCCCAAGATCATTTTGCAACACGCCCGTCTCAAGAACGGAACCATTTGCTTCGAAAGCTGATCTTTGCAGCCACGGAGCTCGACTTCGCTTTTGGAAGAAGGGCTTGCCATGCGCCCAAGCTCCAGCACTACAGAGCGTATTCGTTCCGAACGAAGCGGCCTTGTTTCTGCAAAGTCTCCAACAAGCGTGTGATAAGACTTGAAGGGTAGGCACCCAGCTCGAACACTGAGCAAAGCGAAGCACAGAGCCATGTGTTGCGAGCACTTTCGGTGGCATTGCCTGGACACAGGTCAAACCAAAACACACGATGCTTTGCAATCAAAGGGGAAAACACGCAAAGAGAGGAGCTTTGCAATGCGCCCGTGTGCACGTGTTGACCATGTTTGGTTGCGATGTCCTAATCGCTGAGAGCCGCTTAGCAGGTCTTGTTGCATCACAACTGCTGCAGTTCGCCACCCGCCTGAAAGCAACCGTGCAATGAATGTTTCCCGACACAAGCTCTCAGTTTAGTTCGTTTTTTTCTTCCTGTTCCCCTCTCTCTCCTCCCTCCCCTCTCTCCTACTTCTCGCTTCTCGTTTCTCTCCTTCTTCTTTCTCTTCTCTCGCTCTCCATCTCTCTCCCCCCCTCCTTTCCGTTCCTCTCCTCTTCTCTCATCTCTTGCATGTCTATGAGAGCAGGAATGACATCAGTTCTGCTTTCCTTGCAGAGCTTGCAGCAATGCAGTTTGGGAGCACGACAAGCTCTATTGAGTACACGCAAGCAAAGCCAACTGTTGGTTCATGAGCCTAGCCAAACTACCCGCTTCCCATGCTTGAGCAATGAGTGCGTGTAAGATCACTGCGCTTCCAAAATGAGCCTGCCAAGGCTAATTGAACTGTCTGCGCTTGAATGGCGTGTTTGCGGCCTGCCAAGGCTACCTGAACTCAATGAGTTTGAGCAAAGTGGTTGTGTGTGTGTGTGCGCGGTTCGAAGCTTGAAATTCCCAGCTCCAAGCAAACTAGCCGTGAATTTGATTGCTTGCTGCGCAAACAGGCCTGCAGGGAGCAGCTGCGCGGTACTCCATTCTGTCTGCATTGCCTTCAAGCTGAACCACTACATTGGAGTGAGCAAGCAGCATGAACAAGGCCTTGCCCAACAAGATCGTCAAGCGGCTAGTGTCGAGCAAGGCCTGCTTGACAGCACGAAGGCTTTCAAGGGGCTTTTTGACTTGGAGATTGACAAACAGCAACAAACATCAGCAAACAAACAAGAACAAGCAAACATCAAACAAACAAGCAACAACAACTGTTGAAAGCAACAAACAACAACACCCACCACCAAACAATCACATACAACAAACAACAACCAACAACCAACAACCAAAACTACAAAAGCAAGGCAAACAAACACAAAACAAACAAACAAACAAACAAACAAACAAACAAACAGACAGACAGACAGACAGACAGACAGACAAACAAACAAACAAACAAACCACTAGAACAAACGACGACAAGGAGAAGCAAACGAAGCAGAAGACAGGCTCGATTGGAAAAAGCAAGAACCGTGAAGCCAGGAAGCCAACGCGAGAAACGCAGCATGTGTCCGGCCAAGCCCACTCCCCTCGGCCCGAGCCTCCGCCCAGCACTCCGCAGAGAGCGCGAGAGAGCGAGAGAGCGAGGGAACGAGAGAGCAAGAGAGCAAGAGAGAGAAAGAGAGAGAGAGAGAGGCAAAGAAAAAGTAAGGCAAACAAGACTAGAAAACAAAATAACCTGATTTAGAAACTCGTTGGTGCGCAGCCCATGTTAAAAGAGTACACTTTTTGGGGTTTGGTCAGTTTTCTCGAGGTGTTTGTCTGTCTCTCTATCTGTTAGGTTGTTGTTTTTCCCTCGAGTTGTTTGTTTTTGTGGTTGTTTTTGGTTTTAAGGTGTCTGTTTCCACGATGGCCTATGTGGACTTGGAAGGAAATGTTGTTTGAACTCAAACTGAAAATCTGAATTCTAAATATACTCGACTTGCTCATGTGTGAAATTTTGCTTCCCAGTTGACCATCTTGGAAAAGAGTTCTTCTGATTGAAGTTTGCGATTTAAAATCTAAACCAATGTGAAGCTTCGAAGTGAGTTCTAACCGAGGTCCCATTAAACTTAAAGCCTTGCGACTTAAAGCTTGCAAACCAATTGGAACATAATTTGCACTTTCCACAAGCTTTTACTAGTTGTTAACTCCTTTTGAAGGGCTTGAAATTAGAAGATCTTGGATTTGGAGAGGGTGATCGGAGAGAATCGGAGAAGAGACAGTGTCAGGGACAGAGAGAAACAAAAACAGAGAGAGGCAGAAATGAGAAACAATCGTAGAAAACAAGCACGTTGAGGGAGACACGTCAGCACAGGCAGCCAAGATGCAAAACAGGCATAGACACAAACAAACAAACAAACAAACCAACAAACCAACCAACAAAACAAAACAAAACAAAACAAAACAAAGCAAGCAGGCCAAACAAACAGGCAAATACAACCAGCCAACCAACCAACCAACCAACCAACCAACCAGCCAGCCAGCCAACCAGCCAGCCAGCCAGCCAGCCAGCCAACCAGCCAACCAGCCAACCAGCCAGCAAACCAGCCAACCAGCCAACCAGCCAACCAGCCAACCAACCAACCAACCATCCAACCATCCAGCCATCCAACCATCCAACCATCCAACCATCCAACCATCCAACCGTCCAACCGTCCAACCGTCCAACCGTCCAACCACCCAACCACCCAACCACCCAACCACCCAACCCAACCCCCCAACCCAACCCCCCAACCGTCCAACCGTCCAACCGTCCAACCACGCAACCACCCAACCACCCAACCACCCAACCACCCAACCAACCAACCGACCGACCGACCGACCAACCCGACCAACCCGACCAACCCGACCAACCCGACCAACCCGACCAACCCGACCAACCCGGCCAACCCGACCAACCCGACCAACCCGACCAACCCAACCAACCCAACCAACCCACCCACCAGCCAACCAACGATCACGACGACGACAACGAACACAACAACTACGATGACGGCCGGACTACACAAGCAGAACCACAAGAACCACAACCACCACAACCACCAAAACCACAACACACACAACAACAACCGCCACCACCACCACCACCACCACCACCACCACCACAACAACCACAACCACCCACCGACCGACCGACCGACCAACCAACCAACAAAGAAACAAATGCAAAACAAGAAAACAAACAAGCCCCACAAACAAAAACCAACCAACCAACCAACCAGCCAACCAACCAACCAACCAACCAACCAACCAACCAACCAACCAAACATGCGCAGAGACAGACAGCCAGACAAACAAACAGACACATACGTACACGCAACGAACAAACACGCACACAAAAAACCGTCAGGAAGCACAGTGACCCTACAACACACAACATCACCCTGACACCAAACAATACCTTGGCCAGCTCTGACCAACACCAGAATCAGCACCCGAGCTTGCAAGTTTCTCTCCATTCAAGTTTTGCTCAAGTTTGTCTACGCAAATGTCCAATGCGCGTTTATCTGCGCAAGCTGTCGGTGCAAGTTTCTCTTTGCGAGTTGTTTCGCGCAAGTGATCCAAACAAGTTGCTCTGGGCAAGCTCTCGGCGCATGCTTCTCTTCACAAGCGCTACACGATGTTTTCGCAACGGTCTCAACGCACGGGGTCATTCTCAACGCAAGTACCGCCAACTCTGCAGTTTCGCACAACGGGAGCCAGAGCTGCGCCAAAAGCAAGCATGTGCAACTGCCAGTGTGTGTCTTCGTGTTGCAAACTCCCAGAAATAGTTTAACCGAGATCTACTGTCGCGCCTTCATGTGTTAAGCACCTGCTTCAAACAATAACCTAACATGGTTGTGTCTGATTCCTCCATGCAACAGAACGGCACTTAACCTAACATGGTTGTGTCTGATTCCTCCATGCAACAGAACGGCACTCCCTCTAACTCTCCCTCTTACTCTCTCCCTCTCTCGCCCTCTCTCTCCCTTTCTTTCCCACTCTCTTGCCAAGTATTTCTGCACTCAGCAAAGCAACAAAGAACCCCCTCTCTCTCTCTCTCTGTCTCTCTCACGAGAACCACTAGGGTGCACTCGCGCCAGCCTTTCAATCAATGCCTTCATGAATTTGATTGGAACATTGATGCCATGCGAGCCTCGCAGTGGATGAATTGTCTGCATGGCAACACCTTTCACAAACGCCTTATATTTTCTGTGGGAAATCAACCGTGCGGTCTGCCAAACAAGAACCAGACCATCTCCAATTCACCCTGAGGCTCTGGGTCCTGAAAGCAGCCTCTTTGGCTCGCAGGTCAAGTCTCAGTATTGCGCTGCCATGGGTTCAGCAAGTCCTGCGGGCGGCACTACAGGACTCGAAATACATCTTGAGCGCAACAAACAGATTTGAGCAACTTGAGCTGAAGTGACTTGAAATCGTTGCAGCTCCTGCATCCGTCAGAAACAATTCTCCAAGCCCGCAGCAAGTTACTTTGAGAGCCCCGTGCCTTCTTGGGACCCTTTGTTTTCTCGGGCATCACACGCACAATTTCCCAGAGCAACACCGCCCCCGTCCTCCAGGGAGGCGCTATGTGGCGAGTCGTCCAGGTCGGCGCCCTCGCCTGAGCGGAGAATTCCTTGCCCGCATGCCCTGAGGGTCAATGCTGCGCGCACTTGTGTGGAGAAAGGCAGAAATAGTGCTTGCGAAATAGCAGGACAGAATTAAGTAACACCGGACGCACGCTATGCGGCACTACTTACTCTTCCTGCATTCAAAGGATATCCGGAATGGCCAAGGAATGGCCAGTCTTCGGCGTCCTGAAACATGGTCCCTTGCCAGCTCCTGCGCCCAGACCCCGTTCCACTCGCCAAGAAGCTCTCGCGCACATCGCCCGCATCCTCTTGCTGGGGCTCCCATCCACCTGCCGGCTGCACCCAATGCGCAGATGAGCTCATCGCACAAAGACTTGAACAGACTGAACTGCGGGACTGCCAGCTTTACAGCCAGTCAAGTGATATTAGTCCTGGCGTGTTTCAATCGGGCCAATTGAAAGTGCAGACTGCCTGTAGTGGTCCTCTCCAGCTCATGCTCGGCAGGCCCAATGCCTGGTCAGTCAATTCGCGGGTCCCAGAAACACTCTGCGAAGCCCCAAGCAAAACCAAACCCATGATCGCCCCTGCCAGGCCGCCGAACTCCCCTTGCGGCCGCTTCCCTTTTCTGCCCTGGGAAAGAGTTGAACAAGGAGGCCGTGCCATTGAAAGCCCTTTCGTGACATGTTGGGCGGAGTGTCGCCTACAGAGCTTCGCGTGGAAGGGATTGACAATTTGCAGTTATCCTTTTGACCCCTTCCGCGGAAGGCAGGCTTCCAAACCAGGCGTCGCTTTGCAACTTACAAGCTTCGTGTTGCATCCTCCGATCATCCGACAGCGCGGAGCCCAAGAGCAAAATATGGTTTGACGAGCGGGCGTAAAGTGCAAAGATGTGAAACGTGAGCAATATGATGGGAACATGCGTCATGGCTGAAACTTCAATCATATTTGGGGACGCGCTTCTTTGCCCTTTCCTCGAGATTACTCACAGACAAACCCCAACGAGTGGTCCTCTCAACGGGCCTGCCTGCCTGAATTGCTCAAGGTCCGATTTCATGCTAGCCGACGGAATGCACCTTGGGCACCAAGCCCCAGTACAGCCCTGGCCTGCATTTTTGTCCCTGCGGAGCTTGAGGCCGGTGGAAGTGCCTGCAGCCGGCTGGTAAGCCCAAGCATGTCTCAAGGTGGGCAACTCCAAAGCGACCCTCTCAAACCAAATGTAGGCTGACCCTAGTCGTTTGGAGGGCTCTTGTCAGGCAGCAGCCACGCAATCCACCCAGTCCATTAATTACTCCCGTGAACATTGCGCAAGCCCCAGTCACAGAATAAATGCTTTGAATCAACTATCCCTTGGTCACGACGTCCACTTTCCGCACCTTCCGTGCTGGCACTCGTGCTGGCGCTCGTGCTAGCGCTCGTGCCAGTACTCGTGCCAGCGCTCGTGCTAGCGCTCGTGCTTGTATCCTCGCCTCAGAGACAGGTTGCCCGGCCCTTGGCAGCCACACCATATGTGCCATGGTCAAATCACTTTATATGGCCTACAGTCATGGTTCTCTTAGTGGGAATCAGTTTAATGGTTTTTGAGAATCCTTACTACCAGGTGGATGAACATCCCTAGCAACTCCAAATGAAGGTGTCTTTGGACCATGGTACATATATTGTCTATTCAGAAGAAGCCGCCACCGAAGTGCCTGCTGCTTTCGGGTTGCTACTGCTATCAAGTCCGACTGGGCACGTGAAGCCTTGGGATTTTGGCTTCTTTCATCTGAGAGGAACTCAAGATTGAACCAGATGCGCAGGGGCCCCTTCACGACATTCCCAACTCAACCAGGACCACTTGGCTCTGAATACATTTGGCATGTCCGGGCAGCCAGCTAGATTCGGTGGTGAGCTCTGCTGTGGAGGTTGGAGCGCCTGCACTAAAAAACCATTCCGAGAACTACCCTGTCTGGAACTGCACGAATCGTGTCATGCTATGTTAACAAGCGAAAACTACCGCGAGAGGGGCTTTGTCAAATACAAATTCGCAGCGGATGCAATCATGCAGCGCCAAACGATTGATAAATCAGCTCGGCCCTTCCAAGGCATACTTCACTATGCTACGCTAATAAAGCGCCAAGCTGTTAGACTATACTACACTGCTGCCGTACAATCAATCTGCCACGCTTCCTCCACCTTACTTCAAGGAGGCAAACAGCTCGATGTTTGTGACAGGGAGCCCTCTGTCCTCTGGGCACAGTAAAAGGATGTACTTCAAATGTCAATCTCGTTGCTCCTAGGCTGCCTGGATGACTCCGCTCGGGCGCAGCATGCTACTACTGCCAATGCTCTTGTTCTTCTCAGTATTTAACAACTGTCCCGGCTCAATCACTACGTTGCTAGAATACCTCTTTGCACCGCTGACATTCTGGAAGCAAGTGCTTTGCAGCGACAAGCTTTGGCCTTCCCTGTAGCGCTATACATTGTCCACGCACCCATCCACAAATCTAGTGAATGCGTGCCTGCAAAACGGCTGGTACTCGGCGGCTATGCAAACCGAGAACAGAATCAAAAGAATCCCGCCTGTGCGCTGCAGCACTTGGCGGCTATAGCCGGAATCTCCGGAAGCTGGCTCACTCGGCCAGCTGGGCACTAATTCACGTGGGGCGTACCCACGTAGCAGCCAAAGCAAATCTAGCCTTCACTTTACAGCTCATGTTCCTCAAATTGGGAGGAGGCGGCTGTTTTCTCGGTCTTTGCCTTGGACTGTAGGAAGCTCGGACCCAAAAACTTGTGGCGACGGCTGTTGGACTTCTGTGGCGCAGCTTGGGCAAAGGCCGTCTCTGTGGTGGGCTTGCACTGCGAGTACCACTCATTGCCCACGACGCAGCGGTAGCCCTCCGTGCAGCAGGTCAGGCCAGCATGGTTTCGCCCTCCGCACTGCTGCCAGGCCCCTGCGCAGGACGCTGGCTGTGTGGAGGTCACCGGCGCCGTCTGCGACGTCATGGCGGTGGTCGTACTTGGCACCACCGTCGCGCTCGATGTGGTGGTTGAAGTCACGGGCTTGCACTGCGAGTGCCACTCATTGCCCAAAACGCAGCGGTACCCCTCCGTGCAGCAGGTCGGGCCAGCATGGTTTCGCCCTCCGCACTGCTGCCAGGCCCCTGCGCAGGACGCTGGCTGTGTGGAGGTCACCGGCGCCGTCTGCGACGTCATGGCGGTGGTCGTACTTGGCACCGACGTTGTGCTCGAAGTGGTAGCCACGGTGGTCGCCGGGGGAAGCGACGTCATTGGAGTCCCAGGATACACAGGCTGCGTGGAGCCAATCTCGCCCACGGCCGCGTTGGCAAAGGTCACGTATCCCTGCGGGTGCTTGCTGCGCACGTTTTGGGGAGAGCTCTCCTCACCACCCGGGCACATTCCGCGGTGAACGCCTGGGCCGCTGCATGGTCTGTCTTCGGGGTAGCAGGAATCCAGCCACATCATGTGAACGTCGATGTCGTCCCACAGCGAGAAAGCCGCAACGTGGCCACGCTCCAAGGACTCGCCCATGGCCTTGTTTCCGCCTTTCTCCGCGAAGTCGTTCTCGTTCTCGAAGAGGTCCTTCATGTCCGCGCACATCTCGTCCGTGATGGAGTCCGGCGTTTTCGGGAGAGTCATAATGGACGGGCTTGAAATTGCGCGGCCATCCTGGACATAGAAGCGGCGGATTTCAGAGAGGTCACCATCATCGGTTCCATCCGCTGTAAGGAACTGCGTGACCACAGTCATGGGCCTGGCAGAATCCACGGCAAAGCTAGCCCCCTTTCCATAGAATGTGGTGTTGCCGTTGCGGAAGGGGTTGATGTCGCAGCCGTCCTTGTCACACAGCCCATCATACCGCTCCCCGCTGTCGTTGTCGCCACACTCAGTGCCTTCGCACATGTACTGCCCCGGGGTGTCAATGCGGCAAGGGTGCGGGGTGTAGGCCGTTGCCATGTTGTTCGCTTCCCAGATGTCCATCTCAGCACAGCAGGCACCATAGTGTCCAAGGCCCATGGAATTGCTGAAATCTTTGGGATGAGGTTTCCAATCCTTGGAGTTCGCTTTGCCACCGATGAACTTGACATCGTGGGGGCACTGTGCGTCGCAATATCCAGTGCCATACTTGGCCCCTGCAGCGTTGTAGCCGCGGCCCTTGCCACCATTAGCTGCCATCTCAATGAAGTACATGGCCCCGTTCATGCCGCACTCCACCGTTGAGGAGTCTACATCAACGGCGAATTCTCGGTTCTTGAGATTGAAGAGCTTGTAAGTCTCATCATCTTCCAGGAGGAACAGCCGAGAACCGACATTGGAGCCGGTCACAAAGTTCAGGCGAACGCCGCCCGGCACAGCTGTGATGCCATAGATGCTCTCGTACTGCCCTGCATCCACTGCCTCCAGGGCACAGCCCTGGGCACAGGTGTCCGGATCGGTACAGATGCTGCTGTCCCACTTGTTGCCCGTGTAGCAGTTCTTGGAACCCTCCGTCGTGTGGATCCAACGCCAATTGGCGTCCAGGACCAACTTGTGCTCTTTGGTCGTGCAGCCGCCGGCTTTGGTGCACTCCTTCACGGCCATGGTAGGATTGCCTTCCGATTTCAACGTGCCCGGCTGCTGCGCACCGCAGAGCGGGAGCAGAAGGAGCAAGAGGCACAAAGCCATGGAAGCTGGGTCGATCTGAGGCTGAGGCCTCGAGTTTCAAATGTCTGGGATGGAGGATAAGCCAACTCCGCAAGTGCCAAAACATCACAAGTGCCAACAACGCCCCATCCGTAACACGACAAGCCCAACATCTGCAAAACAAGCCGGGGGCTGTGCAATCAGCCCTCTGAACGACCGGTTCACACGAGGATGATTCAAGAGAGTGCCTCAGTTACGGGAACAGTGTCGGAGCGCCAAAGACTGATCCTTTCACTAACCATTTCGGCAACACCCAAGTCCGCTCCAACCCAGCTGACCCGTCCCAACCACCACCCGCACGGCTGAGCTCTTGCACCAGGCCTGTTGTCTGGTGCTTGTGACCAAAGTTACCTTGGCAGTCACTTGAAACATTGGAAGACACATCTACCAGCAGCAGCACGGGAACGGCAAGAAAACAATCATGCTGTACAAAGCACAACTTGCCCGCTGAGCCAGCCACCGCCCATGGGGAGGTGATCGGCAAAGTGCAGGGAGTGGCCGTCGGCATCACCAAGCGACGGCGAGCCCCTGCGGTCTGTTCCGCCCAACATTAACAAACCACAAATTATGACCAAAACTGACCCAACACCAGTTCTTATCCCCTCAAGCGATGAGTCAGATTCCTCATTGTCAAACATCCACCTCATCAGCTCATCTACCTCTCGCCTGAACGGGAAGGTCGGCGGCATCACCGTCAATGCCTCAGCTCGCAATAGACCAGAAGACCGAGGCTGGGGGAAGCAAACACCAAAAGGAACTACATGGAGCAACGTAGAAAAGGAACCAAGTGCCCGGTGGCCAAAGAGAATTGACATCCGTGTGTAGCGTGGCAGTCTCACTGCCACAACAGCCTCCTGGCAGGAAAGATCTTCCAGTGTTTGTCATTTGGCCATAGGTCAAAACCCCGTACCCCCAGTGAACATCCCAATCTCCACTAAAATAGACTAAAATGGGTGCACCTATCCCAAAATGGTACCATTGGTTTTGAACCACAGCCATTTGCAGTCTTGAGTCTTGAACACCGTCAATTCAAAGCACAACAAGCAGTCGGCACCCTCACTCTCAACTGAGTCGCGGGCAGTGTGGGCCAAGGCTGCCACCGCAGCAGCTGCCACGGTGGTGGTGGCATGGATCTGGGCCGGAGGAGTGTGAAGGCGGCCACAGGAATCAAAATACCTGCTGCATGCAAAATCACACGTCTTGACTTGAGAAGGATTGGATGCAATATGCCCTGAACACCAGCTGAAACCATCCTTGTCAAAACCATGCCACACCCCTCACAAGCAACACACCCGGCCGGATCATGGAGCTCGGGTATGTCATCCAATGTCGCATTCAGGCTGTCCACCTGTCCAGAGAAAAGACCCCTGCCGCTGGCTAAGACTCTAAGACGCGAACAATGAACGACGTACCAACTACCAACAGGAATATGAATGGGTGTCTGCAGTGAGTGGAAATGCACAGGATCCTAAAGCCCAGCTTTAGGCACCACATCATGTGGCTCGTCTACAGCGGTCCAAGACGACACTCCAGGAAGCTGTAGGGATTTCATCTTCGCTGGACACATGTATTGGACGTGAGATAGGCTCAATCCAACTCTGGCACCACCAGTGCCGGCTTCATGCCCTGTTCTTCGTCCCAAGGGTCGGGCAAGTGGATGTGTTTGGGGACCAGTTGTTGAATATAGTGAAATGTCCTGCTTTGCACGCAGTTCCCCTAAGGCTGTCTGGTTATGAGCAAGGTTCGGAGTGTGGAGTGGAGGATCGCCTTCACTCCATCTTCCAAGGGTCGTGATTGTTCACTTGTTCATGTTCTTTACTCAAGTATATGCAATGCCGTGAATCCGAAGCTTGGCCACCTTCTAGCAACTTGGACGAATGCTTCATCTGGTTGCCCCCAAAGGCAGTGATTGTTGCCAACAAGTGCAAGACATGCTCCTGAAAGAACGCCCATTGAGGACGGTCTGCGTGTCAACATCTAGCCGTACATAGGTCAACACCTCATTAGCCGTAGATGATGAAAGCAACCGGGCAAAGTGATTCTTGTATCAGCTCCGTGAGCTTGGCTGGATGTGTTGATTCATGCACTTCTTCACCCGGCGCACGCGACAAAAGTCAAAATCAGACTGGCTCTTCTAGCAACCGCCAATCTGCTCACCCAATCCATTTGTATTCAAGAAAAAAAGACTTTAGGCAACTGCCACAGGTTCAACAGCTCATCCAGTCTCCGCTCGTGCCTCCGTAGTATTGTTGTCACCAAACTGGCCGCGCACTCATGCAGCACGAAGGGTTGAACTAGTCCCTAGAGTACCCTGCAAACGGGTGTCAAAGGGAGCACTCACAAATGGTTGGTTCAGCGCTCAAAACCATGCAAGCATGGGGTCCTGCAATTCCAGTAACGACCCAAATGAGACACCAAGGCATGCACACAGGCACGCACGCATGCATGCACGCTCGCTCATGGCTCGTCAAGCTCGCATTTGCCCAGGCAGCACCAGACCGCGCCTCTCCTCCTGAGGGATGGATGAGGACCCGGAGGTCAAAGTGGAAGATGGTGAAGCCAAAGAAGATGAGGGTGTAGCTTCCTGCTCCAACTATAAAGCAAGGGAAGATACAGTCACGTTGTTTGGCCGGACCAGAAGAGCCATCCGCTGCAATCCTTGAGAGTGAAATCAAATCCTTTCGTGGATGACAGGCGCTTAGGATGGCAGGCGCTTCTGGGACACTTCTGAGCACCAAGCGATGGGTGGCGAACAAGTGAAAGGCTTAGCAACTCCCTCTGATGAACACGGGGGAAACGCAGTGCCAGGCAACTCTCTGCAGCCTCCAACACACATACCCACACACACACACAAACAAACACACACAAAGCAAGTCGGTTCACATGCCATGCTTGCCGCCTCAGGCATCAACGAAGGAGGCAAGCGGCCACAAGTCAAAATAAGCTCTAGACATCTTTAGTGCAAAGGAGTCAGAATCAAGAGGCCTCAGATCAAAGCACTGCCTAGGCCGAAGGTGGGAAATCCGTGCGAATGTGACAAACATCACAAGTTCACCGCCAACCGCACCAGGCCTGCTAGGATGATCCAGCGGAAGAACAGGCCCAGGGGAAGAATCTGGCACAAAGCACTGGGCTTCAGAGCTCTCAAAGTCCCACTAACCTGCTCCTATACAGCAGCTGGAGTTTGCGTCTACCATTTCTGTCAATGGTCAAAACTCTTCGTATTCACCGTGGCCATGCTTCCCTTGCAAAGAACCCTGACTAGCCCGAATTCCCTACTAGCAGCTAGTCACTAGCCTGCTCGTGCCGAGCATTCCGGGAGCCCGCTGCGGACGCTTCAGACGCGAGCCTCTGACCACGCGAAGCCCCCGACATGGTAAGAAACCAACCAGCTCACGGCCGAGGCCCCAAAATGGACGCAGGTAGACGAGAAACAATCCCAACTGTGGAATGCTTCTTTGCCATCACGCGAAAAAAACCTTTATCATTCACTTTAATTGCAATCGTGGCATGCTTCTCTGTCACGGGGATACATGTATCCTGTCTGCCCAAATGTCGCGGCTTTGGCTTCGGGCCTCTTCGGTCTTCGGGTCTCGGATCGCGAGAAAGGACTCACAAGTGCGGGTGGTTTCCTGGCGACATGTGGCTCTGGCACGCCAGGAAGCACAAGGCACGCGGACGGCAAGGTGCGATGCAGGGCACGAATCCTCTGAGTCATTGGTGGGTGGAAATTTATACAACTAAACCGATCCTAAACGATTCTGGGCCACTTTGCCCGCGTCTTCCTGTCGTCTGTCAAGCTGCTCTTTGGCCGGGGAGTTATACATGACACTGCACCTTTGGCAGCGGCACGTCTCAGCCACTAGGACCGTTTTTGCTAACCCCATAACACCGGATCTTTTCAAGCAGTCCCTGAAGCACACAGCCCAACCTTCAGGCAGTTGGCAAAACACCACTGGCAGCCGTAGTTATGCGCCTGGCAGGAGGTCACTTGGCTTGGAAGCAGCAACGACGAGTGAACAAAGCCCGTAAGTCCACCAAGACCTCGGCTTGAACAAATATTCCCCCCCCCCCGGTGACGCTGGGTTCAAGTTGGTTCCAATGGCTTCCAACGAATGCAAAAGACGGGCAAGCACAGTAGCTATGGTTGCCTCATGTTGCCCCAGTCCTTTCGCCTGGACCTCAGCACGCCATGGCCCGCGCCTCACTGGACACGGTCTGCACCACATTGCCACTGCCGCTGCGCTCCCGGACATTGCGGTTGGGCTCCCGCTCCGGCCACAAGTCCTCCTCCTGCGAAGTGGGCCATCGTCCGCACAAGGACTGCATCAAGCAGGGGGTGCAGGGAGAAGGACCCTCAGCTTGACCCTGAAGCAGCCAAAATGATGGGTCCAGCCACAGAACGGCGGTTTTACCAAACTCGCGCCACCTGGCGTCACTCCCCCGGCGCCTCGATGTGGCCTGTCAAGAGGTTCACGCCGCCCACCTGGCCTGATTCCCCGGCCTTGGCGAGGGAAGCAACCCAGGACCTTCCGAAAGTGCTGACGACGGGCCGCTCAAGAATCGTGCTTCGAAAGTATGGTACTTCATACGGATCCTAACTGCTGCAGGTGAGAGGTGGTATCCCCAACCACCAGTAGCCTTCAGGAACCAACCCTAGCCTCAACCACGCCGAACCTCTCTTGGAACCCCTCAGAACCCAATCCGACAACTGCTCAATGCATCTCAACGCCGTCTCTCACTGGGGTTCGGGACGATGCAAGGTTCTGGTGCCTCTATAGAGTTGTTGCTGGACAGGGCTCCATGAAGTTGTTGCCGATAGGTTTCGGAAGTGACATTAAACTCCCTGAAACCCTCCGTAACCCTCCACAACCCTCCGGAACCGTACCCATACATCAGTGTTTGAACTCCAATACCCAGTCGTTGCAGGAGGATTCACTCACCGGAATGGTCAATCCTTTAATCATTGAATGGGAAAATGTCTCCTTCGTCAGAATCCTGAATCCAGTGCCGGGCCCCCAGCATCCTCCGCGCTGTCAGCCAACCACCGGCCCTCCAGCATGCCCATGATGAAGCGCGCGTCCTCTCGGGCCTGACGGCACGGTCCATCGGGTCTCCTCATTGAGACTCAAACCCACGCTACTAATCTTGGTGGGGAAGTGGGGAGACCCTTCCAGAATGGTTTGTGGACATAGATCTCCATGGAAGTGATGTCCACTCA